CAGGGGACTCCCCGAGAAGGACGCTAGTTCACCAACACAGGAGCCAGATATATGGAGAAACGTGACTCAAAGAAGTAGGAGGCCCAGGGTTCGCTCTGATTGTTTAGAAATACACAATCGCTTTGAGGTCCTCTCCCCTAGCATGGAAGACGAAGAGCAGACTCCATTTGAGGATCTCTCCTCATTACAGTCGATCAGGTATATGAAGACGAGCAGCAAAGTCAGTCCTCAGGGAATGTGCAGGCGACCTTGGAGCGGACAGCTCACGGAAGAACCCCGACCAAACCTAAGAGGAGGCGTGTAGTGGTGATAGGGGATTCCCTACTGAGGGGAACAGAAGCAGTGATCTGTGGGCCTGACAAGATGTCTCGGGAAGTGTGCTGTCCCCGGGGCTAAGATCCAAGATGTAACTGAACGACTGCAAGGAATCATAAAACCCACTGACAAATACCCCTTCCTCTTGGTTCATGTGGGAACCAATGACACTGCAAGCAATAGCCTCCAGAAGATCAAAAGAGACTACGAGGCTCTGGGCAGGAAATTGAAGCAATTAAATGCACAAATTGTGATCTCATCTGTCCTCCCAGTTGAACGACGTGGTCCAGGGAGAGAGGGGAAAATAGTGGAAGTGAACAGCTGGCTTCGCAAATGGTGTAAACAGGAACGGTTTGGATTCTTAGATCACGGACTGCAGTTTCTTGAAGATGGACTTCTGGCAAGCGATGGGCTGCACCTCACAACGGTTGGGAGAAATGTTTTTGCCAAAAATCTCAGAAACCTCATCAGGAGGGCTTTAAACTGACTAATGTGGGGAGGGAGACAGTGCTCCTGAAGGTAGGAGTCTATCAATTGATGAAGATGATCATCCAAATGTCATAGACCAAATGGAGCAAACAGCACACAGACCTAGTGGTGGGAGGAAAAATCCTTAAATAAGAGTCACGGGGAATGATTAATGGACTTCAATGTCTGTACACTAATGCGCAAAGCATGGGAAATAAACAAGATGAGCTTGAGCTCTTGGTACAGCAAACTAAATATGACATAATAGGCATCACTGAAACCTGGTGGGATAAGTCCCACGATTGGAATGTAATAATGGGGGGATACAATCTATTTCAGAGAAACAGACCAGACAAGAAAGGAGGAGGAGTGGCGTTATATGTCAGGGATGTGTATACCTGTGAAGAGATCCAAGATTTAGAACCTCAAAACCAAAGTGAGAGCATTTGGGTCAAAATTAAGGGAGAGAAGAATAACAGTGACCTCATTGTGGGAGTTTACTACAGATCCCCAAGCCAAACGGAGGACATAGATGATGCCTTCCTGGAACAGATGGCCAAGCATGCAAAAGGAAGGGAGATAGTAGTAATGGGGGACTTCAATTACCCGGATATTTGTTGGATGTCAAACTCAGCCAAGAGCATAAGGTCAAACAGATTCCTCACTGGCCTTGCAGACAACTTCATTGTCCAGAAAGTGGGAGAAGCAACAAGAGGAACAGCCATTTTAGATCTGGTCCTAACCAATGTTGATGACCTGGTTAGTGGGGTAGAAGTGGAAGGATCATTAGGTGCAAGTGATCATGCTCTTCTGAAGTTTACTATACAGCGGAAAGGAGCAGCCAAGCATACTAGGACTCAATTTCTTGACTTTAAGAAAGCTGACTTCATAAAACTTAGGGAAGTGCTGGGTGAGATCCCATGGACAGTAATACTAAAAGGAAAGGGAGTTCATGATGGCTGGGAGTTTGTTAAGAGGGAGATACTAAAAGCACAACGTCAGGCAATACCAATGAGACAGAAACATGGAAGGTGCCTAAAGAAGCCAGGGTGGCTATCTAAAGAACTTTTAACTGAGTTAAGATTAAAAAGGATGTGTACAAAAATGGAAAAGGGGGAAACCACCAAAGAGGAATTCAAACAAATAGCCAGCACGTGTAGACACAAAGTCAGAAAAGCTAAAGCACAGAATGAACTCAGGCTTGCTAGAGAGGTTAAAAGCAACAAAAAGGCTTTTATGGGTATGTCCGTAGCAAAAGGAAGAACAAAGAAACAGTGGGGTCACTCAGAGGAGAAGATGGTGAAATGCAAACAGGGGACACAGAAAGGGCTGAACTCCTCAATGCCTTCTTTGCCTCAGTCTTCTCCGATAAAGAAAACAATGCCCGACCTGAAGAATTTGGAGCAAATGATTCAGCAAAGGAAACACAGCCCAGAATAACTAAGGACATAGTACAAGAATACTTGGCTAGTTTAGATGTATTCAAGTCTCAAGGGCCAGATGAACTGCATCCAAGAGTATTAAAAGAACTGGCAGATGTGATCTCAGAACCACTGGCAGTCATCTTTGAGAATTCCTGGAGAACAGGCGAAGTCCCGGCAGACTGGAGGAGGGCAAATGTTGTCCCTATTTTCAAAAAGGGGAAAAGAGAGGACCCAAATAATTACCGCCCAGTCAGTCTGACATCAATACCAGGGAAGATTCTGGAGCAGATCATTAAGCAAACAGTCTGTGAGCACCTAGAAAGGAATGCTGTGATCACCAACAGTCAGCATGGATTTCTGAAAAATAAGTCATGTCAGACTAACCTGATCTCGTTTTTTGACAGAATTACAAGCCTGGTAGATGAAGGGAACGCAGTGGATGTAGCCTACCTTGATTTCAGCAAGGCATTTGACAAGGTGCCTCATGATATTCTTGTAAAGAAGCTGGTAAAATGCGGTCTTGACTATGCTACCACTCAGTGGATTTGTAACTGGCTGACTGACCGAACCCAAAGGGTGCTCATCAATGGTTCCTCTTCATCCTGGAGAAGAGTGACTAGTGGGGTGCCACAGGGTTCTGTCTTGGGCCCGGTCTTATTCAACATCTTTATCAACGACTTGGATGATGGACTCAAGAGCATCCTGATCAAATTTGCAGATGACACCAAATTGGGAGGGGTGGCTAACACCCCAGAGGACAGGATCACACTTCAAAACGACCTTGACAGATTAGAGAACTGGGCCAAAACAAACAAGATGAATTTTAACAGGGAGAAATGTAAAGTATTGCACTTGGGCAAAAAAATTAGAGGCACAAATACAAGATGGGGGACACCTGGCTTGAGAGTAGTACATGTGAAAAGGATCTAGGAGTCTTGGTTGACCACAAACTTGACATGAGCCAACAGTGTGACGCGGCAGCTAAAAAGCCAATGCAATTCTGGGCTGCATCAATAGGAGTATAGCATCTAGATCAAGGGAAGTAATAGTGCCACTGTATTCTGCTCTGGTCAGACCTCACCTGGAGTACTGTGTCCAGTTCTGGGCACCACAGTTCAAGAAGGACACTGACAAACTGGAACGTGTCCAGAGGAGGGCAACCAAAATGGTCAAAGGCCTGGAAACGATGCCTTATGAGGAACGGCTAAGGGAGCTGGGCATGTTTAGCCTGGAGAAGAGGAGGTTAAGGGGTGATATGATAGCCATGTTCAAATATATAAAAGGATGTCACATAGAGGAGGGAGAAAGGTTGTTTTCTGCTGCTCCAGAGAAGCGGACACGGAGCAATGGATCCAAACTACAAGAAAGAAGATTCCACCTAAACATTAGGAAGAACTTCCTGACAGTAAGAGCTGTTCGACAGTGGAATTTGCTGCCAAGGAGTGTGGTGGAGTCTCCTTCTTTGGAGGTCTTTAAGCAGAGGCTTGACAACCATATGTCAGGAGTGCTCTGATGGTGTTCCTGCTTGGCAGGGGGTTGGACTCGATGGCCCTTGTGGTCTCTTCCAACTCTATGATTCTATGATTCTATGATTCTATGACTCATAAAAAGGCCTTCTCTGTGTTGGGGGCCTTGACTCTGGAATGATCTCCCCCCCAAAGTTGCATGTCTTCTTTGTGGTTGGGGTTTATATGCCAACTAAAATGGTTTCTATTTTCCTAACCCTTTCATTCTGAGGTGATAATAGTTTCCCTGAACAGCAATGTGTGGGTTGTGTTTTTAAATTATGGTTACATAATAAATGCTTTCGTTTTGTATTTGTTTTGATCCTTAATCCTTTGTCGCAGACAGCCCTTTGCTCTGTTCAAGGAAGGGTCATTTATAAATACAATAAAATGAACATGTAGCGTGATGCAGGTGTTTTTTCCTTCTCTCATTTTTTGTTTCAAAGCAGGCTTAGCAGAGTCTTGCCCTCCTCTCACCAACCACAAAAGGGAACTGTACAACATACATGCTCATTATCTGAGCAACAGGCTCACCGGTTCCAATGTGGTGGGTTTAGATAGCACTTCTTAGGCAAACCCAACAGATGTTGTCATCAGCAGAAATTGTCCCTGCAAACAGAAGGCCAGTGTCACCACAGCATATTTTTTTCCCTCTGTGAAAGAATACCTGGAAACAGTGTTATATCAGAATATGTAACACACAATGGAGAGCTGCTGTGGCAAAGTGCTTACAGTGTCGGACCAGGACCGAGGAGACAAACTGACCTTGGGCCAGTTATTGCTCCTTATCCTAACCTACCTCGTTGTTGTTGTTTAGTCGTTTAGTCGTGTCCGACTCTTCGTGACCCCATGGACCAGAGCACGCGAGGCACTCCTGTCTTCCACTGCCTCCCGCAGTTTGGTCAAACTCATGCTGGTAGCTTCGAGAACACTGTCCAACCATCTTGTCCTCTGTCGTCCCCTTCTCCTTGTGCCCTCCATCTTTCCCAACATCAGGGTCTTTTCCAGGGAGTCTTCTCTTCTCATGAGGTGGCCAAAGTATTGGAGTCTCAGCTTCACGATCTGTCCTTCCAGTGAGCACTCAGGGCTGATTTCCTTCAGAATGGAGAGGTTGGATCTTCTTGCCATCCATGGGACTCTCAAGAGCCTACCTCACAGGGTAGTTATAAAATGAAAATAGGGAGAGCCATGCATGCCACCTTTTGCTCCTTGGGGTATAAATGCAAGAAAATAAAGCACACATGAATATTATAGGTGATATGAGTGAGGAGTTCAGATGAATCAAATCTCCTGGGATAGCTCAGCTGGTAGAGCATGAGATTCTTAATCTCAGGGTTGTGGGTTCAAGCACCACATTGGGCAAAATATTCCTGCATGGCAAGGGGTTGGACTAGATGACCCCCAGGGTCCCTTCCAACACTGCAGTTCTATGATTCTGTGATTCCTGCTCATGGAGCCAGTGGAGGTTGATCCATTTGGGCAATTGGGGTGCTGCAAACTTTGTACGCAGGGGCGTCGTGGGTTAAACCGCAGAGCCTAGGGCTTGCCGATCAGAAGGTCGGCAGTTCGAATCCCCACGACGGGGTGAGCTCCCGTTGCTCTGTCCTAGCTCCTGCCAACCTAGCAGTTCGAAAGCATGTCAAAGTGCAAGTAGATAAATAGGTACCGCTCCAGAGGGAAGGTAAACGGCATTTCCGTGCGCTGCTCTGGTTCGCCAGAAGCGGCTTAGTCATGCTGGCCACATGACCCAGAAGCTGTATGCCAGCTCCCTTGGCCAATAAAGCGAGATGAGCGCCGCAACCCCAGAGTCAGCCACGACTGGACCTAATGGAGGGGGCCCTTTACCTTTAATCTTTGTACAAAATTGCAAATTGAGTTATTTTGTACTTATTTCACTTATGAAAATACATACCTTTAAGAACCAAATATATCATATGACTATTACCATGGAAATGATAGGGAACCTAATATGAAGTCAACTCATTTATTGCAAACTGAAGACATCCTACCCTCTTTCATTGTCACACTGTAAATGACATTCCCATGTCTTTCACCTCTGGTACCCAATGATCAGGACAAAATATGAAACTCTGGGCAAAACTAGACATGCTAGCAGAGAGATATGATTGGATCTCCAGGATTTGGTGTGGCTTTGCTATTATGGGACTGGAGTTCAGCTCAACTCCTAGCCAGGTGAGGCTTGTGGATGCAGCAGCAGCAGTGCCATCATGGGGCGTAAGTTGTGGGGTGTCCCGGGAGAGCAAGGCAAGGCATCAGCCCCATGGGACTTGGTTGGCATGTGGGCCCCAGCAAATGCCCAGGTATGCTGGGGATTGAAATGATGGTGAGTGCTGTTGAGAGGACAAAGCTCCAGCATGCCTTAGAAATGTCACACAGCCTTCCAGGTCCTGGAGCTGAGCCCGTCAGCCCTATACATCGCTTTCTACACAATGCATAAAACCTTGATTCAAGGGACCAGCTCATACAATTTCTGAGAACCGGCTGTCAGCGAAGGAATGCAAAGCTCCCTTGAAGATGCTCTTTTCAAGACCCATCTGTTCTGCCGTGCAATTTTACCTGGAATATTCCGTCTCCAGTCCGCACACATCCAGCCCATGCTCCTACAATGCTGCTTCGGCACTGTATCATCTTGGACCGATCCCTGCAATTCTCTTTCGCTCCAAATTTGCATGGCTTCCCAGACAGGAAAGCTCTTGTTTAGGTTATGGCCTGGAAGTCTACAGCACTATAGACACAACAAAACAATGTGCCTAAGGAAGGGTGGAGAATTAGAGATCAAAAGGACCCTTTTTGATGAGAGAGAATGCCGAACATCAGCCCTGCTGGCTTGGGACTTACGCATACTGAAACAGAAATCCCTTTCAAGACAAAGTTTACAAAAGCCCCCTCTGCCCTCTCTTATGTGTAATTCCCTGATCTGCATTTTTTAAGAATGCACCAAAGAATTTAGCTTATTTAGTTAATGGGAATCTTTTCAAACAACGAAAAGGAAAAGAGCAATAGTTTTGTTGTAAACTGATCTATTCCCACTGATCCACTCATGGCATCCAACACAAGACAAATGGGAATAAGTGAATAAGCTTTGCACCTGTGCCATTTATAGACCTCCATGTTCAGATTACTGTAAGGGAGTCACTTGTATTTTCTGGTTGCTCCTGTAGTTTGGAATACCCTTTTCTCCTTCGCTCCATGACCCACAAGGCAATCTATTTTAGGTACCTCCTGAAAACACACTTGAAAAAATCCAGGCAGGAGCTGGTTTTAGCCCAGCAACAACACCCCCTTTTTGAGCAAGGGAGTTGAAAGGGTCATGGGGGCACAACGGCAAGCCTTTTGGGGGGATATGGATTATCTAGGCCCATTCCAATCTGGGTTCCAGCCTAGCTTTGGGGCTAAATCTGTTGGAATTATTTACACCGGACAAGAGGGTACACAGAGACTGAACATGGAGCCCGGCACGCTTCCGTTGCGGAACTCTGCAAGCTATCCGTGCCTCCTGCAAAAGTCCTCCTCAGGCCTCTTTCTCTTGCCGGTAGCAGAGCGAAACACAGCGGTGAGAAGCAGAGTGCAGCACGTGTGGAATAAATCAGTCCAGACACAAGGCAGTCCTTATCTACTCTTGCCTTTTAATCATGAAGAATAACATCATAAATTCAGACCTGGCGAGAACTGACACATTCTCCCTTTCGCATCACGTCCGAAAGTCAGACTGAAACACACGGAGTCAAACCCCTCCCTTAAGTGTTTCTAACCACGCCTCAGGAAAGAGACGTCACCAGAACTCTTTAACTCTGTGAGTTCTGAAACCATTCACACCCCCTCTCGTCACGAATCCTGAGGGAAACTGTGAACCCCTATTTACAGACCTCTTTGAGTTCAACTCACCTCCCATTGCCTTTTGCCTCCCACTGGCATCCATCCCAGGCAATTGTTGAATCCCTTCCACACTCCCAGAATCACACTGTGCGAAACCAACCCACGCACTGGTGACCTGAAACCTCTCCGGTGGAATCCCTTTGTGGTCCGAGTTGACCGCCGGAGCACAACCTCAGGCGCTCCTCCTGACCCACTGGGGTCAGCAAGTGTGTCTCCAGCAAGCTCAGAAGACTCCCCTCTGACTTGCTGCGTCTTCGGGCTTCCTGCACTTGGCTAACAGGAGATGAAGGCTCACTCTTGGGTTCCCTCTTAACCTGTGGAGAAACCCACCCCTGTGCTTGACCATCATCAGCAACCTGGTCTTCAGCAACAGGCTCCGCCTCTGCCTCTCCTTCCTCCCTTTCTTCCTCCTTTTCCTCCCCCTCAGAATCGGACAAGCAGTCTGAGAGAAAATCAGAACCATACCTAGGCTGTGACCAACCATCCTGCTCAAAGAACTCAGCATGCTTGCTGACCAGCAGCGTGGTCTGATCACCCTCTGGGTATGCAAACTTCCACCCATTTGTTGCAGGATCATACCCACAGAAGATCATGTCCTGGTACCTAGGACCATCCTTCTTCCGTTGCGCTGTTGGTATTGGCACTGAAGCCTTGGAACCAAACGAACGGAAGAAATGCACCTGTGGCTTCCTCTTGTGCAACAGAAAATACGGTGTGTCACCTACATCGTGATTGTAGGACCTGTTAAAAACAAAGTTGGCAGCTTTCCAAGCTTCACTCCAAAAGCTCTGAGGCAGCCCAGAGTCACCCAGCAAAACTCTGACAGCTTCAGCCAGTGTTTCACTCCTGTGCTGTGCCACGCCTCTCCCTTGAGGAGACTTTGCACCCGTCACGTGGTGACGTATTCCTTTTTCCTTGAAAAACTCCTCCAGAGCAGACCCAGTAAACTGTGACCCTCGGTCGCTCTTGAACCCTTGCACCCTGGTGGAAAACCTTCGTTCCACCTCCGCAACCCAATCCTGGATCAGTTGCGCCGCCTCCCCCTGTGATTTGAGAGAGAAACACCAGCCAACCTGGCTGTGGTCATCTGTCAGCGATAGCACATACTTGGCCCCACCCAGACTCTCACACCTCATGGGTCCTGACAGATCTGTGTGAATCAACTCAAAAGGTTTTGTGGTTACCCTCTTTACCCCGGGAAACCTGCACCTTTGAACCTTGCTGCATGCCCTGCACACTAGGGATCCCTCACATGGTGTGATTTTACATCCTTCGGTGCAGCCTGGCAGCCTCTTAACATCCTCCAGACAAGCATGAGACATTCTCTTGTGCCATACATGAACACATGAATCATGGCTGGGAACACTAGCACACTGCGCCTGTGCTTTCCCTGCATTCCCACCACCCTCCAGAGGTGTTTCCAGAACAAAGAGATTGTCCTTGCTCTCCACGTTGACAAGTTGCCTCCCCCTCTGAAAATGGAACAGGTGTTATTTTCAAAACAAATTTTGTATCCCTGCTTCGCCAGAGCAGAAACCGATAACAGGCAACACTTCATCCCTGGTACAATGAAGCACTCCAGCTCAGCCTGCAAAACAGAATTATAGACATTTGCCACTTTAGATACATTTCGTTTTTTCCCGTCAGCAAATTTACAAGTCATTCCAGTTAAAACAGCCCTGCAATTCTGCAGCTCCCCAGCAGATGGCGTTATCAGGTGATGACTCGCTCCTGAGTCCAGCACCCACTTCATAGTTGTGTCCCTGCTGGCATTGTTGTTCAAAGTTGCCAGAGAAGCCGCGAGATGATAACAGTCTCCCTTCTCTGAGTCACGTCCCTCCTTCGCGTTCCCACGCTGGCCTCCTCTCCGAGACTGGTTCCCATGAGAACTCAGCTGGTTGACCTTGGAGACATCCTGCCCGGCCTCTCTGCTCTTCTGCGGACAAGCCCGTTTTAGATGGCTGTTGGATCCACAGACATAACATCGACGAGTGGAAAAAGCCTGAACACAGCTCTCATCTGGCTTGCCCCCCACCTCTGCAACCGGTGGAGCTGCCTGCGCCAGACCTGCCTTCTCGGACACGCCTCTCCTGTTCGTCCGAAAGACGCCCTGTCACGTACGATAGCGTCAAATCCTGTGGACTCATCGATTCCATAGACAGACACAAATTGTCATAACTTTTGTCCAGAGAGCTGAGCAAAATATAAACCTTCAGCTCTTCTGAAAAGTTGACCTGTAACAGGCGCAACTCATTGAAAACAGAAAGCATCTCAGTAACATGCTGTCTGATGTTCCCACCGGGACGCAGCTTCATCTCAAATAAGCGTCTGGTGGTGTGGATCTTTGCACCAGCCGTGGTTCTGTGGTGCACCCTCTCAAGGGCTTGGTAGGCCTCCTGAGCAGTCTCAAGCCCTTCAACCAGAGGAAGTTGGGAACCCTCCAAACTGAGCACTATAGCTCCCGGGGCGGTGGGGAGTTGCCTCTGCGACGCGTGTGCAGCCGGTATGTCCGCTGCTGGTGCTCCTGCTGCCGGTGGTGGGAGAGGGGCCCCTGGGTCGCCTCCCACAACCCCTTGGCTACCAGCCAGGCCTTTAGCTTCCGGCTCCATTCGGCCCAATTTTGTCCATTTAATTTCTCAAAGGGAACTGAGAATGATTCACGATCGTCTGCCATCTCCTCCCCGGGGGCTAAGCTTACTCACGTCTCCCGGCAGTAGCTTTCTCCGCCTCCCGGCTCCGGCAGATCGCTTCTCCCCAGCGAGCTCCTTCCAGCTTCAAAGACACAGCTCCAGAGCTCCAGCTGGACCCCAGCAACTTTCCTGCTGGCTTCCCCACACGTGGGACGTTCCTGCAATGCTTCAAAGCTTTGGCGAGCTTCCATAACCTGTTGGAATTATTTACACCGGACAAGAGGGTACACAGAGACTGAACATGGAGCCCGGCACGCTTCCGTTGCGGAACTCTGCAAGCTATCCGTGCTTCCTGCAAAAGTCCTCCTCAGGCCTCTTTCTCTTGCCGGTAGCAGAGCGAAACACAGCGGTGAGAAGCAGAGTGCAGCACGTGTGGAATAAATCAGTCCAGACACAAGGCAGTCCTTATCTACTCTTGCCTTTTAATCATGAAGAATAACATCATAAATTCAGACCTGGCGAGAACTGACACATTCTCCCTTTCGCATCACGTCCGAAAGTCAGACTGAAACACACGGAGTCAAACCCCTCCCTTAAGTGTTTCTAACCACGCCTCAGGAAAGAGACGTCACCAGAACTCTTTAACTCTGTGAGTTCTGAAACCATTCACAAAATCAGCCTTGGTCACCCTGATGTATGACCTTCATTTTGAAGGATAAGTAAATTACGCTACTCTACTGCACTCCCTCTGAAACACCAGACAAGCAGCCTTGATGACTATGAGTGCTTCTTACCAGCTTTGTTTACTATTTTGGATACTTTTGATACTATTGGACAGCTGTTTTATTGTAATTATTTGTATGTTTTAAACAGATTTTATATGATGAATCCCACCAAGGAAAAAGGCAGGGAATTAATTAATTAATTATTAAGCCATTCCCTGCCAGAGATATCTTGACTAGAGCAGCTACTCTGCGGATTTGTGGTCGAAGACTGGAGATGATTCGCCTATTGCACTAAATACTGATTTTTTTTAAATTACATTTTAATCGCTTCTTTCAATTCACTGTGCAGAGTTTTATGGTAAACACGATGAAATGCAGTAATAATAATAAAAATAATAATTTATTATTTATACCCCGCCCATCTGGCTGGGCTTCCCCAGCCACTCTGGGCGGCTTCCAAAAAAAATTAAAATACTATAATACATCAAACATTAAAAGCTTCCCTAAACAGGGCTGCCTTCAGATGTCTTCTAAAAGTCTGGTAGTTCTTGTTCTCTTTGACATCTGGTGAGAGGGCGTTCCACAGGGAAGGCGCCACTACCGAGAAGGCCGTCTGCCTGGTTCCCTGTAACTTGGCTTCTCGCAGTGAGGGTGCTGGACCTCAGTGTCCGGGTAGAACGATGGGGGTGGAGACGCTCCTTCAGATATACTGTACAGTATTATTAAGAACCGAAAGAAGCGGTTGGAAATGCATGGGGAAATCGTGCCGCGAATTAGGGCATCGCATCGCAATTGGTGGTAGTGGGGAGAGATTCATTGGTTCCCCGCGTCCCCCGACAGAGACCCCCGGCGATTTGCAAGCGCTCCCTGCGGAGAGGCGAAAGTTTTTTGGAAGAAGAAGGCACAAGCCTGAGCTGTACAGCTGCTCTATGTAAGCAAGGCTCCCTTGCCCTGCCCAGGACAGGCGGGGCGCTGTCCCTTTAAGGAGGAGGGTGCCTGGCAAGGCGGTGGGTGGCTGTTTTGCGCGCTCTCTCCGGGCCTGATCAGCCGCCTCCCTTCGCCGGGATCCGTCGGCCGCTTGGGCTGCCAGCCGTGGGAAGCCGGCGCAGCCCCTCCGCGGCCATGCTCCGGCTAGGCCGGCCGTGCGCTCTGCACGCGCTCTGCCCCGGCGGGCTGCTGCAGGTCTGCAGCAGGAGCGCCGCCTCCGGGGAAGCGGTAACCAGCAGCCTCCCGATCGGCCAGGTGCAGCCCAGCCCGGGAGTCGAGAAGCGGGCGCCGCGCAGGACGCACAGGAGGCTCCTGCGGGAAGCGCTGCTGCTCCTGCTGCAGCAGCAGCCGCCAAGCCCCGGGCGCTTCTGGATCCCGGCCGCCGGGGCTGATCTGCGCCGCGGAAGAGAGGGCGACCCGTTGCTGCTGCTGCTGACATATCCTCTGCCACAGGCAGAAGGGGAGGCGGGCGGCCCCCGTCAGCTGCTCTCCGAGATCACCCTGTATGCGGTCGGGGGCAGCGGAAGAGGCAACGGCGGCGGCCTCGGGTCCAGGAAGGTGGGTGAGTCAGCAGCCACCTCGCGCGCTGTGGATGGTTAAAACGCGGGAGAAACCGTATTTAAATAGGATCCCCCGCAAACGTGGCCAAGAGTTCCACTGAGCACGAGCAGAGTGTCCTTTCCTAGGATCCAAGACCAGCAGAGGCCTGGTTTAAGGCCTAGGCACATCTCTCGCTCTCTCTCTGCAGGGCCTTTTCTGCCGTGGCTCCCCATTTGTGGAATGCTGTCCCCAGTGAATGCTCTCACCTGCAGCCTTCACTACATATATTTAGGCGCCTCTATAACCAGGCCCTCCGGCCTTTTAAATGTGCTTGTGGGAGCGGGTTATTGGTTTTGTTTGACCTTAAGTATTCTGCCATTTCATTTTGTCTTTTTATGCTGTAAAACTGCCTTGTGAACTTTGGATGAAGGGCGATATATCCATTCAGTGCCAGATTTACATATAAGCTAAACAAGCTATAGCTTAGGGCCCCACTCTTGGGGGGACTGCAAAAAAATTGAAGGAAAAAACTGGATGTACGTTTCCAAAATATAAGATCAAATAAAATAAAACCAACATACAGCAACAGTGTTTTGTGTTGTGTAGGCTCCTATGATGTAAGTAATGGGCCCTGCCTGCTAGCCTGCTCCCTAAAATATCACTGGTTTGCTCATTTCGATATATAGGGCGCCTACATTCTGCATGGACTTTGCATTCTGCATGGACTTATCAACAATTACTTTGACAAAATACATATTTTGTTATGTACAAATGGCTGTAGATACCTATTAGGTTCAAAAATTACCATATAGCATATATTCAACACTAAAAACCAGCGACAATTTGTTGTTGACAAAGGACAGCTGGACATACAAAGGGCCCCATTACCTTCAGTAGCTTAGGTCCTCATCAAACCTAAATCCGGCCCTGTATGCATTTAATTAATAATGATGACGATACTAATATTTGCAGTACTGTTGCCGGATTTAGTGGCTGGGAAATGTAGGCCTGCCCTCTGATTCATAAAGGCACTAAGAATCTACATAGAAGTACTGCATATATTGTTAACCCAGTCTGTGGGTGGGCGGTCTGTGGACATTCAGACTGCTACTCCCATGGTCCCCGGCCATTGCCCCTTCTGGCTGGGGCTGATGGGAGTTGGAGTCTAGCAACATCAGGAAGTCCAGGCATTGCACAGGCCTCTTGCACAACATTCCTTAGGGCATGAGGGAGGCTGAGGCTTGCAGCAGGCCAGGTGCTTAATAGCAAAACTTTGACTTGCGCTGACAGTTCACCCTGGTGACTGCTCTCTGGTGTACTAGCTCTGTTATTTCTTCATATCCATCAGAACCAGCACTTGTCTGTCTTATTTTTATTATCTGTATTACTTGCATATTAATGTTATTACTTGTATATCTCCTGCCTTCCCATTGCAGAGCAAAGCCTGAGGCGGCTTTCATCTAACATGTTAAAAACAGCATATGATGCACTTTTAAAAAAAAAAGGATCAAGCAAGGCGGTGGTGGCAGCATTAAAATACAAATTTGATGGTGGTGATATCTGAAAACAATATCCAGCTGAAGAGCTTGTGAAACAAATTTTTTTTTTGCATGGTGACAAAATGCCATTGATGAGGCAAAGTAGATATTGTGGGGTGGGGAGGCCCAAAGCCTGAATGCAACTACTAATAATTGAAGTTCCGAAAGTCATGGGAGCAGAGAAGAGACTTCTCCGGTTGTATGAGAGGAAGGGAAGATATCTCAGCCCTAAATAGTTAGGGCTTCTGTGCTCTTTGCCTCTCTGTTGCCTATATGCCTGTCCTGTTGTATCAGTCTGTTCTTCTCATTCAGCTGCTTCCTTTCACTCTGTTGCTCTGCTTCTGTACAGCATCTGGAAACCATTGGTGCTAAAAGTTAAATAACAATGGCCAGGTGCCATGTAAAATTATGTCATTGAGCACTGGCTTCATTAATCCAGAATCATTACATGGACGTCTGCAGGATTTTTCTTAAGAGAGGGCCAAAGTAAAATGCTGAAAGGGGGAGCCAGCTAATTTCCCACAAATAATTAGAGGAATAGTGTCTGTATATTTTGTCGCATATTTTAGGTTTTGCAATGTTAGACACTTACTTTTAAAATGGGGGGCGGGGAAGGAATTTGGGGGTTGTGGTTCGTCTAGGGAGGAGGGGCAATTGCCTGGCTGGTCATCACTCACCCTTCACCCTATTTAGTCATCCAAGAATCATTACCTTTTATTGGTACTTTGACTTGGTAGCTAATTGGTAGCCATTGCAGATCCCTCAGCACCAGCATTATGCATGTATGGTAGGAGATGACACTATGATGATGATGATGATGATATATTACTTATACTCCACCCATCTGGCTGGGCCTCCCCAGCCACTCTGGGCAGCTCCCAACATAATATTAAAAACACAATAAAACATCAAACAATTAAATACTTCCCTAAACAGGGCTGCATTCAGATGTCTTCTAAAAGTCAGATAGTTGTTTATTTCCTTGACATCTGATGGGAGGGCGTTCCACAGGGCAGGTGCCACTACCAAGAAGGCCCTCTGCCTGGTTCCCTGTAACCTCACTTCTTGCAGTGAAGGAACTGCCAGAAGGCCCTCGGAGCTGGACCTCAGTGTTTGGGCTGAGCGATGGGGGTGGAGACACTCCTTCAGGTATACTGGGCCAAGGCCGTTTAGGGATTTAAAGTCAGCACCAACACTTTGAATTGTGCTCGGAAACGTGCTGGCAGCCAATGAAGATCTTTCAGGACCGGTGTTATATGGTCTCGACTGTGTTGTAGCTGCCACTGATTTTGTTGTGACTTGGGTTTTTTCTAGATTTGCAGTGTTAATCATATCACACCTTCCAAAATGTTTAGCATGGCATAGTGAGAGCTGGAAGGCCAGGGGTCAAATCCACACTCAGCTATATGTTCACTGAGTGATCAGTCACCAACTCTGTCTTGTTTAGCAAAAAGTATTCAGCACTGAATTAAACACGGGGATTGAGAGTTGTAGAGACTTCTGCTGTAAGTTATCGCACGTGTTGACATTAGGTCAGTTGTGCAAAAGAGAGTGATCTTATTTTTACTTCATATGAAATGTATTTCTCAGATTAGTTGTGTGTGTGTGAAGCGCATGTGCGTGTGTGGCAGTATGTGAATCGTGGCCTTATTTTCAAAAATAATCTCACCTAGCACAGCATCCTTTTGTCACGGGCTGACCAGATACCTGTGGGAAGCCTGGAAGCTGGACATGGATGCAACAGCACTTTGGACACCTGTGATTCTCAGCAACTGGTATTCAGAAACATACTGCCTCCAACACTAGAGGAGGAACACCGTTAACAGGACTAGTAGCTTTTCCTCCATGTTCAGTCCTCTGTTAAAAACATCCAAGTTGGTGGCCATCAGTGCCCCCTCTAGGAGCAAGTTCCATAGTTTTACTATGAGCTGCATGAATGAAGTGTTTTCTTTTATGTGGCACGAATCTTCCAAAATTCCGCTTGATTGGATGTTTGTTCAGTTCTATCTAGCATTTTGGGAAAGGAGGGGGATATCTATCCATTTTCTCCGTGCCATGTATAATTTTATAAACTTCTATCATGTCACATTTTCTCTAAACCAGGGTTTCCCAAACTTGGGCCTCCAGCTGTTTCTAGACTACAGTTCCCATCATTCCTGACAGCTAGGGATGATGGGAGTTGTAGTCCAAAAACAGCAGGAGACCCAAGTTTGGGAAATCCTGCTCTAAACTAACCCTTTCTTCATTGGGGAGTCGTTCCATCCCCTTTTTTTCATTTTGGTTTGCCCTTCTCGGAACCTTTTCCAACCCTGCAGCATCCTTTTTGAGGATATTTCTTAATTCATTTTCTGATGCATTTGTTTATATTTGTTTTGTGCTGGAACGGCTCAGTTTAAATGTTGCAATCGAACTTCCTTTTCTAGAGCTGCTCTTAACGATCCTTGGAAACTTGCCTGGCACGATATATGTATTTTTCTAGAGCTGATGACCCTAGCCCTGAACCACCCCTTGTGTTCATTATTGACAGAAATCAAAAGGAGCTGTAAGGCTCATTGTCCCTCTCAAATTGCTGGCCTGCTTTTTTCAGCTGGAGGCACTTGATGCCGTTTTGAGCAGAAGTGTTGGAAGAAGAGTCGCATAGTGATGGGGAGCTGAATCGCTGCCAGTTCCCATCACTTCAGGTCCTTGACAAAAGTTCCTTTCTCTCCCTATTTTTTTAGACCACCTACAGGCTTCCAGGCTTTTATCCATATGCCCTTTTCTTGGTTGGGTTGAAACACTTCATTTGCACCCATTGTATGGCCTTTGCCTCTCTTAACATTTTCTAATATTACAATGGAAGTGTTTTTAGGGGGCAACATGAGATTAGCAAAGTTTCAGATATTTGGGGGGGGGGGGCAGGGGAAAATTTTGCAGAGGAAGAAAAATTATCCCGTTCAAATTCACATTTAATTTTGGGGGGTATCATGATAGCCGTTTTGCTCAACATCACATTTTTAAGCCAGCCCCTTGCCCCAAAACAAAATATAAAACTTAGAGGTGCCAACGAAGAAAGATCAGTCTAGGCTGCTACCCTATATCAAGTAAGCCCATTAAACCGAATGGGACTCATCTGTGAGAGGATGTATATGGGATTCTGCTGTTCGTTGATTAATTTTCTTTCTTTTAAAGGAATATTACAATTTTTTCAATATAATACACAAAAGTTGGCAAGCATTGTTTGGGTGAACTTGATATTTCCCTTTTTTTCATTACATGTTACGGCAACACACCAAAATACCATCCTATTAAATCAACCTGTTTTTCATCCTCATCTCCGCTATGTAAAACTGGCTTCTACCAATTAAATCAAAAGCTTCAGTTGATCGACCTATTAAGATTAGCTTGCAGGGTAGGCAGCAGAGATCACGGCACTTTCAGGAGGGCGTATCTTCTAGGTATCGTCTAGCAAGTTCAATGTGCCAAAATGATATACGAAAAATAGATGTGGGCATGGCGGGTTTGCATTTTGGGTTAGGTGGACACGGCAGGGGTGAACAGAATAGCATAGGGCTAACAAAGGACTGGAGATGGTGAAAGGGAGAGCAACGGCTCATTTTGAAAAAGAGGCTCTGAGATCCAGTTTGCCAGAAATCCACACGCGGAACCATAAGAAGAGTCTTTCTGAATCAGACCTAAGATCCATCTAGTCCAGGATCCTGGGACAGGGTTGTAGCTCCCTGGAAGCATCTGCTTTTTCATGCAGAAGCTCTCACATTTATTATTTTATTATTATTATTATTAATATTATTATTATTATTAATTTATACCCAGCCCATCTGGCTGGGTTGCCCAAGCCACTCTGGGTGGCTCCCGACACATAAAAACATAATAAAACATCAAACATTAATAATAACAGTCTGATTCAATACAAAAAAAGTTCAAACTCAAAGGCTGGGAATAGTTCTGAAGACAGTACTATGGACCAATGGTCTGTCTTGGTGTAAGGCAACTTCCTGTGTTCTTGTTCTCACAGTGGCCAGGCCAACCACAAGTGCCTATGGGATGCCCACAAACAGGACTTGAGGGCCACGGGACTTTTCCTACTTAACGACTGGTAAAGTAAAGGTAAAGGGACCCCTGACCATTAGGTCCAGTCGTGACCGACTCTGGGGTTGCGGCGCTCATCTCGCTTTACTGGCTGAGGGAGCCGGCGTACAGCTTCCAGGTCATGTGGCCAGCATGACTAAGCCATTTCTGGAGAACCAGAGCAGCACACAGAAACACCGTTTACCTTCCTGCCGGAGCAGTACCTATTTATCTACTTGCACTTTGACATGCTTTCGAACTGCTAGGTTGGCAGGAGCAGGGACCGAGCAACGAGAGCTCACCCCGTCGCGGGGATTCGAACAGCCGACCTTCTGATCGGCAAGCCCTAGGCTCTGTGGTTTAACCCATGGCTTCAAGAAGTTGCAAGAAGGGAGATTCCAACTAAACATCACGAAGAACTTTCCAACAGTAATAGCTGTCCGATAGTGGAATGGGCTCCCTCAGAAGGTTGTGGACTCTCCTTCCTTGGGGATTTTTAAGCAGAGATTGGGTGGCCATCTGTCATGGATGCTTTAGCTGAGATTCCTGCATGGCAGGGGGTTGGACTAGATGACCCTTGGGTCCCTTCCAACTCTATAATTCTATGGTTCTACTGCCTCCAACAATGGAGATGGAGTGCAGCTATCATGACGAGTAGCCATTGAGCTAGTGTTGTCTCTGTTATCCTTCATTCAAAGGTGACCTCAACAGCAAGAGAAATGTAATCTGTACACGCCCGGGGAGTTGCAAAATGCCTACCAAAAAGATGAGGCATGGTTTGTGGAGATAATATGAGGAGAGGGTGAAGTAAGAGCTCTTTCTTCTGGTTTCCTCCTCCCTCTGGCCTGCCTGCCGGTTATCCAAACAGCAGCCAACGAGCACACACAGAACAAAGGCCCCAAAACAAAATGCACAACATTGTATTGATTTTCTTCAAGCTTCGCTCCCTGTTGAGCAAAAGCCAAATTGTGTCCCAGTCAGGCGCAGCCACAGCCAGTCTCATTGTCAAATGGAAAAGCATTTTCTCTCACTTCATGCCTCTCCTCGTGACTGTTTTAAGCGTCTGCAAACTATCCCAGTCTCCTTTGTTTGTGTGTGCTGTTTCCTTTTGTATTTTTTTTTCCAATTATTATTCCAAATCAAAACAAGTTAGCCTTTCTCCAGTTCTCTTGGCTAGGGTTTTGTTGCTCACCAAATGCGTAAGAAGCTTGGGTGCTCAGAAGTGAAAGGGAGGAGGGAACATGGCCTGCCCACGCAAAGCTGTTGTCGCCTTGCAAGTGATCCACCAAGCTGAATATAGCCCAGAAGCTCACCAAAGACATTCATCAAGTGCCTTAGAAGATAGGAAGCTGCCTTAAATTCAGCTAGAGCGTGTTGCCGATAACGCCAAGGTTGCAGGTTTGATCCCCGTAAGGGACAGCTGCATATTCCTGCTGTCACGGTCCGGTTCATGGGCGATCGAAGTCCCGGCAGGGGACGTCAGGACCAGGGGCAAGATGGCGGGGTGGGAGCAGGAAGAGGGGTCCAGAAGCCAGGAGTCAGGAAGTCCGAGGGTCAGAGAGCCGGGAGTCACAAAGTCAAGGGTCCGAGGATCAAGAAGCAGGGAGTCAAGAAGCTGAGGTTCAAGGATCAGGAAGCAAGAAGCCAAACACAGCAAGGCAGGAAACATGTTGCTGTGGCAAAGAGCCGAAGGGAAATGCTGACCTTATATCCCTTCCCAGCTCTTGCCACCAGGTGCTGTGAGTTACCAATCAGCCACACCTGTGAGGCTGTGCCTTGCCTCTTCAGAACAAACTTAGGAAGGCCCCAGTCCTGCAGAGTCCTGTTGGTCACAAGGCCTGGCTCCTGCACGCACTCCTGACACCTGCATTGCAAGGGGTTGGACCAGATGACCCAACTCTATGAATCTATGAGTCAGGCCATTGGTCAATCTAGTAGAGGGAACCTCAAGGCTGGGCTGCGGTGGGGTCAAATGCAACCCTCTATCTGGCCCTTGGCTCCCCAGGCTGCATCCCCTCCTCAACCAGACACCCCATCAGCCCTATTTCATACCTTTCCAGAGGGTTTTTTTTTCCTGGCTGGAAAGTGTCCTTGAATTCTGATAATGCTTCTTGATTGCCTGGGTGGAAGACATAGGTGTGTGTGTAGAAGCTGGTTACTGTACCACTTTTGCCTCTAGTCTCACCAACCACTGACATTTGGACCAGTTTGAAATGTGGCCTCTGTCTGGGGAAAAAAGATTTTCCCACCCCTCATCTATCCCAAAATATATCACGGCCCAAATACTTCAAAAAGTGCCTCTCCAGTATGTTCCAGCCTGACCATTGAGATCGTCAGAGGGGAACCTTCTTAGGGTGCTATCATATAGTGATGACGAGACTTCCCAGTTGGCGCCATCGATAATGGCGGATTCCCTCTGAGTCTCTGAGGGACCAGCTCCGCGGGATCGGGTCTGACCGCTGCGGCGAAGCGGGGACCCTTTAAAAATCACAGGCGGGTGAAGCCTGTGAACGTGGGGACTCGGCGGGCACCTTTTGCGCCCCCCCCCAAAACTGCGAAGGGACTTTTTTCTTTTTTTGTTTTTGTTTTGTAGTATCTTGAAAATCTTAATAAATATCTTTTTTTTAAAAAAAAATATCATATAGTGATGATGGAGAGCCTTCTCAGTTGTGGCACCCTCCCTGTGGAACTCTCTGCCACTGGAGGTCCATCAGCTCTCTTCAGTTTCATCGTGCCAAAGCTATGCCTCTGCACTCTGGCCTAGAGGCCTTCCTGGCACATGTCACCAGTTCGTTTCAGGAAAATTCAGTTTGTATGGGATCGTTTATGTCTTGCTGTTTTAAGGCAGAAGTGTTTCGATTTTATTTTGCTCTTCATGTATTTGACAGCCTGGGACATGAGGACCAGGCCACCGTGATCCAGGACCCTCTGTTTAGTGTGCAGTGGACCTGTAGGGTGAACTGTCAGAAGCCCCTAGAATGCTGTACATAACCCAGAGGTGGTGTGGTCCCTGGAGTCCCAGCTGGTTCGCAAAAACAATCTCCTTGTCAGCCTTTTAAAAAGAGCCCTCTTCTATCTATTCAGAATAATCTCTTTCCCTGCACAATTTGGGAGGGTGTGGGAGCGATCCACTCTGGGCGCTCAAGGTTTACTGCATTTCCTTTTTTTCCTGGCTCCCAGTGAATTGTTTCTTCCCGTATTTCCACCACCTTCTCTCCCATTAAAAAAGGGGCAGGATTTGTTCTCTCGGCTCCACTTCTCCGCCCCGCAAATTCCTTATGCAATGGAGAGGCAGGGCCGCCTTGGGAATTTGCTCATGTCCTCCCCCTGGAATCTGGGAGTTCTAAACCTGTTCTTCCAGCAAAACAAACAAACACCCTGAACCTCTAGCGCCATTTTAAGGCTCACAGATTTGTAACTGATTTACGGTAAATGTTAAGCCTCTAAGGTGCCACAGCATTTGTTGTTTTCACTGCAGTACTATAGGACGCAGTACTAACAGAGCTTCCCCTCTGGAATTTGTTCTCCCAGATCTGCTTTTATTAGTTGCAGTCGTTTCACCAGCCTAGCAAAGCATATTGTCAGCAAGCAATTGCCAGCAATTCCCCAGTGGTCCCTTTCCTGAGTTTTCAGTATTTTGTTGCAAACGTGCATATTGCACAACATCACGGGAGCTGAAAATGCTGGTCTTTATACCGGGATGAATTATTTCAAGTCTCTAAATAGCTTTCTGCTTGCCTGCAGCAGTACAGTACTCCTAGGATTGGCACATGTCAGCAGAGCCAGCTGAAGCTTGAACTGAAAGTTACTATGCCATAATCAAGATAGATTCAGATTCTGTAGCTTAGAATCATCGAATTGCAGCGTTGGAAGGGACCCCAGTGGTCATCAAGTCCAGCCCCTGCAAATGCAGGAATCCTGCCCATAGCTGTCCCGCGGGCGGGCAGGCGGGCGGGGACTCAAACCACCCTTCTGATTAACAGCCAGATGTACTGACTGACGCATTGTGCCACTGGAGTCTCTCTGAAATATGACCCATGTGCTTCTCACTTGTAAAAGTAGGAAGTTGAAGACTTAGAAATACTGTGGTTTTCAGTTTGTGATCGAGTTGCCTTACACAGAGTCAGGTACATAGAACAAGGGTCTTTAACCTCTCTGTTCATGCACAGAGGCCTTCCAAAGTTTGGACAGAGGTCTTTCCCAGTGTTGCTACTTAAGATCCTTTTAATTGAAGATTTGGACCTTCTTTTTGCAAAGCACACATTCTGTGGCCTTGGAGCATAGGCAAAAATGTCAGGCCATTGGTTCATCTTGCTGGGTTGGATAGTTCAGAAATGTATGTGAAGAATGTGCTCTTTTCTTCCAAATGGTGGTCTGCTGCCATATTCTTGTGGGTGTTTTACAACACCCCTGGAAAAAAGTCAGGCATTTCATAGACCGGTTATTAGAACTGAAAGAGGGTGAATTGTTGAAGAACACACAGTGAGTCTGGGCCAATTCTCTATGTACTTTATCCACAATCATTTCTTTCTCTCATTAGAAGCATGTCACCATCTCTCAGCTTCATGTTCCCAGTTGTAGTATGGGAATGACCATCAGTTTTGCAGCATTAAGAAGACTGTACAGCTACACATTCACAGTGTGTCCTCCTTGGACAACTGACCATCTTTCACAGCCTTTTACTCATTGCATGTTCACATCAAAATACAGTGTGGTACCTAGTTATGACTATTTTTCAAAGAGCATTATAGTATCTTTTGAGCATCAATAAATATGTGTAGTACTCTGCAGTAGGTACCCTTCACTGGGATAAGAGAGTGGTTGTTCTGAAGCAGCAAGCTATCAGTAACTTATAGCATCTTATTATACACATTGTTTGAAATCAGATGTAGTATAAACATTGCTTGAAAAGTTCCATTGGAAAAAAGAAACTACCGTATTTTTTGCTCTATAAGACTCACTTTTTCCCTCCTAAAAAGTAAGGGGAAATGTGTGTGTCTTATGGAGCAAATGCAGGCTCCGCAGCTATCCCAGAAGCCAGAACAGCAAGAGGGATTGCTGCTTTCACTGCGCAGTGATCCCTCTTGCTGTTCTGGCTTCTGAGATTCAGAATATTTTTTTCTTGTTTTTCTCCTCCAAAAACTAGGTGCGTCTTGTAGTCTGGTGCGTCTTATAGAGCGAAAAATACGGTAGTTCAACTTTATCCCGTCCAAAAAGGTACTAGTTCATTTGTCCTTTTACAAAATAATTTAGTTCAAGTTCATAAAAAGTTTATCCTTGGCAAAACAAAAAGAGTGTTCAGAATGTTACAAGCTGAAATATAGGGTCCAAATGGAAGCCAGGGAGCACACATAAGTAGTAAAGTGTCTGACAGACAGAATGTCAACAGGTGAAGTTTTCCTCATAAATGTATTTCCATACTAGGTTTACCTTACAGTGGTTACATATGCTTCAGGTTACATACGCTTCAGGTTACAGACTCCGCTAACCCAGAAATAGTGCTTCAGGTTAAGAACTTTGTTTCAGGATGAGAACAGAAATCGTGCTCTGGCGGCGCGGCAGCAGCAGGAGGCCCCATTAGCTAAACTGGTGCTTCAGGTTAAGAACAGTTTCAGGTTACCGTATTTTTCGCCCTATAGGACGCACCGGCCCATAGGACGCACCTAGTTTTTTTGGGGGGAAATAAAGGGGAAAAAATTTACCCCCCCCCCAGCTGCGGATATCTGCCCGAAGCGCGGGGCGCTCTGCTTCAGCGCGCCCTGCGCTCCGGGCAAGCAGGCTGCTATCCGCAGCCTAGGGAGCCCTGTGGGAACTCCCGCGGGCTCCCCAGGCTTGCTGATAGCTTCCTGAAGCCTGGAGAGTGAGAGGGGTCGGTGCGCACCGATCCCTCTCGCTCTCCACGCTTCAGCGAAAGCCTGCATTCGCCCCATAGGACACACACAGATTTCCCCTTCATTTTTGGAGGGGAAAAAGTGTGTCCTGTAGGGTGAAAAATACGGTAAGTATGGACCTCTGGAACGAATTAAGTACTTAACCTGAGGTACCACTGTATTTGTAATTTGTGGCAGCCACACAGCTGTTAAAGGCACAATGCAACATTTTCTTTGTTGTTGTAGTTCTTCCTACAAGATACTCCTTTTGGAAGAGAGCAGATATTTTCAGCAAGGAAGATACACGAAAAGCCTCTTTTTCCTTCTAATTGCTTAGCCATATTAATTGACTAAGCATCCTTAGAAGCAACAACAGCTCCATATCTGCCTGATAAGCCTTAGAACATTGTCTCCACACTTTGCTTTCTAACTTTGTCCAAGTGACTTAGCTTTCTTTCCCTTTCTTTTTCTCAATTTAAAAGAAAGAGTCTGGGCCTCCTTTGCGGGGCTGTGAAGATGAACTAGAAATCATTCCATGTTCTACCTCCCAGATTAATTCACCTGGTAATTATGGGAACTACTTTCAGGTGTAGTGCAATTAATTTTGTTCAACTGAAGTAGTTCATTCCAAGCGCTGAATAGGCATGATGAGCATCACCACTGTAATTTTTAAAATTTGTATACTGCCCTTCATCCGCAGATCCCAGGGTGGTTCACAGCATAAAAATACAATATAATACATATGAACGATGCAGGTAAGAAATAGGAAAACTATGGTGCACACAGACTATATTGTAGCATTTGAACAGAGCACTCTGTGAACTAAACTTTGCACTTTTATTTTTAGTGAAATGCTCAATCACTCTAGAAACATATTTTAATGAGCACCCATTCCCCCCACTATACATAGGAGACTAGTGAAACTGCAGGAAACGACCATGCAGATCCTAGCCAGGAGAATGGAAAGAAACCTAACAAATCCCAGCAGCTGAAGAAAGTTTTTAAGGAATATGGAGCTGTGGGAGTTGTATTCCATGTTGGGATTTCTTTGATGTCTCTAGGAATGTTCTATCTAGCCGTGTCAAGGTATGTTTTCCATACTATTTGTAATTGGGTTTGGTGTGGCAAGGACTTGATACAATGTCACATATAACATGGGATAAATATTTATGGCTGTTGGATATAAAAATTGATTTGCTGGATCAAAGAGAGATCCATCCAGTCCAGCATTTGGTTTCCAACAACAGCCAGCAAGATCCCTGTAGAAGTTTTTTAGCATGGAATTAAGATGCCCATTTCTTGTAGTTTGTCCCCAGCATTCAACATTCAAGAGACACTCAAGGCTGTGTCCAGCTAACTTTCACCCAGAGTGGAACCACTTAAATTAATGAACCTAAGTTAGTTATGCTCATTTTCAGTGGGTCTACTCTAAGTAAGACCTTCATTAGCTATAACCCACTGCTTTTTGGATATTATGCATACCCATTGATTCCCCTCCCCCATGCAGAGAATCTCCATATAGTTGTCATTTTTAAAGCCATCTAAGCCTCCCTAAGAGGTAGATTTGTTGATCAGCCCCTTTACATGTTCCTCACCTGTAAAGTATGACTTTGATCAGGTCTTTGTAATAGTTGTACTGGCCAACTTGTATGTGAAGAGAAGCAACTCAGGTATAAAATTGTACTTTGAATACAAATTGGGTCCAGCTCCTAAGCCACCACTTTGTAGTGCCTCCACTTGATGGACCTTGGAGTTGATACGACACATCTGAAGTCTGCCCATACTAGATCTAAACTGATGCCCATCATGAAATATTGCAGTAGCAAAAAAACACTTTGGAAAATCCATGCTTGTTTTTGTAATGTTACTAAGCTAAGTTGTGGTTTGTTTTCACCCCCTTTTAGTGGAGTGGACATGACTGCTATCCTCTTCAAGTTGGGATTTGATGACGCTCTTGTGCAATCCAAGTTGGCCGCTGGGACGAGTACTTTTGTTTTGGCCTACGCTATCCACAAACTGTTTGCTCCAGTCCGCATCAGCATCACCTTAGTCTCTGTGCCATTACTTGTGCGATATTTTCGGAAGATAGGTTTCTTCAAACCTCCGACTCCAAATCCATGATTAAATCACTGGAGGAAAACAAGGCTGCCACCTCAGTTAATATAAAATATAAAATGTTTTTAAATTGCTGCACCCTGGTGGTGCCTGTGCAGATTCCTGTAATACCATCTTTGCATTGTGTATTCATGGTGGAGGGAGGGGAAGTGTTTTTTTCCTGATAAACTACTTCACAAATACTGATTACCTATGTTTCTTCCTCAAGTCCTGTGCCAGCCCAGAGAGGCAGATGTTCTAATAGCAATTATATGGGTACTTCTAGGAAGATAGGAAACTGCCTTATTATAGTAACTTAGGCCATTGCCCAGTATTGTCTGTTTGGACCAGCAGTGCCTCTAAGACAGAAGTCTTTTACCTCACTTTCTAGCTGCTTTTAACTGGAGTTGCCAGGGGTTGATCTTGAAACCTTCTGCAAGAAAAGCATATACTGATACAGTTGAACTTTGGTTCCTCTCCATATACAGATATCTGTATAAGCTTTCTGGTATAAGCTTTGTGGACTAAAACCTCATCTCATTAAATGCATGACATATCCATATACATATAAACACATATGCATTCACACATAAATGCAAATAGGAGATGGCATACATCTAACAAAGTGGGTTTTAATCCACAAATGTGTGTATATATGCATATGTGTGTGCACAAACACATGCAAAGATGGAAAATTTAATACAGGGGTCACCAACCCACGGTCCGGGGGCCAGATAAGGCCTGAGGGACTCGTTTATGCAGCCCGCAGGAACCCCCTTCCGGGTCGGAGCAGCACCGGAAATAGCTTGTGTGCATGCGCATGGGCCTCCTCCAACCCGTATGTGCACCGGAAATAGCGTTTGTGCACACATACGGGTGCGCACTCCCCCACCCTCTGTGCAGTCGTCGCTGGAGACACCGGCCCAAGGCAAGGAAAGCTTGGAGACCCCTGATTTAAGATGTCTGAGGACTATAATTCTAATAGCAAACTCTAGTGTTTAGTGCCAACATGAGTGTAGGCTAGAATGGGCTGCTAGGTAATGAGGTATCATGCCTGGAGGAATTCCAGGGTTTTCAGAAATACAAGAATTTGTAAAAATCTGAAGGTCAATAAAACTGGGCCTAGGCAGTAGCCACATAATGTTGCCTGTCAACTGAAAAAGACTAGGGTAAGGGGCAGTGGATCACCCTATTTAAAGGGAAGGACTGGAAGGAATGCTGAACTGGTATACTCTTCAGGTGAACTGACTGTTACCAATAATTGTATTGCCTTCGATGATGGGTTTGTTTGCATTTGTATCAGGTACTTCTCTTTCTCAGGTGTTCTCCCACTTGACCAAGTCTAATATTCTATATTGCCATCACTAGTAATAGTCAATGATAAATTTATCCTCCATCAATTTGTCACCCTTTTAACAGCCATCACATTATATGGTAGCAAAATCCGTGATTAGTTCTCTGTTGCATGAGGAACTGCTTTTGTCTGTCCTGGATATGCTGCTAATCTACAGCAGTTGAGGCACTGAAAAGTCAGATTTGTTGGCAGGCCATTCTAGTGGACCCAAACACTACAGAAATCGACCAAGAATTGCCATATTCATTTGTTGTTTTCCAGGCCCATATGAAACAAACCAGACACAGGACCCACAAATGTTTCAACTCATACCTTTTATAATAGCCTCACACCCTTGCACACGGATTGTAGGAATGCCTCAGTGAGATATGAAACTTGTTGCTAATGACAATTTAAAAAATCAAATGCCTTCATTTCTGCAATGCATCTGCCTCTTTAATATTTTAAAATTTAGGCTAAAAATCAGTTAACAAGTTCATCCCCAAATTTAAGTCCTTGCAGAAATAAATCCAAATCACTTCCAATTACAGTGGTACTTCGAGTTAAGAACTTAATTCGTTCCAGAGGTCCATTCTTAACCTGAGGTGTGCTTTTGATAATGGGGCCTCCCGCTGGCACACAATTTTCGTAACTCAAAGTGTCTGTAACCCGAGGTACCACTGTAAATTTATGAAACCATATTCAAATAATCCCAACAATAAGTTTTATTATTTGCGCCACTTAAGTAAAGATGTTTAACCCTATAGCTTTAAAGAAGTCTCTCTTCCCCCTCTAATACGGTTTTAATAATCAAGAACACTAGTTCTGTCTTGATTTTCAAGACTAGTTCAACTAGTATTTATTCCACCTGGACATTTAAGCAGTACATTCTTCAAGTTACTGTTAAGTCAGGAATAGGGAAAATCCACCTTGCAGGCCCAACACTATTCCCAATTTGGCATGAGGCCAATTTCCCCAAATGCCCACCTGCCCCACACCTCATGTGATGTCAGATGTGGGATACGTAGAGATACAACTGGGTTGACTTACAAGCGAGTTCCTAGTGGAGAATGCCAGGTGATTGACAGGTGGATCAGCCCATGGGGCTGGGAACCAATAAGGATCTGGCCTGTTAGGCCAGAAAGGTTCCCTGCCCTGGCATAGGCAGATGTAAAAAATCCAGAACAGATTTAAGTATTCAAAGGCAACTTCAAGTAAGGTATGCAGAATCAGTGTCAGATTGCATTTTGTAATGGATCTTTGCTAGCCAGTAAGCATAGTTGTATTATTGGCAGATTTGGTACACCAATCAGAATGTGTGGGTGCTTAGAAGGACCACTAAACTGACCATTTTGGTAGCATAAAGAAGAAGTCTTGTTATAAAAATCTTTATTTAAAACTTAAAGGAAAAGAACAACTAAACAATACAGTTACACTCAAAGATGGATTCCATTCATTGCACATGTGTTTCGGATGTTATCTTGTGAGGACATGCTGCTTCATAAACTGCTTCATATTGCACAATAATCCATGGCTCAGTTTCATGATGCTATCAAAAAGGGGCCAAAAGGGAAATGCCAGCCATGAACATGAGACGATCCTCAACCAGCTATGCCTCAGAGTGGCATGTGCAAAGAGGACTTCAAGTAAGTTAGATATTGACAAACTGCTTTATGACCTGATTTGTAAGGTTCATGATCAGAGCTTACAATGCGATAAGCTCTGCCTTTTGAGTCCAACCAGCCTATATTGGCTGGATTACCACAGATCTCATCGGAACTACTTTGTTCCTGGGAACTACGTGCTATGACTGGATATTCTTAGCAGTGGTAGTTTCAGCAACTTTATACTTGGGAGTTTTTGTAGAGCTTGCAATAATCCATGGATGTTTGAGCACCTCCTCCAGTGGCAGCCTGTGGAATGGATTGTGCTTCAGCAGCTTTGAAATCAGATTCTGAGCACCCTCTGTTACAAATGGAGGAAATTTGTACTCTACCTTTAAACCAAAGAAATAGTCATCATTAGACATGTTTCTATGAAAGCATGCATTCAAGGTGCATGAACTATTAAGTATAACCATTAGACTCTTCCCCCACCCCCCCCACTATACATTAGTAATCATGGTTTTTCTCTTGCCTTTTTGCTTAGCAGTCTCTTTCTGCGTCACTGTGGGTTCTATTTAACTAGTGTTATCCCATACTTCTATTTTTGAACTAGCTCAGAGAACTTGTTCAAGCCTGTCTGTCCTAGGCTGCTTTTCCACAGTGGACTGCAAATGGGAAACGCAAATTGAGCAGGTAAGTGTGCCAGAGGATTGCACCTCAAATCTTGCAACTGAACCTGTTGGGGAGGACAACCTGGATTTACCAGAATACAAAAAAATACTAAGACAACACATTTAAAAATCAGAAATTCTAGTTCTTTAATTGAAAACTCCTGAACTAAAGTCAATGATATTAGGCCCCAAACCTGGAAAGTGCAAGTTCCATAACAGCTAGTTGAGAGTTAATTCCTATACCATGAAATGCTCAGATTCTAAATCAAGCAGCGTTATAATTCAACTTACCTTTGAAATGGCTCTGTATGTTTCCTGGTATGTGTCTGCCTCAAAAGGAGGCTTTCCTACTAGGAATTCGTAACACAAGACACCAAGGCTCCATAGATCAACTTTTTCATCATGTGTTCTCCCTTCAATCATTTCAGGTGGTAAGTAGTCAAGGGTACCACACAAAGTCGACCTCCTAGAAAACAAAAATGATGCACAGACTAACAACTGAAGGTTGTCACACACAACTATTAAGATATTTCCCCACGCACTCATCTAGATCTGCATTCATGATTTAACACTTTGTAAAGCACTTTGTCCATGAATAGTAGTATATAGTATACTGGAGGAAGGCATGGCTGATGGTCAACCTGAAGAAGAGCATCCCTTCTAGGCATGCTTGATACCCTTGTAATCTAATCAACACTTGCTTGATACCCTTGTAATCTAAGTAACATTCTCAACTAACAGTAGTTTCCCTAAACTCAATTCTTATAATCAGAGACTAATGCTAAGTTATTTTCACAAAGCTTACTGCCTACAGAAACAAAACAATTTCCTCTTAGCCAAGTTCTGATTCTGTTGTCTGTCTCCATAGTACCAAGCTTCTTCAGCTCTCAGAAACGCAGGTCAGTAAAGCATGAGACTCAGATTAATCTCAGGATTGTGGATTTGAGCCCCACATTGGGCGAAAGATTCCTGCATTGTAGTGGGTAGGTCTAGATTATCCTCTGGTCCCTTCCAGCTCTATGATTCGCTTACCTAGAGGATGGAGCATGCACAGACCATCCAAAGTCAGCAATCTTTAGCTCTCCATTTGATCCCAGCAGCAAGTTTTCAGGCTTTATGTCTCTATGAATTACTCTTTTCGAGTGGCAATATGATAACGCATCTGCCAGTTCAGTGATATACTGTAGAACAAAAATGAAGATTACAAATATAAGGAGTTCAATCTAAGCATTGTTCAAGCTATGCAAATGCCTAAAATGCATGGGTAAAATGGTAGAAAATGTTTCTCAGTGTATCAATAACATGCTGCATCACTGATGCAAACAAATCCTTAATATGGGACAAAAACCTTTAGACACACCTAATTCAAGACTCTCTTTCCCACAGCCAAGTACAAAGAACTCAAAACATTAGACACCAAGCTGGATTAGTATAGCTCTCAACATAGCTTCTTCTTCATAAGAAGCTACTTTTAATACCGTATTGGCCCAAATATAAGTCACACCTTTAAAATTAGAGGGAGGGGGAGAGAAAAAAATACCCTAATATAAGCCGCTCTATTCCTCACTGCTCCTGGCCTTTCCCCTTCCTTGCTCTCTCCCTTCCCCGGCCTTGGGGGAGAGGATGGGGGACTATGCACAGGGCGGGTTGTGAATATAAGCAGCACTAACTTTTCACAATCGGAATTTGGGGGAAAAGTGACGCTTATATTCAGGCCACTACAATAATAGACACTCCTACCCCAACCAATCTTGCCCCAATTCCATAGGCTTCATCTGCATGCACACCAAGCACTGTCCTGTATCATGCAATCCGCCATGTAGCCTTGCCAAAGACTGACACATATAAATGTCCTATTTATTCCAGTGAAATCCCTCCTGTCCTATTTTGGGATATTCTTTACTGGAAAAGCCAACCTAGCAGTTCGAAAACACGCCCAAAAGATAAATAGGTACTGCTCTGGCGGGAAGGTAAATGGTGTTTCCGTGCTCTGCTCTAGTTTCGGTGTTCCGTTGTGCCAGAAGTGGCTTAATCCTGCTGGCCACATGACCCAGAAAAACTGTCTGTGGACAAACGCCGGCTCCCCCAGCCTGTAAAGCGAATGAGCGCCGCAACCCCAGAGTCGTCTGCGACTGGACTTAACTGTCAAGGGTCCTTTACCTTTTTTACTGGAAAAGCTATGAACTTCTCAACTCCACAAAACTGAGGAAACATACCTTACTCTACCCATTTATACTGATATTGTTTCCCACTTTTGGACTAGCGAAACAAAGCTGTTTAGTATAACCCTGGCTCAAGTCAGTGAAAGAAGAATCTACCCTTTCATGCCCTTCTCTAAGGAAGAGTTTGGTCCTAAAATTGCAGTTTTAGCTTCAAATGTGGTCACATACACAGTTCTGAAAAAAATATCCTCACAAGGTCAACATACATTAGCAGTCCGTTCCTCATCAAATTTAGTAAGCCTTTGGAGTTCTTTGTACACTTCTCCACGTGGTGCATGTTCCAGGATTAGGTAGACTCTTGTTGCATCATGGAAGTAGCCATAAAGTCGGAGAATATTTGGATGCCTACAAGTAAGTATATGCATCTTTAATAATGATGGCTTCATTTGTAAATGATGTGCACATAATTCTCCATGCCTCCCTCAATCTCCTACAATTTGCTAAATAAATAAAAGTATCATTTGAGAAATTCTGTAACCACCACCAAGTTAGTTAGAGCCACTGTGGCTAGGAGTGTTCTTTACCAGCTTTGTCTGGTTTGCCAGCTATGGTCATTCTTTGATGAGGATAGTCTGATCAGTGTCGCCCAAGTGTTAGTAACTTTAATGCTGGATTACTGCAGTGTACTCTATGTGGGGCTGCACATAGAATGTGACACCCAGATTGCAAATGGGGGCACGCTGCAAATAAAATGTGATACCATTTTATAAAACATCTACACTGGGCGCCTATCTGCTGAGCTTGGCTCAATGTCCTTTTATTTACACAAACCTGAAGAACTTATATTCAGGATACCTTAGGGGCTGCCTAAATCAGAGTTTGATCACTGGGAGCAATGACAGGAGTGTCTTTGGTCATTCCCCGAGTAGGATAAAGTTCATTTGACATCAGCATGAAATAGACCCTTTAGTGTCATCAGCCTAATCCTATGCAAAATTCTGCCAATAGAGATTCAGCAGGCACCTGTTTCAAACTTTTAACACCTGCTTAAAACTTTTCTGTGCTGCCAGGCATATGCATGCAATTAAGAAAACATCTTTTCATAAGTTCATAGAATCATAGAGTTGGAAGAGACCACAAGGGCCATCGAGTCCAACCCCCTGCCAAGCAGGAAACACCATCAGAGCACTCCTGACATATGGTTGTCAAGCCTCTGCTTAAAGACCTCCAAAGAAGGAGATTCCACCACACTCCTTGGCAGCAAATTCCACTGTCGAACAGCTCTTACTGTCAGGAAATTCTTCCTAATGTTTAGGTGGAATCTTCTTTCTTGTAGTTTGGATCCATTGCTCCGTGTCCGCTTCTCTGGAGCAGCAGAAAACAACCTTTCTCCCTCCTCTATGTGACATCCTTTTATATATTTGAACATGGCTATCATATCACCCCTTAACCTCCTCTTCTCCAGGCTAAACATGCCCAGCTCCCTTAGCCATTCCTCATAAGGCATCGTTTCCAGGCCTTTGACCATTTTGGTTGCCCTCCTCTAGACAACTCCTCTGGAGTTGATTGCCTCTAAATTTCTACTTGCTTTTATTATATATTCTTGTAAGCTGGATTGATTTTTATGATATAGCATTGTGTGTATGTGTGTGTATATATATGTGTGTGTGTGTACACACACAAACACAAATGTGGAATGCTTCTAAAAATAAAAACCTGCTTAAGATAGCAAACATAGAAACCCATTCAAAACAGCCATTTAAAATCAATCTTACCGAAGATGAGACTGTATTTCTACTTCTCGCCGCAGTTGATGTTCAACACCTGCTTTTTCCAGCTGTGTTTTAAATAAGACCTTCAGCGCCAAGATGAATTTGCTTTCCTTTTCACGAGCCAGATATACATTTCCAAATTTTCCTTTTCCCAGAGGACGACCAATTTCAAAGTCATCAAGAGACCACTGTTTTCTAGAAAATAAAGCTATTATTTAGGTTGTCGCAAGGTAATACAGCTGCCTCTCTGAAGTGAGAAGTTACTTTCATGCATATGGTCCTGTCCCAAATTAGTAAACTTGCTGGCAATTACAAGGCATTCAGTAACATAACATGCAAAAGTTTGTTTTGTGACTTCCGGGTTGGCGCCTCTGGCAATGGCGGATTTCCTCCGATCGGGAGGAATCCGCTCCGTGGAAAACAGGGTCTGAACTGCCACGGCGAGGCGGAGACCCATTAAAAACCACAGGCGGGAGAAGCCTGTGGACGTGGGATTCGGCTGGCACCTTTGCGCCCCCCCCTACTCGCGGGGAAACCCGGTTTCGGGGATCCAGAGCGACGTGGGGTGAGTGGCGCGGTGCTTTGAATCGACTGCTTCTTTCACGGAGTGAAGCCGCATTGCTGTTTGGAGAGTGCTGACTTTTTCCTGTGGACAATTGGATTTTAAACAACTGCCCGTGAGTCGAACGGAAAATTGGATTAAGAAACTTTTTTTAATTTGGCACTGAAGCGGGAAGGTCTAAACAGGAAGTCCGCCTTCCGCTTTTGTAGATAGATTTAAGCAAAGACACGGCAAGCTAGAGTTTAGAAAGTCGTCTGTAAAGGATCAAATTTTCATCATTTAAAATTACTGAACCCCCCTTGGAAGCAGGAGAAGAGGGGGAAACCTTTTTTAGACTGTTTAAACCTGCAGAAGAGTGAAGAAAAGCAATTTTCCACCGTCTTGAACCTGGGAGCGGGGTGTCAGGACAGACGTTCTTGGGAAGTTCATTGACTATGGACAAACGTTTTTGACAGATAGTTAAAAGAAGAGAAACATTGATTCCATTGTTCCCCTTCGCATTTAAAAGGAACAAAATATTGACAAAATATCCAAAAAAGGAAACTTTGTTGCTAGATCTGCTTTAAAAAAAAAAGAAGAGATGGATAAAAATAGAAATTGTTTCCCCTAGAGGGAGCTTGTGAAACTGTTATTAAAACCGAACTGGGGAGCTTTGCAGCTGCAATAGATTAAGATCGTGGGACCAGACTTTGACCTTGAACAAGAATGTACTCGGAGGCTCTGGTGCTTGCCTTTTGCAAGACAAGTGCTTTATTGGAACAGTTACATGAAAAGATGGATTTGATGACTGTTGCGATCGGAAATTTTGGACAGGCAGTGGGTACCTATATAGAACCCACTCAGGAATTAATCCAGGAATGTGCTTTGACAGATCAGATGAGGGAGGAGGTTGTTGCTGGACCTCGGGAGGCAGAGATGGAGGGAACTGTGGCCCAGCAGGAATATGAGTTGTTGGATTCGACGAACGAACCTGGAAAAAGTCAGATTTGGAGAGATGGAGTCCAGTTTGGTTTGGAGATGGGGGGCTGGATTTTACGTGATAAGAGATTTGCCAAAAGCTGCAAAAAGAAGTAATCATGAATAACAACAACAGATTTGTTTTTCATCTTCCTACAAAAAAATAATGTATGGAAGTAAATTAAGTATACAACTTACTTTTTGGTCTCACTGTTTGAATTTGACACCCCTTTTGCCTCTTTCTTCTGATTTGATACACCTGGTTCAGCTTTTTTTCCTGCATGTAGAAAAGTTCAATACACTCAGACTTTATGAAGTGACACTACTCTCTAGCAATTTGTGTTTTAAAATGTCCTCCTCAGAAGGTAAACTTCGTGCTTTATATCCAGCACACAAAATAAACTATCTTCACCTGAAAACCATGCAGACCAATCAATATTCTGAATATAAGCAGCTTGGGTAGCAATCTTACTTACTTGCCACATATGTACCCCCCCCCCCCGGAAGCTAGTGAAGCTCACACAAAAGCTCCTAGCTCAAGACCAGTAAGTGGCTTTTGGACTGTTTCCAAGTCCTCCCACCTGCAATACAAATGACTGCAGATGCTTTCTGTAGAGTGTATCTAGGTCATTTACACCACTAAGTAACACTCCATGCCACCATCTCAATGAATTGGAGCCTAAGCTTCTACTGGGAATTACCCCAAGGCAGGGCCGTCTTTACCTAGGGGTGCAAGGGGTGCTGCTATGCAGCAGCAAAGTCAGTGGCACCTTTGACATGACTGATCTTGCGCCAGCAGGCAGGCGGCGTGAGATTAGTCGTGTCAAAGGTGCCACTGACCACGAGGAATCTCAACTCAAGCCATCCAAGCTTGCTCTGCTTAAAACCTTCCAAGGGAAAGAGTCAGGAGTGCCCACCACCTCCCGTTTCCTGCGGGAAACTCTGCTTGCTTGATCTGTGTCTCCCTCCCAAGCCATGATCAGCCTGGACAAGGAAGAGCCCAAGTTCGATTTCAATTTCCTCTTCAAGTTTAACCAGAGCGATGAGGGTGCCAGCAGCAAAGGTGGGTGGTGAGTCAACGCTGTCTGGCTTCCCGGGATTTAAGGTGCGGTGTGTGAGAGAGAAGAGGTTAGTTTATTTCCAGCACGTTAAATATAGTGATTCTTCTGGGACGGAGGAAGAAGGGTCTTCACCAGAGGCAGAGCCGAGGTATGGAAGAAAGGAGCCATCCGGAGGCACCTCCTGTGGCTGCAATGCAAGCATCTGTCTCCCTTCTTTCGCCTAAGGGACGGGTCAGTTTGGGGGCTAAACTAAATTTGGGGGCTCTGGGCAGATCTTTGCACCCCAGCAGCGCATATGCTAAAGACAGCCCTGCCCCAAGAGCAGGTTCCTATTTGCATTACACTCCAGCTATTGAACACCAGGAGACATTCAAAAATGTCTTGCTTCTCTCTGGAGCCATTTGGGTCCCTTGAAAACCTGCTCTGGAATGTTAAGGATCATGCTATGAATTGGCCTTCCCTGGATTAATTATACAAGTGAAAGGGTTGTTTTGCATGAGACATCCACATATTAGCTGCCAGCTGGGCATTCTAGGAACTGAGAAGAGGGCCCCAGTGCAAAATGTAATACAGGCAACCCTCGTTTTGGACAACTGTTCTGTTCTGGGTCATAGTGCATGCCGGCAGAGGGCACATAAGCCTACCCCACCCCCATCACCCCCTCTTCCAGATTTGAAAACGGCCTGCATGTACACAAAACAGGAGTTGCCTGTACATATTACAACTGAATTCTTGTTTCCTATCAGAGACCTAATTTTCTGAGCCTAATTCAAGGTACTTGCCTTGATATTAATGCTATACATGATTTGGGTCCCAATAACTTCAAGAGCATCTATGTGCCAATTAGGACATGACAATTTGCAAAAGAAGCTCATCTTATATGGTGCCATTGCCTTTGGAAATGCGGGGAGCTGATGGTCTATAGAGGTGCATCAAGCAATATCTCTTTACAGATTTATGTGCACACTGAAGGCTTACCCCTTTTTGACCTTTGACAGTTGAAGTACCATCTGGTTTGTTATGTATATATGGCATATCATTTTGGGGTGGGACTGTTTTATTGCATTATATTATCTTTAAATGTAACCCACCTTGGGACCTTAAGGTGAAAGGCAGGTAACAAATATTAATCAGCATCTCAGTATCATCCATGAACAAAAGGAACCCTTCTGTTCAGATACCTTGTTAGCATCCAAGCCCAAGTTGCTACTCAGGTCATTATGCAAAGTTTTTTTTCCTGCAGTAATTTGGTTTCTCTTATGAATTTCTAAGGCCCTAAGCCACCAAGCAACTTCTTGACTTTGTAACCATTTTAGTATGAAGTTTATACAGAATAGCAACCAACACATTTGTTACAGAGGTGGACACATTTGAACAGCACTATTTACCAGAAACAGAGGGCTGCCGAGACGTTTCAGTGGCTTTACTTGGACCTAGACTCCTAGATGTTGGTTGAACAAGAAGTGTTGGTTGATGCTGAGTTAACTGTTTGGGACGTTTTGCACTGGCAACAGTAGGTTTCTGTGCCTGAGGCTGAATAGGCACCCGCTGAGCAACATTTAAAGGAGTCAGAACACGCTGCTGTTGGACTTCAATTCCAGGTGTCTGGTTCTGGGTCACAGGAACCCGTCTTGCACCATCCACAATAGCTGCCTGATTTTTAAAAAACAACAACAGTAAATATCACGCATAGCAAGCTAAGAGATATTGCATCCTAGTTTGTCTGAACTGACCAATGAGAAAAAACCATAGCTTCCCAAGGTGGAATCTAAACACATAAAAACGCTGTGAAAATGCTTTTTTTTTTAAGTTTTGAAAAATACATTGAATTTGGCATAGCTCACTCTCATCATCTAGTGTCACATTTGTATACTGCACTTTACAACACATTTAAAACATTTCATTTGCAGCTACAGAGTCCCAAGTTTGGACATAACAGAAAACCGCATTTATGCAAGCATTCATCTAGACTTGCCCTTTAATAGATGGGGAACATTACTCCACATGTTAATTATTCACTCCAGCACTATCAAATATCAGTTTTGGTCACATACAGAAATAATCCAGTAAGAACTGTAGCTCTGATTAACATAGCCAAGATTTACCGTATTTTTCGCCCCATAGGACGCACCTAGGTTTTTTTTTGGGGGGGGGGGAATAAAGAAAAAAAAATATTTCCCCCCCAGGCACGGGGCTGGCATGGGGGAAGCCCGAGCTTCCCCCGACCCCAGAACAGCCTGCTATCCGCAAGCCTAGGGAGCCGCGCCGGTCTCCCCAGGCTTGCGGACAGCTGGGCGAAGCCCGGGCACGCTGAAGAGGCTTCGAAATGCAGGCAGCTCTGCGCAACCCTCCGGAGGGTCGCGCAGAGCTGTGCCGAGCCCGGGAGCGCAGGCAGCTCTGCGCAACCTTCTGGAGGCCAGCACGGCTTGGCGCCGGGCTCCGGAGTGTCGCGCAGAGCTGTGCGGAGCCCGGGAGAGCAGGCAGCTCTGCGCAACCTTCTGGAGGCCAGCACGGCTTGGCGCCAGGCTCCGGAGGGTTGTGCACAGCTTCCTGAAGCCTGGATAGCGAGAGCCTCTCACTCTCCAGGCTTCAGTGAAAGCCTGTATTCGCCCCATAGGACGCACCCACATTTCCCCTTCATTTTTGGAGGGGGAAAAGTGCGTCCTATAGGGCGAAAAATACGGTACTATGCTCAGTATCTGAAGATCACTTTACCTTGCCATTATGAGCTGAATTAGAATTCAGATTCTCTTTACAAGCTTTGTCCATTATTGCCTGGAGAAAATGAAATTCAGTTATTCAACTTGTGTAAAACAGGAAATTCAAGTTATTTAAAGCTCTCACTTCTATAATCTATAATCCAATGATTCTAAAACCAGTGAGCTTGACATATTTGATAAAATATACAATTCTATGCCTGTCAAAGCAGTGAGGCCCCCAAAACATTAATCCCACTTCTTGATAATATTTAGGCAGCTTAATAGAAGCAAATAAGGACACACTAGAATTCCCTGATGCAGCTCATACTACCCGATATTTGGAAATGCCTGAAGATTTTATCACTGCCCAGAAGGCTTTTCGGTTTTAAGATCTGAAGGAGTAAACAAGCTATGGTATACTGATAAACTTGATTTGGAAGAAGTTCTCAATGCTTTCCACAGAGGTGAATTATTGGCTATTACAATATGCAGGTTGTCCCAGAGGGTGAAGCCCAAGTAGGTAAATGAGTCAAAGTGTAGCTGTTTTGTTTCTGCTTATCCAGCAGAAATGATGGGGTTGTGTTTTATGGATGTGAGAAAGGAAGAAAATAACTTTATTGAAATACAGCGGTACCTCTGGTTGCGAACGGGATCCGTTCCGGAGGCCCGTTTGCAACATGAAAAGAACACAACCCGCCGTGGTGCGTCTGTGCATGCACGGGTTCTGATTCGCCGCTTCTGCGCATGTCATTTTGCGTATCTGCGCATGCGGCAAAACCCGGAAGTAACCCTTTCTGGTACTTCCAGGTCACCGCGGGACACAACCTGAAGAAATGTAACATGAGGTATGACTGTAATGCAAACACTAATAAACTATAAATAGTAAATAAAACTGGGTTATCCCCACAACTGGAAGGATCTCTGCCTACTAGGACTATATATGCATGTATCTTGAGAGTGAAGTGCAGCTTTGCTTTTTCCTAGGAGTAGGGCAAGTTGAAAAATGTGCTCAAACATTTGGAAAACCTACAGCTTTATGGCAGTCCTTGGGCCTCTTTACATAGTGTTACCCCCATACATTTTATAAGCCCCTTTATTCTTTAACTCTTCAAAACTACCTCACAACCCATGCCACACAACCTTGTTTCTTTGTTCTGATGAAACTCAACCTTGTAACATGTAACAAATAAAATTTGAAGATTACAGTTGATCCTTGGGGTACCTCCAAACCAGTGCTTTTTTTTTCAGGGGGTACTTGTGGGTATGCAATACCAGCACCTCTTTTTCTAGGGAAAAAAGCACTGCTTCAAACTATGGTTTTTTAAGTACATTGCACCCCACCCCCAAAAAAACCTGGGAGCTGCAGTTTACATCTCCCAGAGCTACAATTCCCAGCACCCTTAACAAACCAGTTCCCAGGAAACTTGGGGAAGGGAAAAAGATGTGCTTTCAGTGTTTTTACGGTGCATGCAACCAAGCACTGAGGCCTCCTCAATTGGGATCAGACAGCCTAACTACTATGCGACACTCCCTCTCATTCTACGCAGAGAAAACGGGGCTTTCTAGACGTTTCCTTCATGCTGGGCACCTATCCCACCCCAGAGCCATTTATGAGCTCACAATTTTTACCAGAAGCGCTACGGCTCCCTGGGATGCGCCTTCCGCCTTTACTCACGAGTGCCACAGCTCAAGGTCGTAACCACTTTCCTTAACGACACCCCGAAACCAGACGCAGGCAGGCCGAATACCTCACGATTCCTGCGCACTCCAGAGGCCTCGGCCGCCTACCCTCCGCGTTCCTCCAACAGTCTCCGAAGCTATTTGAATTCAAACCTTCGCCCGCCCACTCAGCAACGCTCTTTAAACCGCCGCCGCGCTCCTATTGGCGGAGCTCCCCCTGTTGTCGACGAGGCTACCGCTCGCTGATTCGTTGGTCTCCGCAACCACCGCTCTGCCCATTCGCGGGCTTCTAACTGTCGCCTTTGAGGGAGAGCCGCTGTCCTCGCGGCTTGCGATCATTTGCCCATGTGCAGAGGAAGGGACACTGAGCGGGGCGGGGTTTCGCAAGGCTGCTCTTCTCCTGTCGGTGTCTGTTGTTGTGATCCGTGAACAAGAGAGAGAGAGAGCGCTTGGCTAAGCAGGATACGCTCTCAGCGTAGTGCGCGATACGCTGGTTGCGTAAACCCGTAGCACAGGGCCCATTGCTCTTTTCCCTTTCGCAAGTGGCGCATCGCCTCACGGCGCAGCCCTTACGATGGCGACGGCAAAAATCTCGTATCCGCTGCCTCATTATAGTGTGACGGACTCAGACTAAGACTGAGAGTTGGGTCTATTCCTGCCCCCAGTCTCTACACTTTGGGGCCGAAGCCCCCACTTTGAAAGACTTGAGTGAGGCGGCTCCTGTGAGGGCAGCTGCCAACACTGCAGGGCTGGTTTTTTGTGTGACAATGAAACTGGCTTGAATGTCAAGAGGGAAACTGATCGTGGTCAGATGCCACGACATATTTTCAGGGGGAAACGTGACAGGCCAGCAGAAGCGTGGCTCTGCACCTTGGCTGCGAAGGGGGAAAAACAGACAGTGCCATTTTGCATGAGGGGTGACTCTCCCTAAAACCAAGAGTTCCCCACGCCAAATTTGAAAGCGTGTGAATGGCCATTCTGAAATGAGCTAGCTTGCTGCAAACTGTCAGGAGCAGCGGGACTGCCCAGCCAAAGAGGGCCAACAGCCCTCTGGTCCACTGGGGACGTCCAGTAAGTGGTAGCATTTGCCCACAAAGAATGCACAGGTCAGATTCACAGCAATAGATGCTGAACGGTTGTTTTCTTCTAGGTGGAGGCCATCAGATTGTTTTTAAAACTTATGAGCGCAACAGGAATAGGCGGCACTGGGTGGGTAAAGACCAATGATTTTGGTATTCTTAGTTTTTCAGTCTGTGACATCAAAAAAGCGTTTGTCTGAAGACAACTTTGACCACATTTTATCAGAGCCGTGGTGGTCTGTCAGTTCAGATATCAGGCTACTAAGTCAAAATAGAGCAACTTTCCATGGGATGGACTTTCTGTTGACAAATGTGAAACAGCATTGCACCAGACTAGATTCCCCATAATGCTCAGTTCTGTATGATGGACATTGTGCCTCTCAAGCAGTCAGCCGTTGACAGATGTGAGTGTGGATTTGAGGAGAAGCCCACTCCTCTGTCCATCTCTTTTGAAAAGCTACCATGACAGGATTCGAGACTGACCTTTGGGAACCAGGGCAGACATCAGATTAATGTGTGCTTCTCAGGTTGAAGGTCATCTGCATATAACTTAATTCTTGAGGACGAGTGAGAGGATTGAAGAGGTAGTGTGAAGGATATACAGTTGTAAGAAAAAATGACAAGTCGTCGTATCACGCCACCATGTGATAGGCGGCAGTTTCCATGGGGCATGAGTAACATGGGCTTGCCTACCAATGAACCACGACCAATGCGACTGTCATTTCTTGAAGCTGATGTGAGTAGAATTGTTCAATAAGATTGGGGGCATGAGGTATTTGGGCCTGTTGCAATGTAGACTGTCAAAGCAAACATGCCCAAGGTCATTCTTCCTATCTTTTGTCACTGAACAGTGCCCATTTACTTATGCACCACTTGTCTAAGGTTGCAATCCACTGTACACTTATTTGGGAATAAACTCCCTTGAACTCAGTGGGACACCCTGAGTAAACATGCAACGGATCAGGCTGCACCATTGCAACTCTACTCATTTTTAAAATAAGTCCTATTAAACTCAAGTGGGGTTTACCTCTGGGTTTGATGTGCTTTCAAACTGCTAGGTTGGCAGGAGCAGGGACCGAGCAACGGGACCTCACCCCATCGTGGGGATTCGAACTGCCAACGTTCTGATTGGCAAGTCCTAGGCTCTCTGGTTTAACCCACAGCACCACCCGTGGAGCTTAGATCTGAGTAAATGCACAGCAGTGTACTGGAAGTGACAACAGAATTATGAATCAGGCTTAGCAGAATATACTGTCCCTAGAATTAAATCCTAGCTCGTTTGTGAATGAAATATCTACCACACTGCTCATTTTAAAATATAGTGATTATGGGCATAGCCAGGAATTTTGTTAGGGGGGCAGGCTTTTGTTAGGAGGGGCAGAACCTCAGGTTTGTATTGATGTTTATTGATGGGGGGGCACCTGCCCCTCTCTAGGCTACACCCATGATACTGATCCATGTAAATTGGATTTTCAGCTAAGTATCCTTTTTTGTGTGTGGCAAGGCTCCTGTGCCTCGACCGTTTTATAGTAGCCAAAAATTTAAGAACACTGTACTGTAAAACATTTGCCCCCAAGAGGGAACTACAGTGATAGAGAAAACTTGGCATGCCAAATTCCTTCCCGCTATCCATCTTCACGTCGCATTTCGAAAAGACGTAGCTTTACTGGTGGCGCATGCGCACACGTGACCCTTGCTTGCGCTCCTTTTCTCCTCCCAGCTGCGGCTTCAATCGATGTGCGGAGGTTCGATGCAGCAGCCTGTTCGACGCAGCGGCCCTCGGTCCAGGTTGCTGCCGGCCCCTCCGCAGGCTCCGCTCCCGCTGCCTTTGCCGCCGCAGTCGCCCGCCGACGTCGTCGGGCCCCCGGCAGCCATTTTGAGCGCAGATCGACCCAGGCCGAAAGACGGGCTGGTAAGAATCAAGTCTCGCTTTCCGGGCCCGGAGGTTTCGCCAGCTCTTCGCCTTGGCCGTTTCTTGCACGTGGAGAACGCCAGGTTACCCGCCGCTTTCCCTTTAATGGAAGAGCCGCCCAGCCCCGCAGCCTTTGTCACGATAGGCTCGGTGTTGTGGGAGGTGGGAAATACGGATTTCGGCGCGGGCGAAAGAGCGGCCGGGGAAAAGGCTGCAGGAGGGATCTACCAAAACCCTCGGCAATTTTCAGGTGGCCCGTGGGAGAAAAATTGTGGGAACTATTAGGTTATATTACTTAATATAATTTTGTCCTTGGTTGCTTTATTTATTTCTGCTGTGAAAGCAACCTTAGGCATTTTACTAAAAAAAGAAGTAGGTTACAAATGCTTTCAAAAATAGAATTAAACATAAATGCCTTATTCCTGTACATGTATGTAGTTATTTTTTCCTTCGTTTCAGACTTCTGCAAGACAGCCCTTACTCACAATGTATAGACCAAAAGTAAGCCTGAAAGACAGGCAACAACTTTACAGACTCATTATTAGTCAGTTGCTTTATGATGGATATATCAACATTGCTAACGGTCTGATAAATGAGGTAAAACCACAGTCTGTATGTGCACCCTCTGAACAACTATTGCATCTTATTAAAGTGGGTAAGTTGTGATGAGAAACAAATTTAATATGCTGTGTTTAAGGTCAGGTGTGCACTATGAGTTCTGTTAAGACTTGTTTTAGATGGCATGTCAAAACATCAGTAATCAAAATACTTCTTTTGTCTCTGTATATTTAAGCCATTAATGTTATCTGCAGTCACTTAAGTCTTCTAAAACGATAGTTAGCAAATAGCACTGATAGTTGTCCAAGATCAGTACTTACTAGAGAAATATGTAAAATGAGCCATTATATTCTGTGATCCTGCTTGGAATAGGATGTAAAGCAGCAAAGACATGTACATGATGGCTCTGTTGCAGCTATTTGTGTATAAACAAGGTCAGCTTCCCTATCTTTCCAGTGAATTTGCAACCAAGCTACACCTTAGCTTCCCACCAATCTGCTATCTTTTCATTTTACGCTTCGGAGTGAAGATCAGTTGCTGCTCACCTACTTATGTGGGTGCCAGGTACACTAAACTAGAGAGGCACAGTTGTGAATAATTGCATTTCACCTTGTGGGTTTTTTAGGAAGACTTTTTTTTGCGCATGTGAGCATTTCATATAGAGTAAAAATGGTTGTTAGCAGTATGAATTATTGTGACAGTTTACTTTCCACAAATTTTCTGATGCTTTCTTATGCTTCCTGTTAAGCTATAAAAACCTTAAACAACACCCCAGTCCAAGAGTCTATTCAGAAGCGTCAGCTTTTGTAGCTGGGGTCAGACAGGTCCCCACCCTTCTAGACCAGGTGGGAAAGGCCTATAAGGCAGGGAACAGGTCTTATAGGACTCACATTCAAAATACCAACGGATTAGGTTTGAGAACTATTGTAACAGGGTTTTTCCTGTTTATAAAGTTTGGGGCTTCTTACTTTTGGAAAATGAGCTTTTGTAATTTCTTTTCTTCCAGGAATGGAAAATGATGATAGTGCAGTTCAGTATGCAATTGGGCGCTCTGATACAGTAGCTCCTGGCACAGGGATTGACTTGGAATTTGATGCAGATGTGCAGACCATGTCCCCAGAAGCTTCTGAATATGAGACCTGTTATGTCACATCGCACAAAGGACCATGTCGTGTAGCTACATACAGCAGAGATGGACAGTTAATAGCTACAGGATCAGCTGATGCTTCAATCAAAATACTTGATACAGAGAGAATGTTAGCAAAGAGTGCTATGCCAATTGAGGTAAATGCTCAAATAGTAATGAATCAATAAATGTTTGCATTTTCCTTTTTCAGCTTTAGGGTCCTCTGGGAATTATCTGCCAAAAGAAACTGGTCATGCTTCTATTTGTGGGGCTGTTTTCAGAGAGTAGCTTTGAATGACAGCATCTCATCACTCTGCCAGTTAAGCTGTGGGGTGCCAGTGCTATTTACTAGTCATATGAAGCTATCTCCAATGCTATTTACTAGTCATATGAAGCTGTTGGGAGCAGTCTCAGTTGGGAGAAGCCTGGATGCAGTCATGGGCTGGATGAGGATCAATAAACTGAGCCTCATCTGATAACACAAAAAGCCTGTGGGTGGATGGTTCCTGAGTCCAGGAACTGGGTTGCTTGAATTCGCTTTAAGGCACAGGTATACAGATACAGTGGTACCTCAGGTTAAGTACTTAATTCGTTCCAGAGGTCCGTTTTTAACCTGAAACTGTACAGTGGTACCTCGGGTTACATATGCTGCAGGTTACATACGCTGCAGGTTATAGACTCCACTAATCCAGAAATAGTACCTCGGGTTAAGAACTTTGCTTCAGGATGAGAACAGAAATCATGCTCCAGCGGCAGCAGGAGGCCCCATTAGCTAAAGTGGTGCTTCAGGTTAAGAACGGACCTCCAGAACGAATTAAGTACTTAACCCGAGGTACCACTGTACTGGAATTAGAGGCCTAGGTAGGCATAGAAAGCCTACTACCAACTTCAGTTGGTATGTCAACTGCACCTTTTCCTAGACAATGATAGCCTGGCCACCATGATCCACACATTGATAACCTCATAATTAGATTACTGTAATGTGGTTTATATGGGTCTGCCTTTCAACTTTGTTCAGACGCTTCAGCTAGTGCAGAATGCAGCAGCTAGGGTTCTGAGCGGGGTACCTAGCTTTGCACGTATTATACCTGTGTTTAAAGAACAGCATCAGAAGAAAATGAGGCAATTTTTATTATTTCCCCCCTCTCCCTATGGCCACCCACACCTCTCTCTCTCTCTCTCTCTCTCTCTCTCACACACACACACACACACACACACACACTTTGTAGGGTTTTGTGGAGTACAGGAAGCTGCAAGGGAAAGGGAATTGGTGACTGAATTTAGTGCTAGCATAGCCATGGACTTGCAAAGTTTGGACCAGTCCTGATCTCTCAAGAGTTCCTTTTTTCATTTGTAAGATGGGCTGTTAATGACCCACTAAAGAGAGTTATTTGGACGTATAAAAGAGATTGTTTCACACTTTAAACATCCTGCATAACAGTTGTGAGAAGATGCAGATCCACTATGTCCACTATGAAGGGAACAGCATCAGATGTGCAATAGACAGCATTTGTGTCTTGATGCCTGCAGCGAAAATTCTATGCTTACTGTGCTGTGTTTTGAAATGTATTCTTCAGGTCATGATGAATGAAACAGCTCAGCAGAACATGGAGAACCACCCTGTTATTAGAACTCTCTATGATCACGTGGATGAGGTGACATGTTTAGCTTTCCATCCAACAGAACAAATCCTTGCCTCTGGTTCAAGGGATTACACACTTAAATTGTTTGACTACTCAAAGCCATCTGCCAAAAGAGCCTTCAAATATATCCAGGTTAGACACTTAAATCAAAACTTTATAAGGAATAACAAAAATAACCAGAAAAGCATGACTTTTGAAGCCTTGTTGATGTTATTAAATGGTGTGTACAAGTGTTCTTGGGATTAAGACCATCCTGGTAAAACATACTTTGGAAATTGCCATTCAGACTCCTCCTAACTTTAATTAAGGGGCCAAACTAGCTATGAAATGGTTTTCATTCTTTCTTCCCCTGGCTTTTTAAAAACTGAAAATCAGTATCAGCTGTTGCAGTTGAGTGGCAGAACAGAGAAGTAGAAGACAGGACTGCTTAATTCCCCCCTCCCCCCTTTCAAATAACATTTTATATGGGGATAATGTGTGTGATTTTAAATGTCGAATGCCTGGGAAGGATTTGTATTCTGAAAGATAGGATGTAAATAATTGTAGCAAATAAATAAAATTACCACCAACACCCAAAGTTGTTTTTAGGGGAGGGGGAAATCCCCCTTGGGAAGGGCGATATAGCTAGAAAATTCCCAGGGGAATGTTTGACACCTCTGTCCACATACTGACAATCTCTCAAGAAGAAATTAACATGGAACACCATGATCATCCAATCTGCTAGAATAGCGGGGAAATGCATGGGGTAGATTACAATAGATCTGAAGTAGTTTGTGACTTCTTTAAGCATAACTAAATACTTCTCTTCCCTAACAGTAGCTTAGTTTTAGAGTATGATTCAGAGCATGAATCCAACTTACAGGAAAATGAGAGTGGTCTCTGGGGATCTACAAAGTAGGTGATACTGATCTTGAAAAGGTGTGACTCGGACACAACTCCCTTCAGAACCTTTTTCCTGTTAATTAATAATCTCACCTCTTTTATGAGGACCTGCTTTCTCAAACTTTGTTTAGAAAAATCTGTTCTGCTGTGCCATGAGTCCTGCCTGGCTTCTTTAAATAGCAATGTTGTTGTATGCTTTATACAGTAGCCAACACAAGTTTGGTGTTTAGGTGGATCAGTGTACTGGGAAGATGCCTTTTAATGTTAACTGCCTATTTTCCAACTAAACAGGAAGCAGAAATGCTGCGTTCTATCTCTTTCCATCCTTCTGGAGACTTCATTCTTGTCGGTACCCAGCATCCTACCCTGCGACTGTATGATGTCAATACTTTCCAGTGCTTTGTATCTTGCAATCCTCAAGATCAGCACACTGATGCCATATGCTCAGTTAATTACAATGCAAGTGCTAACATGTATGTAACGGGCAGCAAAGACGGATGCATCAAATTGTGGGATGGCGTTTCAAATCGTTGTATCACTACTTTTGAAAAAGCGCACGATGGGGCTGAAGTCTGTTCTGCCATTTTCTCCAAGAATTCAAAGTATATTCTGTCTAGTGGAAAAGACTCTGTAGCTAAACTGTGGGAGATCTCTACAGGGAGAACACTAGTAAAATATACAGGTGAGTAGATGTTGACCAATATAATAGATATGTATATATTTCTCTCACGTACTCTTAGCCATGATCCCATCCTCCATTACATCTAGTTAAATGTAATGGCCTTCCTGGGTGTATCATGAGGAAAAATGTAAATTGAAAGTTCTGTACAAAGTCTGCAAAGTGGCATATAAACCAGACATTTTCCCTTGAAATTTTAAACAAATATTCGTCATAAGGAAATAACCTCATGATCTCATGACCTAGGAGAAAATCAGGTTAACTCTGCAGTCATGTCCAAAATCATACTTGTGTGTTTGCACAACTCTTACTTTAAATCACTTGGGGTTTATTTAAGAGAAATCCTTGGGGTTCACACATTGATTCGTTTCCTACTAATACTGCTTGATATACAAATGATGTTACTTCTTTTTTCTATCTTGCTGAGCTGGAAACAAACTACATCAACATGTAAGCTTGCAATTTTCTGCTCAATGCTTTCTCTAATACTTCCAGTGTGAGATGCTACTGCAGTAACAGCTCCCTCAGAAATCAGGAAATTGTATGAATTAACTTCTCTGGAAGAACTCCTTTTCTGTAGAGGCATATTTTGTTATACAAATTTCCAAGTTTCTAACATGCTAAACCAGCAGGGTGCAGTCAAGTCTTGGCATACCTCCACTGTCAGAGACACTCTGCCTCTAAATGTCAATTGCTGGAATCACAAGTGAGGAGAGAGCTGTTGCACTAGGGTCTTGCTTGCAGGCTTCCCATGGGCATCTGGTTGGCCACAGTGAGAACAGAATACTGTACTAGATGGTCTGATCTAGCAGGGCTCTTTCTCCAGTCTTAAATAATGTATGTTATGTTCTTCCTTTACAAAGAAATAAGGGCACTATGGGGGGGCCCATAGTATGCATCCTCAGCTGTAGTTGGAAAGCAGTACATTACCTTGATTTAACATTTGTGGTTGGTTATTTTCTCACTAGATGGACTCTACCAATCCAACTAGTGCACTACTGGGGTTTTTTCTGAGAGATGATTTTCTGTTGCTCTTGTATGCTTGTGAGCAGCAGCTGTTTTGGTTCATGTGAATGGCACATGTTTTAATAATGCTTTCAGTCATTTTATGTTATTAGTGTCTTTGAGATTTTTGGAATAAATATTTTTTCTACATAGGCATCATTTATTAGAATCTAATGCATGGGACTTTAAATATGTCTCTATATATCAAAACGTCAGGCTTTGCAATAATTTCTACCATGGATAATTTCACATTGAATTCTGGGTAGTATATTTTCACATGTCTATCCCTATTAGAAGCATTGAAATTAATTTGCTTATAGGCAATCCAGGAAGTAGATAAGTGTCAGTAAGTTTAAAGGCTCTTGAGAATACTTGTCTCAAAACTGGTGTACCAGCTAATGAACATAAATAGTTCGTATAGATACTGAGAACTAAAGACTTGCTACATTACACTGGAGTAAGAGTTTGGCATTTAAGACAAGGGTACTAACCTGTGGCTTCCCAATGTTGGACTCCAACTCCCATCAGCCTGAGGCAGCATGACCTAGAGTTGCAGTACAGCACCATCTGGAAGGCCATACATTAGCCACCCCTTCTTTAAGATTGCATCAAGTGTGTTGTGTGTCAGTGTAGTTTTTGTGAGAGAGAGAGAAAGAAAAAGAAGGATGTACATAAGCCTTGTAATACTAATACTCTGTTTTCTGTTGTGGAGATTGCAACCAATTTAGTTGACTGTTTCACTGCTATGTTAAAGTTTAAGTCATTGTCTAGAGCTGGGTTGCTGGTCTGTTACTCTCTCAGTTCTGCCATTAAGTTCAGGCATGAAATCTCTTCTCCTACCCCACATGTTTTATGATGAATATTCATACACTTCATGGTCTCCTATACTTCTAGGAGAAAATGGTTTTTCTTCAGTATTTTTCTTTCTTAATAACAGTGACTCATGTCCAGTTTCCAACCTTTTAAACTACCCAATTATTTTTTTTTTGCCCTGCCCAGTAGTAGGTGATAACCATTTTTGGTGGGGGGTTTTTTAAACTATATGTTAGCAATAGCCCATATACTACAGCAGACGTAGTTTAATTCTGCTCCCAATTATATTATATTTTAAAGAGTACTCCACAAAAAGGAAGACTGTCAACTTAAAAGGAAACTTGTAAATTGTATCTCTGATGTTTATTTTATTATATTCTTCTCGTTGCTTGTGATAATTATTTTAAAGGGATATCACTTCCTCCTTTCATGAGCAGCACCAGCAACAAAAGTGTGGATTACCACACCTAATTCATGCTGGCAGTATCACCAAAGTGGTATTAGCTTCAGGAATTGGCTACCACAAGACATGGTGGTACTAAGATAGTTTCAAAAGGACAAATACATGGAGCTTAGGTTTATCAATTATTATTTGCTGCAATAGCTAAATAGAAACTTGGAAGTCCAGAATAGTAAATATTAGAATACCAGTCATGGAAAAGAGATGGGGAAATGCTTCTGCGCCATGTTGAAAAGCTTCTTGGAGGCCTCTGACCATTTTTGGTAATGGGTACTATGTGGATAATGGTATGATCATGAAGGACTCGATAAAATAGAGGGTGCATTTTATAAAAATGCAGTATTTTGAAACTGCAAGTCATCTCTGATATGACATCTCTGACATTGCAAATTCTGGTCTGTTCCTGCGATCCTCAGGTTTCCATAAATACAGTTAAAACATCTGTGACAGTAAAACTGGAGTATTCTTTTCACATAGAACTATCTAATATATGGCTTCCATTAACTTCCATCCACCAAAATTGTAGAGACAGATTTATCATTAAATATTTGTAGTCATGTCAAAGATAGAGCTCAACCTAAATCCCAAGGAAGGGGGGGGGGGAGTTCTACTCATTTCATTTGAAAACTTTTACTCCATCCCTAAAAGACAAGATGAATACTCTTTCAGATATAACATTTTTTTTCATTTCCAACTGGGAATAATTTTTTTTATATCATAAATAATGTATTTTAGGTTTGAACAGATTCCTTTTCTGCCAACGTGGAAATAAAGGTGGATAGCTGAGATTTAGAAGACAGAGAAAATGTGGTATAGGTGGGATCTGCAATAAAATATTTTAGCATTGGACTGGGTGTTTTTGAGGGGGTGGTCCCCGCCTAGGATTTAAGGTTTTTGTACTTCCCCGCCTAGTATTTAAGGTTTTTGTACTCTGCAAACTTCGAAGTTTTTTGAGCCTGCTGATAATCTCCTGCTTGTGTATGTGATACCGTTTTGGCTACATAAATACCATCACTTGGAGAATTGAGATCTCTTTAAATATATGTGATAATAGATCGCAAACAAGTCCTTGCCCTCTTGGAGGTAAAGTTTCTTTAGTGGCACTTTTCAAGACAGAGACAGCTGTTTGGATTAAAGATACATCAGTGTCTGCTAAGATCCCAGCAAACCTTTTGTAATATCCTGAAAACAGTCTTGCTACTCATAAATTGACTAATGGTCTCTCTTACTTTCTTTACTGCAACTAGTTGGTTCAACCTATTCTTTTCCTCATCTGAAATTTTAGGAATCTGGACGTTAGAAAGAAAGAACTCTTTTTCTTGGGGTGAGTCAGACCTGTGTAACTATGAATAGTATTTAACCAGTTCTGCCATAATTAGATTAATTTCCATTTCTACCCTGCCCCAGTACAACAAAATAAATTTGAAACTAAAAATAATATAAAAGTGCCCTGCTCATGCTTATCCCTGGCAATGAGAGCTCATCTAAACAAATTTACTGTGAAATATTTAACTCTACCAGGCATTCATTAAGGGCAGTCCCACATAGAGCGCATCACAGTAGTCTAGCCTCAAGCTTATGAATACGTGACAGTTGCTAGGTCTTGATCTGATAAAAACAGAAACACCTCAAAACTCAACCTACCTTTCCCAGTTTTCAGGTAAAAATCTTCAGGCTCACAAGGCCAGCCTCAAACACTTGATATCCAGGTATGCCTGGAGCTGTAGAGCAAAGACTATCAGTAACCTTTCCAAAAGTGTATCAAAGCTATGTCCAACATATTCCCGCCCACTGTTTAAATAGGAACGAAACAATGGCAGACACTGCCCTATCTAGATGGGAGAAAAATACTGCCCAGCAAGGAAACCCAGCTTCTCCCAGTTTTGTTGGATTAGTCATAAGGCCCTTACATCCCTGAAGACTCTTATGTTTGTGTATTAGATACTCAGTCTTCAAAACAGGCACTAGATGTATCTTTCTCGAAGTAGAGGCAGCCCATGTTCCCTCATCACCAGAAATAGCTTTGGATGATATTCTGTAGGTATTATGGCAAGCGGGGAGGAATTACTTGCCACAGGCTTTAGCAGATCTTCTGTACCAAGATCTGTCAGCTTTGTTGCAAGTAAAATACCATCTAACACTCTTAATCATCTTGCACTTCACTTCATCTCCTTTGAGCCCAATGTAAAGTTGTGACTTGTGCCAACGAAGTAGTGAAGATGACCCTTGGAAGCAACTGTTTTAGAGGTTGACATCCACCTCCTGTTCCATTAGTTAGCAAGGTCATCAACAGAGCAGAGTATTCTGAAATCCAGTCAACTCTGAAACTACAGAGCCAGGCCAGACTGGCTCATTGCTCCATTAGCAATTTTGCTTAGAGTTGTCTTGAGAAACATACCCATTCTAACTAATTTTCACGTTATTCATTTCTTTAGAAATGAATATTCAAAACCACAATTTTCTGCTGATGCCAGGCTGCAAATTCCTGTCTAGCTTGGATTGTTGCTGTGGAAGTAGTGCTTCCCTTAACCTCTAGGATGCTGCTACACGAGGCCTTGAGTGTGAAGTTTACGTGCTTCATTTACTTTCCTGTAGTGGGCATTCACTCAGTCATCCAAACCAGTTATTTTCCCTGCGGTTTTTGCATCTTTTCTCAGACCACAAAGACCAGAAGAGCAGCACAATCTCTGCAAAGAGGTTTCCTTTCATGCCATTCTTCCATCTTTTTATTTAAAAGCTAGGGGTTTATGTGGGCTGTGACTTACTGGGAAAGCGAACCAATTGCAATTCAGCACACATCGGCTTTAATGATGGGTACCATTTTATGATCTCATTTGTTTTTCTTGAGCGGGTGGTAATTTTATCTTGTTAATTAGTACAAAACTCCTTTCCAGCTAGTTCTTTTAAATGAAAAAAGCATGACACCATAATGGTAAGGTTTTTTTTAATGAGGTTTTTTTAATAAAAAAAATGAATGGACAAGTAGTAATGGCTGAATGCTGTGCCACCATAGGTATGTCATGTCCACTTGTGTTGGCAGAACATAGCAAGATGTACATGTAGAGAAAGTGCAGTACTTCTGATAGTGTGGAAGTCTGTCGCAATTCCGTATGTAGCTTACAGCAGTGATTGGATAGTGCTGGGTTGCAACCTCTTTATAAACAGTAGAAAACACAACATGTTTGTATTCACCTGAAAATCTGTTTTTCTTACATAATGTTAAACTTTAAACGATAAAATATTATTGAAATGCCTGAAGGCTTAATTTAAAACAGGAGTATGGAACCTCAGACTTGGGGGCTGAATGTTGTCCTGGCTGCTCTAGGGGACTCTTCTTAGGCCATAACCTTCAACTGCCCCCTTCTTGGCTTTTGTCTGACTGCAAAGAGTCTTTGAACTGTGATATTGCATCTTCATGGTCTGGACGGAGAGGTAGGGGTGGTGGGTGGGTGTGTAGAAACCTCTGACAGCTGTGTGTCTGGGATATATTTTGCTATACAAAGATAAGTGTCACATCCTTCAACCTGCCCACTTTTGCCTCTGGTTCCATCTACCACTAACTTGTGGCTCCCAGCCTTTTGCCCTTAAGGGAATGTCGTCCTTGAACTATAAAAGGTTTCTAATCGAATCTAATAACTTAATCTGAATTCCAGAATAGTGTGATATAAATGGTTCTCGGTTGGCAAGACTTGAGTTCAAATTGCCATTCAACAATGAAGATTTCTGAGAGAATTGCTTTCTTAGTCTAACCCGCTTTGAAAAGTTGTAAAGAAAAAAGTGGAATATTCCTTAGATGGGATCCAGAGGGTAGTGGCCAACTAACTTGAACTCAAAACACACCCAGTGAAATCAATGGACTTGAGTAACTGATGTCTGAATAATTTCAATGTGTTTATTTCAAGTCATGCTTAAAGGTAGACCCATTGAAATTGGTGGACATCAGGTAATCGTGTCTATTGATTTCATTGAATCTGCCCTGAGGGTGACTTGATTGGATCCAACCCAGATGTACATTTACCTAGAGCAGGGATTACCAAACTGTGGTACCTTTTTTCCTGCCCAATTTTGATGGTGACCATTGTGAAATGCAATAATCATAGGAGGCATAAGACACTCAAATATCATCTACATCAGGAGTGGCCAACTCTCAAGAGACTGCAATCTACTTTCATAATTAAAAACTGGCAGTGATCTACCTCTGTTTTTGTGGGGTTCAGTTCAAAGTTGTTGAGCTTTTCTGAGGAAGGGAACCCCGTTTGGGGGGGGGTTCAGCTCAAAGTTGTTGAACTTTTTTTAGGGAGAAGAAAAGATTTGGGGGGAGTTCCATTTGGGGGGTGTTGAAGGCAAGGGACAAAGGGGTAAAGTCACTCACAAAAAGATTGCTGTGGATCAAAACAGCAGCACAGAGAAAGCTTCGTCTTCCCTTCCAGAGATCATACAACAATGGAGGGCGGGGCGTGGGGGCGTGGCAGGAGTCAGTTTTAGCAACGCTAAGGAAAGAGAGCCAGAGATCGACCGCAATCTACCAAAACCTCATGGGGATCTACCAGTAGATTGCGATCGACCTGTTGGACATCCCTGATCTACATTAATGCAATTCTCTTAGATGGAAAAGCCTTTGTAAAAACAAAATATTTTTATTGTAATTAAACTTCTCCTGTGCTTTGAACATTCAAGCACCATATTTTCTTTTGCTAACAGAATCTTTTGGCGCATTTAACTAGCTAAGGGATCAATCTTTTGGCATTTTTTTCTGTTCCCTGCTGAAATCTCCTCCTTCTAACATTTACTCTTACAAACCTGCACCTTGGTCTCTTCACTGTGGTTGGGCTGCTATGAAATGTCACTTTGCTCATTTTGGTCAGGTATACAATCTTTCCAGTATTGAGTTCAGGGAAATCCAGGTCTGTCAATTTGTAGGGAAAGGTGGTTTATACAGTGCTGATTGGCTAGAACCTGTGACTTTGCAAATCCACCTCTTCTCTCAAGAGCAGTTTTTCAACTGGGGGGGGGGAGGTTTGATAAGATGCCAAAGTAGCTTATGTATGTATAAACCTTCAAGCGGTATTTTCAATAGTCAAAAAAAACCCAAATTTATCTGAAAATGCAGGATGAGGACCAAAAGTGAAGCTTAATTAGCAATCAGCTTGAAAGCAAAGTATATCTTTGTTTGTAGTGGAAAGATGGGGGTGAGAGAAGCTGGACTCAGCCTGAACCCCCGAAAGTAAAATATATATTTTCTTTAGATGTGTCTGTATATGCCGTTAGTGTTGGTTTTAGCTTTCTTTCCAAGTGTGTAACAATTATCTTCTAGCTTCCTTTTAGTTTTTCAGTTTCACATTGAATTTTGAGAATTACAAGTGTAATCTTGTTCTCCTTGCCCTACATTCTATAGCTGAGATTTGACTAACAAAGTTCTTTACTTCGGCCATTGTGGGGGGGGGGGGTTAGATGGGGGGACTGGTATACTATTATTATTTTTTAAAGAAAGTTATATATAATGTGTCATTATACTAACAGAAATTTTACTAGAAAAGGTGAAGGAGAAATCTGCACCATACTTGTGACTGTTCTTGAAATCTGCACCATACTTGATGCAATTTCCAAGCTGTGACTGCTTGCAGTGGGAGGAAATTGTGACTGTTCTTGATTCCCTTCCATTTCCTCCAAAGGGAAGAAGCTATGCAAGGTCCCAGGCTGGTGTAGTTTCTGGCTCCTTTTTGAGATATTTTGGGGAAATGAGGGAAGCTTGGGATCCTGTGTGCCCTCAACTGCCCCAGCATGCTCCTAGTCAGCCAGTGGAGCAGCCATGATGCTTGGAAACTCCAACTCTGTCCAGAGATCACCTCTAGCCACATGACGAGAGAGGTCGGTATTACAGGGGCCATAGGATTACACCATGAAAGTATTGTTTAATGTAAACTATTCAGATGTTTAATTAGGCAAGAATTGGTTCCTTATAAAGTAATATCGAAGGCTAAAACTTCCTTATAATGTAATTTAATCTAACCAGTAATTTAGCCCTAATTTCGCCTCATATCCTTTCAGTGATCATAGTGAAGTCAATGCAGTAGCTGCTGTTCTAGTCTAAACTTCTCAGATTTATTGGGTTTGGTTATGGATAAATCATTACCTAGTAATGACACAGGTGAAAAACCATTAAGATGTGCCTATCAGATACTGATGCATCTTGTTGGTTTTTAGAATTCTTTCTAGGAGGATTTATTGGTGGTCATCTATAGCTGCAGTTAGTTACCTTATTCCTTTCTGGAATGACAGGTTGACCTATTGCTCTCTCTAGTATAAGGCACTGAGAAGCACAGTTGGCAAAAGATGTGCAGCCATAATCAGAGTGAAGTTTTATGCAGTAGTGGTGCCAAAGAATACTTTCCTCGGCTATTGCTGTACGGCAACTTGTCATAGAGCTGTTCAAGTTGGTGTAAGAGGTCCTGACATGGATTATCCTGCCCAGAGAAGGAAACATGCACAGACTGCTGTGGCATGCTAAATATAAAATTGAACCTGTAATGGTGCCACAGAGTAGAAGCTCAACTGGAATCATCGTTGGCAACCTCTTGCCGCAAATGCTCAGATTACTTCCGGCCAGTTTATTCCTCTTCCATGATATTCTGTGAACTTCATATACCATATTTTTCGCTCCATTGGACGCAGTTTTTCCCCTCCAAAAATTGAGGGGAAATGTGTGTGTGTCCTATGGAGCGAATGCAGGCTTGTGCTTCTTTAGCTCCACGCAGCCTCTCCCGGCTGGGAGAGGTTGTGCGCAGCCTGTACGCTGCTGTTTGGGGCGGGGGGGGGGGGAGATTTTTTTTATTGATTTCCCCGTCTAAAAACTAGGTGCGCCCTATGGTCCGGTGCGCCCTATGGTGCGAAAAATACGGTAATCTAAGCCCTTGCTCAGCATACTTGCTGAAAACCGCATGGAAAAGGCTGATGTGATTCTTCTGTTAAAGGTGGATGAGCTGGATCAGTTTTTAAAAAAATGTTATTTTTAAAGCTCATTGCACTTGAGGAAAATTACAACCTCTTTCAACGAGATGACCATAGGTTCTCTTAAAAAATCTTTCTTGATGTGCGAATCCTAACAGGAACTGGTTATTCCTACATTTTTGCCTTTAAACTGGGAAGGTGATTGAATTGATACTTGCACCATTACTGTCTGCTTTCTGGGATGAATAAGAAACAGTTTTCTTAAACTCTGTTCTGTCTGGCTTTCAGCATGGGCTCAGGACAAAGACTCACATAATAGCCCTGGTAGCCAATCATTTCTTAACATGGGCAAGGAAGTAACACTAGAGTTGTTCCTATTAGATATCTCATTTACCTTTGAGATTACAGATAATAAAATTTTGTTCCCTTTGGGGCTTTGTAAATGTAGTGGTCCGGCCTGGTTCGATTTGTTTGTGGATGTAAATTTTGAGATTGCAGATAGGGAAGTTTGTGTTAACACTGTAGAAGCTGGCTTGTAGAGTGCCACAATTCCATTCTATCTCTGCAATTGTTTAATACTGTACTTGTAAGAGGCTGTTGGGACACATCAACATAGGAAGATAGCTCCTATAGGAGAAAGAAAACTGTGATCCTGACCCTCTTCACCCTTGTGGAATATCATTGGGATAAAATAAGTCTAATGTGTAAGCCCTACACAAATCAGAGTGGAGTCTCTAAGACGGTTGGATGGTGCCTCCCGGCAGCTCCTGCAGCCAAGCTGGTGCTGCTAATACAGCGGTTTGACTTCATCCCCAGATGTGTACTCCATTGTCTTCCAAGAAGGACAAATGCCAACAAAAGAGTCCATTAACAAGATCATACATAACTCTTTGAATGAGGCGTGATCAGGATGGTGGTACCCTTCTATTTTTTCTTACTCATTTAATTGAGTGGCCTCAGTAATGGTTATTGTGCCTTTGGTTAATTGGAAGAGAACACATAGTCTGAAAACTGAATCCAGACAAGCTTGAGGGGTAGTGGCTAATATTCCCTGAGTTTTGGGAAGGAGGGAAGTGTCTATTGATGGATGTGATCTATCCCTCTTTAATAATCAATGGAAAGTCTGAGAAGAGTTATGCATAAAACAAACGAATCTTGTGGCATAAGCTTTCGTAGGCAAAATAATAAGAATATGCCATATTGATTTGTTAGTCTTTAATATGCCACAAGACTTCACTTCTGCTGCAACAGATTAACTCAGTAACCCTTCTGGAAAAAGATAATCAGGTATCAGTTGAGGCCCAGAGAGTATGCTGCCACTTGGCATCATCTGCTCTGTCAACTGTTTCCTTAGCAACCATCAATCTTTTTTCTGCAGCCTCCATGTTTGATTACTGCAATGCGCTCTACATGGGTAGCTCTTTTAAGAGCATTCAGAAGCTTCAGTTGTGCAAAATGTTGCAAATTGTTTTCTGTTACAAATAGAATAGGGGAAACATGGGCACTAATCAACTGTGCTGCCTTATAGCTTCCAGCTACAATTCAAAGTTTTGAACTCCTAAATGGCCTAATCCTTTTAGGTGTATTCCCCTACTTTTGAGTCAGCCCTGATTATCCTGCTCCCATTAATTGGGAATAGAGTACTTTTCTATGTAGAACTAGAGCTGTGGAAGACTCAAAAGATCTGTGTCACTTTGTGCAGGCTTTTCTAAAGGCAAACAAAGAATGTTTATTTTATGAAGCCTCTTGCTGAATTTACTAATAAATATTCTGTTGATTCTTAGAGGAATATTTGATTATTTTATTGTCTTTTTTCTGATATTTGCTGATGTTCATTTCACCCATTGCCAGTCAAATATGCATTATATACAGGTCCTGCTATCCGAACACAATGCATTCTCAGGAAATCATTTGTTAGGCAAGTGTTTGCATATAAAGTCAACACTTTCCATTGATTTCCTATGGGAAAGTTTCTAATGCATGCCTAATCAAGGAATTTAAACCTCAAAATTATGGGGGGGGGGAAACAGGAAAACCCTCTGAAACCTTGCAAAAGGCAAACAAGGAAGGATAAAATGCTCCATTACAGTGGTGCCTCGCAAGACGAAATTAATCCGTTCCGCGAGAGTCTTCGTCTAGCGGTTTTTTCGTCTTGCGAAGCAACCCTATTAGCGGCTTAACGGATTAGCACTATTAGCGGTTTAGCGGCTATTAAAGGCTTAAAGGCTTAGCGGATTAGCTGCTAAAAGGCTATTAAAGGCTATTAAAGGCTTAGCAGATTAGATAAAGGGGGGGGAAAGCGAAAAAAAAATCTCTAGACTCGCAAGACATTTTCGTCTTGCGAAGCAAGCCCATAGGGAAATTCGTCCTGCGAAGCAACTCAAAAACGGAAAACCCTTTCGTCTAGCGGGTTTTCCGTCTTGCGAGGCATTCGTCTTGCGGGGCACCACTGTATTTGTCCGATATGGCCTCCTTTCGCCTCTCCCTCCCATGGTTTCTAGCAAAATGGCTGCCACAGACCAGCAAAACACAGAAGAGTAAGGCTTGTTTAAGGCTGCTATATGTTTACAGTATTACACAAACATCTGAATCTGTGGTGTACATAGCGAGGTTTGGATGCTAGTTTCTCGTGTTTGAATAAGTGAATTTTGGTATGATGAGCATTTGGATAGCAGGATCTGCCGGTTTCCTTTAATATGCATTTTGATACTGAATATTTATGTTGCAATACCTGCAGGAGCTGGTTTGAGTGGACGCCAAGTTCATAGGACACAAGCTGTCTTCAACCACACAGAAGACTATGTGCTGCTTCCTGATGAAAGGACCATTAGCCTCTGCTGCTGGGATTCACGAACAGCTGAACGAAGGAATCTTCTTTCCTTGGGGCATAACAGTATAGTTCGTTGCATTGTCCACTCTCCTACCAACCCTGGCTTCATGACTTGCAGTGACGACTATAGAGCTCGATTTTGGTACCGAAGGTCAACCACGGACTGAAGCTGCAACTGCGAAAAAGTTGACTGAATTTTATGCCTTTTTTCTTTTTAAAAATTTTGCTTTTACCATTTCTGAATTTATGTATTTGGATTGAATTCTCTGCTCTAGAAATAACATCACTCCCTACTTGAAAGGACAGTTTTTAAAGTTGGGTCCATAGTTGAAAACAGCCAAGATAGCTGAAAATATTTTTCTTCACTTAATTGTACATGTTTGGCAGGACAGGTTGCCCATGTTCGGTAGCAAAACTTGGCCTCCTGTTTTTTTAAACCCCTTAACACTCTTTGCTCTATTTCATTTGATGTACATGTATTGCTGTATGTTGTGTGTGCTTTTTCCAGTTCTCTGGTGGCCTTTTTTTCTTATTTGTAGATGATGTAGATACTTAAAAGTTCTCTTATTAAACTCATTCTTAGAAAGGTGTATCTAATTTTTCTCATAATTGGCTATTACCCTACTTTTGAAGCCGCCTAGTTTGGTGGAAATCACTGAATCTTGTAATGAATTCTGTGTTTTAACTATGTACTGTGAAAACAAGTATTTAATTTTGTTCTCAATCTCTCACCATTAAGCTTAATTAGATAGCCTTAGCTTCAAATAAGAGGGAGGAAACCTCTATATTAACTTTGTCCACACCATGCATAATTTGAACAGACCTCTATTATGTGGTGTCCCACCTTTACCATTTTTCTAACTGAAAAGCTTCAAACTAACATTTCCTCATAGATATGATGCTCCAGCCCCTTGAAAGGGTCATTTTTGAGGTGCGACACCCAGAACTAGACACTTGTCTTCCAAGTGTGGTCACACCATATATTAGTATAAAGCCACTATGTCCTGAGAGCTATTTACTGTAGAATTGTAATCCCTCTTTCGGTCACCTCCGTGATCGGTTCTTCTAAAGCATAGAGCTCTATGGTACCTAGAAATCACTGGAACATTCATTTAGCCAATCTGTTTAAAGTTACATCAAAACTTTCACACAGTGCATAGTCAGAATATGGAATTCGTGTGTACCGGAAGCAGTGATGGACACCAACTAGGATGGCTTTAAAAGAGGATTACACAAACTCATGAAGGTAAAGGCTATCAGTGGCAATGATGACTGTGTTTTGCCTCCATGATTTTGGGCGCAATATTCATCTGAATACCAGTTGTGGAACACTTCAGGAGGGGGAAGTGTGGCATCTGGTTGGCCACTGTGAGAAAAGGATCTGGGTTACCTGGGGCCATTGACCTGTCTAGCAGGTTCTTATGAGGTTCTTTGATCCAGATACATTTGTTAGGTAAAGTTTTGTAGTGTCATAGTCCAGTTTTTGTTGGGTCTCTAAAGGACATATCAAACAGTCTGGGAGTGACCCCTAAGAAGTCCCTGATGGTAATGTTTTCCCAATTACTAGTTCCTTCGTTATGACAATCTCTTCTCCGTACACACGTGTGAAGTTTAGAGCTAATTTCCACATGAAAGCTTTATGAGAATAGCATGGGAGATGAGATGTTACTTAGTTGTTATTAATGCCTATCAGATTGGCCAGAGACATTCCTGCTTAACCACAGATTGAATTAAATATAACTTTTTTGTAATACATGTCTAAGGAACACATGATAAGTGACAAGTCATTGGTTCATTTTTTTCATTTATAATGCATATGCTGTTCTAGCGTTCAGTTTCTTAGCCTTCTCAAGTTTTCCTTTTTAGGCTCTTTTGGCTAACTACTTTAAAGCACCAAAATAGTCTTACTCCTAAGAAGAAGTGAAACCTTTGTTGCACTACATAAACAATACAAAAAACCAAAACCCATGTTGCTTTTTACACATCTCATTTAGCTTGTGCTCTGTTTTAGATGTCTTCCTTGATAGTTCTCAATTTCAAAACAGTCTTGGATCCCAACTTTTAGATTACTGAGATTCATTTTCTCTAGGAAAATGTCAGCCAGCATGTCCAGTTTAAAAGGAGAGCAGTATTTTCATTGAGTGACTGATTATATGCCTAGCAATGTATAAAAGGGTTTTTTATTGTCATATTGTTTTCATCTGGAGATTCATTTTAGATAACTTTCAGTTGCATTCCTCGACTTGGCAAAATCAACCTCAAGACTTCTTAGGGTTGCTGTTCATTTTAGCTTTCTCCAAAAAACCTTTGTAGGCCACTGACATTGGGTTCAAAATTCTCACTTGGATTTTCTTTGTTGCAGTTGCAAATAATGCAACTTAATAGGATATATACTTGTGCTCATCAGACAGCAGACAGAACATTATGTCCTGAATTGTCCACCCACTACATTGTGACACAAAATAAGATCATTTCTTTCTAGGATAGGCATACAAAGGGAAACACAATAAATAATGAACTAAGTCTCCTATACAGCTGTTTCCTCAGATACACAATGTATTTCTTACTGGGATATGATGGTGCCTGCCATTCAGATAAGCAGATGGCATCCGTTGAAATCTTAATTATGTTGAAAGCTTTTCTCAAGTGTCAGCAGGACCCAATGTATTGAGAAGCTTGGACAAACTGGCATAGCCTACAGTACACAATAGATGGTGGTAAGAAAGTGAGTGAAGAGAAAAGGAGTATACAGGGGTCTGAAATGGTTGCTAAATTCTAGGTATTTTATGTGGAAAGGAGGCTGCCCCAGGTGACAGCTCCCAGTGTGATCCTTGCTGTATCTCCTGCATATAAATTAGAAAAGTCAGCAGCTGGTCCCTCTTTCTCTCCTCCTGCTTGCTCTCCTATCAGCCTGGCTTAACCAGATGTGCCCAGTAGCAAGGAGACAAAGCAAGGATGAGTCCTGGGGAGAAGTAAATCCAAGAATGAGATTAAGGGGGAGTAGAAGCTGTAAAATAAAACCCACCCGTTCAAGACTGAACACCTTGGCTTCCTTATGCTGTCATTCCCTTTATTTCCAACATAGAGCCAGTGTGGTGTAGTGATTAGGGTTGGACTAGGCCCTGGGAGACCAGGGTTCAAATCCCACTCAGCCATGAAGCTCACTGGGTGACCTTGGGCCACTCGCTGCCTCAGCCTAACCTACCCACACAGGCTTCTTGTGCAGATTAAATAAGGAGGCAAGAACCATGTATGCTGCCTTGAGCTTGGAGAAGAAGGTGGAATATAAATGGAATAGGGTAAAAATAATAAAAATGTTCAGGCATGAGTGGTGTTTGGTATGTAAGTCAAATGATACCATCCATGCACTAGTGGGAGGTGCCAGCAGGCATCGGTGCTCTGCTCTGTGCCTGGAACAGGTAAGGAGAGGTACCAACTGCCACCATACGGATACTGTTTTGTACTGGAAGAAGCAAAGACCACCAGTGTCAAAGCAATGATTCTTCAACATCAACTTCGTTGGACTGGTCATGTTCGGATGCCTGATTATCATCTTCCAAAGCAACTACTCTGTTCCGAACTTAAAAATGGCAAGCATAATGCAGGTGGTCAACAAAAGAAGTTCAAAGACACTCTCAAGGCAAATCTTCAAGAATGTAGTATAAACACCAATAACTGGGAAATACTGGCCTGCGAGTGCTCCAGTTGGAGAACAGCCTCTACCAAATGCGTCATGGACTTTGAAGATGCTCGAACTCAGGACGAAAGGGAGTAGTGAGCTAAGAGGAAGGCACACTTAGCAAACCCTCACCATGATCAATTCCTGCCCGGAAACCTATGTCCCCACTGTGGGACATGTGGATCCAGAATTGGCCTCCACAGTCACGGACTCATTGTTAAAACCGTGTTTATGGAAGACAATCTTACTCGGCTACAAGTGATTGCCAAAGAAGAAGAAAAGACTTTTGTGAAACCTCAACATGCAAAGTATTTGGCCGTGATACGGAGAAGGTGTTCAGAGCAGGACCCAAGAACAGCAAGTCCACTTGGCAGGAGCTGGAAGTTGGAAGGCAGAGATGGAAGTGAGCAGTTGGTTCTCCATGGGGAGGAGAATCTGCCAGCACCTGAGGCCAGTCTCAGTCTACTAGCCTACAAAGAAGTGTGAAGGACCATGATGTGGGTGTATGAAACAAGGCCTCAAAGTGCACTGATATGTGCAAACACCCCAACTGTGGTAAGCCAAGACTTCAGTTCAGAGGATGGTGAACATCTATTTGAGGATGATCATTATGATGACTCATTTGAAAACAAACAAGCTAGACCATATATGTCCAAGGTAAACGAAACATTTCATTTGACCTGTGAAACAGTGACGTTTCTTGCGAAGTTGCTTTAGTTGACAGTGACTTGCACAAGCAGAAAGCAGTGGGCCAGACTCAACTCTGGTGACATCTCATGGGGGGGGGGGGCATTCCCATGGTGTTGTCATTTGAGGTGACCCAATGTTTATTTTAGGCTGCCTGAGGACTGAGGTCATTGCTTCGTGGGGAAAAAATACTTTTTGTCCCAAAGAATCTTGAAGGGGAGAGCTTTCCGGTGGTGGAGAATATATGATGTGGGGTATTATAAGTCATATTTTATAATTTTATAAACTATTTAGGGTATTTCCACAGCTCTTTGTCAAAAAAGGAACTAGGACCAGTAAACCAATAAAGTAAAATAAATCCCACATAAGACAGTGAGAATTCCAAGGTCACCACTTATTTTCCAACTGCTTGAGGTATAGATCTTGCAAAAAAAAAAAAAAAAAAAAATATTTCAGCACACTTGGTACCAATTTACTATTTTGGGTGCTGTGGCTTATGCAGTAAGAGAGGAATCTTGAATGGGATTCAGACCTTGAAACAACAACCTATTGGAGGTGAATTGGCCAGAAGGGGTGGGGATTTTATTGCGCATGTGGGAATTGGCTGGATGCCCTTCTTGATTGATCACCCATTCTTTGTCTTGCCTACAGATATGAATGAGGTTGCTTTGCAGTAGTCTGAGGCCCGCTGCAAGAAAATAATAATTGGGTACTGTCTTTTGCATTCATACATCGGAGTGAGACCCAGGGAATTTAATGGGAATTACTTGTGAGTAATTGAATTGGGTTGTTAGCACTTATATAGGGCTTTTTTGGTACAGTATTCAAAATCCTTATAATTTGTTATTTCGGTAATTTTTACAACCCATGAATAAAGGAGCTAGGTCATTGAGGAGCTTCTACTACCCTTGTTACTGACTTTCAGGGAAATTTTTAAGCATCCCTGTTCATTCCTGCATTTAATATGAGGTAACTGTAAAATCATCAACTGAGAGTATGTGATTGGCCACCCACACCATGGGCAAATAGCTGAAGCACCAAACATGAGTCTCCCAGCACTACCTTCTGAAACCATTATTCCAGGAAGGACTGGAACCACCACAAAACAGTGCCACTTAGTCCCATCCCAGCCATGAGAACCAGAAGTACGTATACCATGGCTGATGGTATTAAAAGCTGGTAAGAGGACCAACATGGCAACACTCCCCCCCCCCCATCTTACTCCCAGCATAAACTACCTACTAAGGGGACCAAAGCTGTCTCAGTCATATAAGTGGGCCTGAAACCAAATTGAAATGCAGAGCTGGCCCAGGATGTTTTGCTACTTGAGGCGAAACAGAAAACGGCACTGCCCACTAAAGCTACCTTTCCCAAAGCCCATCAAAGCTGCCACACTGAAGGCACCACCACCTGCAGCAGGCAGAGAAGGAGGTGGGTGACAAGCCAAGGGTGCGGTGAGTGGCATGGACCCATATCTGCCACCTCTCCCAACTGTTCCCCAATCTGCTGCCTGAGGTGACTGCCTCAGGGGTGGGTTGGCCCTTTTGAAATTGCTCTAGATGAACCACACAGAAAGACCTAGAGTGGAGATGCGGTCACATGCTCAAGCATTTTGGCTGAAAATGGAATACTGGAGGTTGCCTAGAAATTTCCTGACACAGTTGGATTCAGAGAGGTCTTACCAAGTCCTCATTTGGGCCGAGTGGAATAGTTGTGGAGAGACATTGTTCCCTCTAAAAGGTGAAGGGACCCCTGACCATTAGGTCCAGTCATGACCGACTCTGGGGTTGCGGCGCTCATCTCGCTTTATTGGCCGAGGGAGCCGGCGTACAGCTTCCAGGTCATGTGGCCAGCATGACTAAGCCACTTCTGGCAAACCAGAGCAGTGCACGGAAACGCCGTTTACCTTCCCACCGGAGCGGTACCTATTTATCTACTTGCACTTTGACTGGCTTTCGAACTGCTAGGTTGGCAGGAGCAGGGACCGAGCAACGGGAGCTCACCCCGTCGCTGGGTTTCGAACCACCGACCTTCTGATCAGCAAGTCCTAGGCTCTGTGGTTTAACCCACAGCGCCACCCGCGTCCCATTGATCCCTCTAGTTACCCGCTAACTGATCCTTGCTTTATTGGAACTCTCTGGGACTTCCCTCAGAGCAGACAAACTCGTAATTTTGTTGGTAACATTTTTCTCCTGCCCATCCCCTAACCTCCACCAAGAGACTTGTGTAAATTGCAACTGTGCTGTGTATAAATCGTTTGGGGTGGAATCAGTATGTTCCCCAGCTCCTGGTGGCATTTCCAGCTTCGTCCATCAAGAAAAATGCTCTTTTAAAAGATGTGACTGTTGTGTTGTCCCATTCTGGAAGTCAAGCACCTGGCGCACAAAGTTTTTTAAAAGACGCCTTTAGCTAACAAGTCAGGCTGTTCCTCCTATCATCTGTCTAAAATAGGAACCACAGGAAGATGAAGCAAAGCGAAAATATTGTGTGTCTTTTTCCTGTGTGTGGGTTATTTGCAGAAAGGCTGTCATGAGAACGAACTTCACTTTAAAACTTGAGTCCCTTCTCTCATGCTTTGTACTAATTGTCTGTGGCCTTAGAAATTCCCTTTTTCCAGGAACATTTGTTCATTTTTCCCCACCAGTGCCTTCTGAAGAATATTATTTTGGATCCTTTTTCTTGAAATATATATCTTGTGACATACACAGAAGTTTGCAAAACGAAAGCTTTGATGGCTGATGATGATATAGGAAGGGGCAACAGTTATTGGTAACAACTATGGATAGAAAAATTGGACGTAGCAGATTTGCAAAGGTAGGTCAGCAGAGAACAATGTGATGGAATTTAAGAGAGTAAAAGATAAAGCCTATTGATGACTACTCAAAAGTAAATTCTACACTGCAACTTACTCCCATGTAAGCGTGAGATTGAAATCCGATACACACTTTCCTGGGAATAAACTACATTGGACTCAGTGGAACTTTTGAGTAAACATGTATAAAATTAATTTGTATCCTTCCAATACCCACACATATGAGAGTGGCTTACCCCTGAGTAGACGTACATAGGATTGCACTGTAAGTCTGGTAGGATGCAATGAGGAAATCTAAATTAATATTTTATTGCCAATATGTTCAGAAATGAACAGGGCAGAAATGAACACAATTGCATTTGTCCTTGTACACTGGCCTAAGAAAAACTGTTGAAGAAATTCTCTTTGTAGTGGTTGTAGTTTGGAGTGCTCATGGTCACAGTTCCAGCCAGTGAACTATGCTCTTTTCTAACATGGGTTTTCTGTGGGGCAGGGGTCCCTCTCAAGAATCGGTCAGTCTTCTGTGGCCGCTGAGTTCCCATTGGACTGTTTCAGGGAATTTCCCTCTTTGAGGGTTCTGCCCCCTCCCCAAAAGATTTTGCATACAGTGGTACCTCGGGTTCAGAACTTAATTCGTTCTGGAGGTCCGTTCTTAACCTGAAACTGTTCTTAACCTGAGGTACAACTTTGGCTAATGGGGCCTCCTGCTGCCGCCACGCCGCCGGAGCATGATATCTGTTCTCATCCTGAAGCAAAGTTCTTAACCCGAGGTACTATTTCTGGGTTAGTGGAGTCTGTAACCTGAAGCGTCTGCAATCCGAGGTACCACTGTACTTCTGTAAACCTGGAGGTTCCCCATAGCCTGTCTTAAGTTAAAGGTGGTGCTATACTGGCACAGAAAATCGAATATTTGCTTGTGTGTGTGTGTGCATTTTATTCTCAGAAATATTGTTTCTCTGAAAAGAGGAAGGTCTAATTCAAAAGACAAAGGGAAAGGGGTGATGATGAGTAAAAGGAACCGGGGGTGGGGGGTGGGCGGGGGGATCATTGCACAGAACCGGTGCATGTTAAAAAGTGATTAAGCAGCAGATTCTAGCCAAGGAGACCAGATGGTCAATTTGAATAGCCGGGCCCCAGTGAAAGTATTTCATTTTCGTGGGGCTAATGTGCTTTGTTCTTCGCGATTCTCCTTCTCTGTGTGTGCCTCTAAAGCGATGCCATTACGAAGCCTTTGTTTTTGTAGTTTGAAGGGGGTTCACTGAGGCAGGACAGTCTCGGCGGAGTGAACACGGATAATTCAAAGCCGCCACCATCGCCCAAGACCGAACCTTGAAACATCAGCTGGGTTCTTGCAAGCCTGCTGGGAAAACATCCTCAAAATCTGCCCTGCTCAGACATTTTTTTATTTTTTGCATTATAGTCAGTGATGTGCTGTTTCTAAAGTGTTGGAGATCTAAGAACAAGAACACTCTCTGTTTTGGCTTTTATTTCACACCCTTCCTTTAGCCCCTTGACACTAGAGGCACCAAAATCCTCTGGGGTGGCGGAGATCATGGGATGTCCTCATTTGCATGGAGATAACTACAAGCCAATTGCTGCGCTGGAAGGGAATTTGCTGCGCGATTAGCTCCTCGCCTTTCATCCCCGAGGGCTGCTCGCTTCACTCGAAAGCTACTTCCCCATGCAAGGAGGCTGCACAAAAGGTCTGCAAGCAAACCTTGCCGTGCTGCAGACCAGCTTTATTGTTTGCCCCCTTTTGACAACAGAAAAAAAAGAGAGACAGGAATAAGAGAGTCTACCTGGAGGGTGCGATTTGGATGATGGACGAGTAGAGGCTCACAGCTGAAAACAGCAAAATGAAAGTCAACGTGAGTGTAGCGGACGTTTCCTTGAGCTGTGTTCTGTTTTCATGGGGATGGGGCATTGTTGTTTCTAAGCGGCATTTATTTGAAGATTTGGTTTATTTTTAAAATGAAATTATTTTATATGGTGTATCTACACTTTGGGGGCATCTCCTCTGTAGGTGCTGTCATTGTTTTTCATGTCATTGGTGAATGCCGGTACTTTAAAATCACGCATCTCTGCCCTCACCCTTCCCCTACGATTCAGTCCATAAACGAACATGCTTACTCAGGTGTAAATTCCACAGAGCTCAGTGAGGCTTCCTCTCTAGTAAAAGTTCTGAGGGTTGCAGCTTTGATTTCTGAAAAGAGAAGCTGATATATGCAAGGATGTTTGTGTGTGATTGTTTTGGGGAGACAACCTCTCTTTGAATGCCCTTGCCCTCTTGTAGAAAAGATACGCTGTACTGATTGTGGGTGTTCGGTTTCTCCATTTTACTTTGATAATCTTTTAGATGAGTTGAAATGTATTTCTGAACATCTGTGGCAATCAGAAATGCCCCACTCACCCACCCCTTATTTTGAGAAAGGCTACTTGTAACTGCTTGGGAGGAAGATAGGAAACTGCTTTGTACAGCATCATCAGACCACTGGTCCACCTAGCTCACCACCATCTCCTCTGACTCCTAGCAGCTCCCTAGGATTTCTGGGAGCAGCTTTTCCCAACTTTACCTGGAGACACTGAGGCTAGAACTTCTGAATTCAAGGCAGGTGCTCTACCAGTGAACTGTGGTCCTGTTTCTGTCCAAAGTGTCCCGAATATGATCTTTCTTTCACATAGACCATTTGTTGGGTGGACCGACTACTGCTTGCAGCTTACTGATTAGTTGTTGCAAAGAATGAGCACAGGAAGCTGCCTTGTATTGAGCCAGACCACTGGTCCCCCTAGCTTAGTATTGTCTTCACTGATGCACAAAAACTTTCTGACCCCACCCCACCTCCATGCAACAAGATATATTGTATGCAAAATGTTATGTGCATGTGTTTAAGTCCATTGTTCTGGAGAGGGATCCAGGCTTGCATCAGATTCTCAAAGGGGACTGTGACCCCCAAAAAGTTTAGGAATCACTGCTTTAGATGGTGAATTTACTAGAATGACAATCTATTGTCTTTTTTCTTTTTTGTCTTTTTTGCATTTTATTTCCCTCTGACTTCATGGTCTACATATTTTCTCTCTTGACACCCATCTGTATATGCACAGTGGTACCTCAGTTAAGAACTTCAATCGTTCTGGAGGTCCATTTTTAACCTGAAACTGTTCTTAACCTGAAGCACAACTTTAGCTAATGGGGCCTCTCACTGCCGCTGCGCTGCCGTGCGATTTCTGTTCTCATCCTGAAGCAAAGTTCTTAACCCGAGGTACTATTTCTGGGTTAGCAGAGTCTGTAACCTGAAGCATATGTAACCTGAAGCATATGTAACCCGAGGTACCACTGTACTTGCCAACTTAGGGCAGTGCTTCATATATTTGATGAAGTGGACTTTAGTCCATGAAAACATACACCATAAGAAATTTAAGGTGCTGCAAGTCTCCTTTATAATTTTATTCTACGGGATTTACTGGCAAGGAAGAATGCACAAGTTTGCTGCCATAAAGTGAAAAGAAAAAAAGAAAATAGCAAACATTTACAAGTCTACAGTATTCCAACACAGCCTTTTAATTGCAAACTTTTAAAACTGTTACGTGCCAGTCTGCCTTTAAATGGGTCTTGTCAAACATAAAGTGATGGCAGTTCAGGGTGCTGTTTCAGTTTGACTTGTCTGGGAATCTCAGCAAGGACTTTGTGTTTATTTGCTCATAGCTGAGCAGCTTAAGCAGCAACTTCTGTCCACTCCAGAGGAGTAGCTATGTTGCAGCAAATCAATGAATAATTTGTGGCACCTAAAAGTCTCAGGTCACATCTATACCATCATTTAAAGCAAGTTTAACACGCATATCTTCCCCCAAGGAATCCTGGGAACTGAAGAGTGCTGGAAATTGTAGTTCTGTGAGGAGTAAATTACAGTTCCCAAGATTCTTTGGAGAAAACCATGTGTTATGGTGTGGATGTGAACCTAACATATTTATTGTGGAATAAGCTTTTGTGGACTACAAAACCCAGTGTGTCAGATGCTGAAGGGTTAGCCTTGCTAAACTAATATCCATACTTTGACGCAGAAAAATGGTGTCAGGGGGTTGTAAATACTAGAGTCATGAATTACAAAGGGAAGCATTAGATCTGTGGCATTTTTATGGAATGCCCAAATGTATAAAAGACAAGAACAGGTCGACCCATTCACCACAGGAGGCATGGCGATAATACAATAATGCAATATGATGCTGGTGATGTGATAATCGCTCAAGATAATGCCATCTTTCTAGCTATGCTGTGGTAATTTAATAAGGACATGTTGTGGGAAAGAGGCCCGCAATCTAGATTAAGGCCGAATTGACCTTAATCAACATGGCAGTTGAATACTGAGCTTTCCTTCAAAGTCTTTTGTTGCATTAGTAGTTAGAAACTTCAGCGATTAGGTGGGACATCAATGACCAAAAGCAAACAAACAAATAGTGTGGTGAATTTGAGGGGAGACTAGCCTAGGAGACTGAAATGTTCTCTCACTGACTTCTGGGTTTCTGCTAGGTGGTCTATTGCTGGTGAGCAGCATTTTTAAATCAGGCATAAGGTAGTGGTTCTACAGCCATTGCATAATTCTAATGGGGTGTCCAGAAAGTGAACCTGCTACATAGATTTGTCTAATTCAGGTTGATAGTGGAGTAGAAATTACGCAGTTGTTTTAAAAGATTATACCATGTCCTTCAGCAATTCTACTTCCAGGACACCTGAGAGATATCAATACATATTTTTAACAGCAAACGAGCATGCAGTATTCAAATAATAGATAAAACATAGCTCTGAGGAAAACATATGAGTAGCAAAATAAATTTAAATAACACATTAAAAGGCGTGTTAGAATGCAATGTCTTCACCTAGTTCAAGGCAAGCTTCTCAGGGATGATTGTTCCAAAAGATGGGAGATGAATAAAAAGACCTTATCTTTGATCACTTATAAGGCAGAGGTACTCAGGGAAGCGACTTTGAAGATAACCTCAGTCATCTTTATCCTTACTGTTATTTGTAAAATTTATATCCTGCCCATCCGCCCAGGGGGGAGCCCAGGGTGGCAAACAACAACAGTGAAAACATCCATACTCCAATACAATTCCAATACAGATGCAGACTGGGAAAGATCTCAGTTTAAAAGGCTTGTTGAAAGTGGGATGATCTTCAGTAGGTGCAGAAAAGGCAACAGAAATGTCTAATATTTAACAGGAAGGAATTCCAGAGGGCAGATGTCATAACACTAAAGGACAATTCCTACACTGTGCAGAATGAAACTCCTGATAACATGGTGTCTGCAGGAGACCCTCATCTCTAGAGCACAAGTGATCAATGGGATATATAAGAGGTGAGACAATCTTCTTGTCACAGTCCTGGTGGAATCCCCAAATGCTTCTTCCTAAGGATTCCAGGTGGCAGTGCAATTCATGTTATCTTCAGTAGAGGAAAGGTCTTTGGGAGCAGGAGCTAACTGCTCCAAGTCAGTTGTGAGTATGTTGTCACACTATGGAGTGTAGCTGATTGGAGTTGTATTGGAGAATTAATTGGCAGGGATCTTGCTTGAATTCAGGTCACACTGCACAGGAAATATGGGTCAACCAGTGTTGACAGGTGGCTGAACCCATCTACCCATCAGAGTGCCTTGTTGGGGGTGCTGGATCTGGCCCGCCAAGGATGGGAAAATTTGCCACCCTAGCTGTACAGGTGTGTGGGTAATCATCACAGTGCCATTGTTCTGAGGATAGGAGCAGAGATGATTATGGTTGAGCATAAATTGGCAGGACTTGGTGGATGACAAACCTGGTTGCTTGTAGACCATTTTTATGGGAGTTGTTGGTATATAAAGCTTTTGGGCCAGAGGGAGGGGTCACTCTGGGGTGGAACATGGGGCTGGGCCTGTGGGAACAGTCCCTCTACCGCAGGGGTCAGCAAACTTTTTCAGCAGGGGGCCGGTCCACTGTCCCTCAGACCTTTTGGGGGGCCGGACTATATTTTTTTTGGGGGGGGGGATGAACAAATTCCTATACCCCACAAATAACCCAGAGATGCATTTTAAATAAAAACACACGTTCTACTCATGTAAAAACACGCTGATTCCTGGACTGTCCGCAGGCCGGATTTAGAAGGCGATTGGGCCAGATCCACCCCCCCCGGCCTTAGTTTGCCTACCCATGCTCTACCCCATCATGTGTTGATTTAACCCTTAAGTGGAATGCCTGAATAGAGCTCAAGTGATGCTCTGAAGGTGTGAGACTGGAACATGGGACAATACACTGAGTCAAGCTATTGGTCCATCTAGCTCACTGATTGGTCCATCTACGCTGATTGGCAGTGACACTCCAGAATTTGAGACAGGGCTCTCTCCCAGCCCTACCTGGAGATGTCAGGGGTTGGGGAGATGCTCTACCACTGAGCTACAGCCCTTTCCCAACTGCTTCAAGTACAATGCTTTCCCATAGAGAGCTCATGTGCAACACCAAGTGATAACTCATTTAATGATAAGATGTCAATTGATGCACATGCATATATGTACATGCATGTGTAAATCTGCCTTTCTCAGCTTGCCTTCCTCTACCTGTATGATGCTGAATTTTTCTGAATCATTGATCCATCCAGTCCAATAGTGTCTATTTTGATTGGCAGCCTCTCTCCATGGCTCCAGGCTTGCTCTGATAAATTTAACTGGTCATACAGGTGATCTATGTATATGTTTGAAATGTGGGAAGCTCCAGGTATGTTTAGATTAGGAAATGACACAGGGACCGACCTGAAGCCTTGAAGATTAGATGGGGTAATGGTCTGACATGGTGCAAGGCAAATTCTTGCATAGCCTGAAGGCAGGCAGGCAGGCAAAGCAACAGTTTAGTAGGAATTAAGGCAGGGAAGGAATAAAATAAACTACTCAGCTTGCAACAATTGATTGAGTTGGAGGAGCCAGTTATTGGATTCCAGGAAAACAACAACTCTTCAGGCTTCATCAGCAGGTAGAAAGAGCTCCCATCAATCCATAGCAAATATAAGGCAGAACCTGGAAATGTTCCACAGAGGCAAAAAATTCATTGTTTATGTTAGAAGGAATGAGATTGCTTGAATCTGGGAAGTTAGAATCATTCATTTAAAGCAGGCATAGGCAAACTCTGGCCCTCCAGATGTTTGGGACTACAATTCCCATCATCCCTGACCACTGGTCCTGTTAGCTAGAGATGGTGGGAATTGTAGTCCCAAACATCTGGAGGGGCGGAGTTTGCCTATGCCTGATTTAAAGGATGTCAAGAGTCTTTGGGCCAAGTGTTGCTAAGTATCAGAGATCCCCAACAAAATTTGATAAATACATTTAAAAACGCTGGTTTTAAATGTAATAAATCCGCCAAATGGCAAAATACGTGTGGAATTTTGGTGCAGCTCCACTCTTGAAGCTGTCATTGGTGTTCATCAGCAACTACAGACAACAGTGGCACCTGAGATCCTTTTTCATCATTGAATCACACCTGCCTTCTTGAATATTGAGCCTATATTAGTTATGAGTTACCAGCCTCTGCAGCCACAGCAGGCGTTGTGATACTCCAGCAATTTGACTTCACCCCAGGAGGTGCATTCCATTGTCTCTTGAGGCAGATGGATTACAACAACAACAACAAAATAGTTCTTGTTAAGGCACATTAGAAATTTAAATAACTCTTTAAAAACACACCACTGGCCAAGTTGATATTCTAGCAGATAACCTCCTTTCAAAGTCAGTTTCCAGTTCGGAATAAAGTTCTTGCTGATTTCAACATGGAACTGTCACTTCTCCCATTGTCCCAGGGATATATCTCAGTGGTCATAGGGATGGTTGGGCTCTTACATGAAAAACAAAATCTGTTAGGAGGTTCAGAGGACAGGAGGGGCCAGATCTTGAATATGTGGTTATGATATCCACCCCTGTAGTAGGAATATATTTGAGGCTCATTTTGCTGGTTGGCACAGGAACTGCTAAAGCTTTTAAAAGGCTGAAAGAAGTTCAACACCCACCAATTACTCTCCAGCACTGTCTTTCTGTGGATATGTAAAGGACCACTATACTGCAGTCCTGACTCCAGAACAGCAGATAGTATTGTCCATGGCAGGGTTAGGGGGACTCATGGCCTTCTAGGTGCTGCAGGACTTCAACTCCCATCATCCCTCACCATGGACCATGCTGGCTGTGGCTGATGGGAGTTGGAGTCCAAGAACATCCAAAGAGGTATGGCTTCCCCACCCCTGGTCTAAGGTTTTTAAAACCAAGCAGGTAATTTAACAGCATTTGCCATACTGCAGCCAAAATGGTAATATAGGTCACATCCACATCAAGCATTTAAAGCACCCTTATAACACTTGAGGGACACGGGTGGCGCTGTGGGTTAAACCACAGAGCCTAGGACTTGCCGATTAGAAGGTCGGCAGTTCGAATCCCCGCGACGGAGTGAGCTCCCGTTGCTCGGTCACTGCTCCTGCCAACCTAGCAGTTTGAAAGCACGTCAAAGTGCAAATAGATAAATAGGTACCGCTCTGGCGGGAAGGTAAACGGCATTTCCGTGCACTGCTCTGGTTTGCCAGAAGCGGCTTAGTCATGCTGGCCACATGACCCGGAAGCTGTACGCCGGCTCCCTTGGCCAATAAAGTGAGATGAGCGTCGCAACCCCAGAGTCGGCCACAACTGGACCTAGTGGTCAGGGGTCCCTTTACCTTGACCTATAACACTTGAAGAGCCGTGGCTTCCCCCAAAAGAATCTGGGTGCTGCGGCTTTAATCTGAAGGGTCTCCAAACAGCTCTTGGCACCTTTAGCAAACTGAAGTTCCCAGGATCCCATGACTGTTAAAGTGGCGTGAACATGCTTTAAATATTGATGTGACTGGGTTTGTACAACAAGAGCCCAATTTCTCATTCTTTCATTCCTCCTGAGCTGTCATCATGCTGCGTGAGTCACTGCCGCTGAACCAGGTCAAAAAGGGAAATGAGAGGCGGGGGGGAAATAACATGACAAAGTGGAAGATGCTCTAGAGCAGAGGCACAGCTGAAAGGGCAGGCCTTCCTCTGGCTGGGTGTGAAATGCATTCATTTCCTTTTCCTGCAAGTGCGGTTGCCATGGTCTGCATAACAAGACCTCAAAGAAGTCCCGTGGATAACCGCGGCCAAGGAGCGCTCTCTGAAAATGCCAAGCAATGCTTGGTGCTGTGCCTGGCTTGGCTCTGGGGCCATCTTTCCAGCAGCCTTTGAGGTGGAAAGGCTAGCTCAGGGGGTCAGAACTCTGTGTCTAGAGCTGAAATTCAGGTTTGATCTGAAGAGGGGGGACAGTGCTGGATTTAGGGCAGTGTGGGCGGTTCCCCTACACAGGACACCAAGCCAAGCAGGTGTGAAACCGAGAAGATCCATAGTTGAGAAGGTCCACTTGGGGGTGCCAAATTTTGGCCTCACACAGGGCACTATATTATGAAAGATTATCAAAGTCCGCCTGGGAGGGACAGGGAGCAAATATGCAAGTATGTGTCCTCTCATCTTCTCTTATTTGGCAATGTGCAAGTGGCCACCAGATTTACCTGTGTTTCGCTTGCTTGTTTTTCACCCACTCGACCTGTATATTTGGTAATAAATGAGCCTTACAAAAAACGCCACAGGACTTCAGCAACTTCTTACTCACAGGAAAATGATCCTGTAAAGATGCCCTTGCAGGCAAGAGCACTAAAGAGCGGGGGAAGAGAGACTCCTACCTGTTAAAACTTTTTGATATGAGGTTAAATGTGCACGTACCGAAAAAAGAAAGAAAAATGAAAGAATACTTTTAAATAATAATGGCACTGAGTTCTAAACTAAGAGAAGGAAAAGACAAACATTAAAGAGAACTTAAAAAGCAGGATTCGACTCACTGAGTAATATCCTTAGACAAAGCTGAATTAAGACAAAAAGGAGATATGGGCCCGAGCTGGGAATCGTAGCTCTGTAAGGGATCTCCTAACAGCTTTCAGCACCCTTAACAAACTACAGTTCCCAGGATTCTGTTTAAAGTGGCATGGTACTGCTTTAAGTGCATGTTAAGGTGCTCTGCCTGTTTTTCAAGGTCCTGAGTGCTGCGAGTTTTCCTTCTGTGAAAGGGTCATTCTGTGGTGCCTACAACTGTTTCTTAATGATTTCCAAATGTGCTCCTGGGCCCCCAAAGGGCCCCCTGAAGTGGGGCTTCAGTGCTGCATTGCATTGCATTTGGTTCTCAAATCCTCTTCTCCTTTGCCCTGCAAGCAAAGTTGACGATTTGACAAGACGGGTAAAAATTTTGCCTTGCTAGTAGCGCGTACTAAAAATATACAGAACCCTCAAGCAACGAGAAGGAAGTTGTGTTTTCACAAGATAGTACCTTCTCAAAGCAGATGGGAAGTGTGACTCTAAGGGGAAATGCAGAATGCTCAGATAGACTCAAATAGATTTGGAAGGGACACTGAAGTAAGTCTTTTTCAAGAGTGTCTATACACGACCATTTTCTTAATTCAACAGGATTTGTGTTTAGTCGTGTCTGACTCTTCGTGACCCCATGGACCAGAGCACGCCAGGCACTCCTGTCTTCCACTGCCTCCCGCAGTTTGGTCAAACTCATGCTGGTAGCTTTGAGAACACTGTCCAACCATCTTGTCCTCTGTTGTCCCCTTCTCCTTGTGCCCTCCATCTTTCCCAACATCAGGGTCTTTTCCAGGGAGTCTTCTCTTCTCATGAGGTGGCCAAAGTATTGGAGCCTCAGCTTCAGGGTCTGTCCTTCCAGTGAGCATTCTGATTTCCTTCAGAATGGAGAGGTTTGTTCTTCTTGCCCTCCATGGGACTCTCAAGAGTCAACAGGATTTAGATACCGCCAAATCGCCAAAAACCTCTAAGCAGTTTGCATAGAACTTTATAAAATATTCACTAAAAATACTGATGAATCCAAACAATAAAAATAAGTTGATTTTTAAAGTATAATCAGCAGACAATATTACATGTCTAAATTACATTTCTGGGTAGGCTTTTGTAAGCATTTTAATTTTTTTTAGGATGTGCCAAAAACAATATAGCAAAGGTGCCTGCCGATTATCAATGTGCGGCGAGTTCCAGCACGTAGGTGCTGCTACACAGAAAGACTGATCCCATGCAAGTGTTGAATGAACGTTATATAGTTATTGCATCAGTAGTTTATTATGCAGGCCTGGTCCTGCCATTGGGTAGAGTGAGGCTGTTGCTTCAAGAGTCAGGTGCTGCAGGATGGGAAGGCATGGCATCAGGTTGGAGGACAGAGCTTTGTGTTCCACATAGGCTGCCCTGTATCTTCTTGAGCTATCTTGCTGCCCTTAGATATGGGGAGAATGTTTTTCCATCACCAGGGTCAATGTAAGAGTCAACTGCCATTCAGGTTGACTTCTGTATTTGGAAATGCAGCGGGTTTGAGTGATGTTATCTTGTCCACTTATCTTGCGGCAGCATTTTTTGGAGGGAGTATCCCTGAAGCAGAAGGTTAATGCCTATTGACTGTATATGTTTGACTTTCAGCTTGCCTCACATTAAGGCATTTGCTAAGCGTACCATGATCCTCCTTCTAGCTTTTATGATGGGCTTCTGGACCCTTTATTGATTGATTATTCATTTCATTTTTTTCCACTTTATATTTTTAAGAAAAAGATCTCAGTGCAGTTTACAGCACATTAAAACATCTATTATTATTATTACCTGACATTTTCAGAAGGTAAAATTAAAATTCGTTGGTTTTCCAAAAGCAGTATGTGTGTTTCTTCACCACACATAGACTTACCAAGCTAAATGTTATCCAGTCACAAAAATAATAGCAGATTTGAATTTGTCACTCTCAAAATCATCCTTTCAAGACCCTTGGGTCATTTGTGTTCTCTTAGGATGAGCCTCTTAGAGGCATTCAAAATGTGGTTTCTCACTAAGATTCATTGATGCTGAACTTGGTACCCAGAATTAAAGCAAATTATTTCCCTTCTTTTCTCTTTTGGTGATGCATTTCCTCTTTTTTGGGTGATGGCTAAGTGGCCAGCCTATGCTTTATTCATTTGAAATAATCTACAAATCTTGCATTGCAGGCTTTGAGTCTGAATAGCGGGCTAAATTCTGTTCTTTACTCTTTCTCTCTTTCTTGAGCTATCTGCATGCTGCCTTGGAACTATGCTGATTTAGGGCAATTTATTTGTTTTTAAATAATTTCATCACAGACTTCCTCTTTGGAATTGGATGGGTCACTTTAAGCTGTGACTCAATGCATTGTTGAGCAGAAGAAAACTGCCTTTGCTAGCCTTATTTTTGCTTGCTTCTTCTAAATGTGCTCAGGAGCTGCAAGAAAAGCTGCTGCAGCCCTCCCTCCAAGCCTTGAAATGACACTGCAATTGATATTCTGCTGCGTCTTCGCCTATCCTCAGGCCCGGCCAACATGGCCAAAGATGGGGATGTATGGACCATATGGAGAGTCACTGGCTGCCCACCCCTGTTCTATAGTAATACAGTGGCACCTTGAGTTACAAACACCTTGGGTTACAAATGCTTCAGGTTACAAACTCCGCTAGCCTGGAAGGGTTACCTCGAGTTGAGAACTTTGCCCCAGGATGAGAATGGAAATTGTGTGCCGGCGGCGCAGCAGCAAGAGGCCCCATTAGCGAAAGCACGCCTCTAGTTAAGAAGAGTTTCAGCTTAAGAACGGACCTCCAGAACAAATTAAGTTCGTAACTAGAAGTTCCACTGTACAGGTGAAAAGAAAATAGCAAAACACCAGGCTTTGCCCTATCCCAATCCCAATAGTTGTGAGTTGTGTGTTGGGGGGGGGGTAATACCTGAGTGCCTCCTATTTCCTGGACCCAGTAAGGATTCAATTGTTGGAAGTCCCAGACCAGCTTCTTGGTAATGGCCCCCTAAGTATGTGTCGTTATGGAAGCAAAGGAAGCGGCTCTGTGCCAGAGGGAAGCTCCCTGGCTCTTGGTAGTTAGAAGGACAAAGGTGAGAGTTTTCTGTGAGAGAGCTAGAAGCTAGAAGCAGGCTGTCGGCAGAGGTAGGGTTGCCACCCATCCCTAGAAAAATGGGATTGTCCCGTTTTTTGGACTAAAGTGTCCCATTTGGACTCCTTTCCCCCCATATTAGAGCTCATCCTCAAAACTGCACAGGCAGAGGGTGGGTGCAGCGGAATGTGAGAGAGTGAGTTTGCATGGGCAGGGCAGAGGATGGGTCCAGTTCATTAGGTTGGTTGGCACTGTCACTGTCCTTGCCACTGCTGTATTATCCTTCCCAAGTGCAGGAGTATCTCCTCCCTTCCTTGACACCATTGGGCATGAGAGGGAGGTGGATGGCCAGCCCAAAATGGAGGCTGAGTCGCTGTTGGTGCGGTTGATGAGGAGCGCGAGCGACAACAGGGAGAAGGGGGAAGGAGTGACCTCCTCTCCCTAACCTTGTCCCTTCCTTCCTTCCTTCCTTCCTTCCTTCCTTCCTTCCTTCTCGCTGGTGCTTCTCCTCATCTGCCAGCCGCTGGTCTAGCATGGTGCAGATTCACTGAATCGCCCTGGGTTCTAGTATGATGAGAGTGGGGAGTTTATGCTCTCCATGAACTTGTCTAATCATTTTATGAAGCCATCCAGCCTAGTGTCCATCACTGCACAACTTCCCCTGTTTCATCACACATTTTTTTGATGCTGCGTTAAAGTTAAATCCCCATGGGTGGGATACGAACGTACATAGGCTTTGTCCGGAGAGACGCGCGATGTGGCACTTGGCTAGATCAAGAATTCCTTTTTAATTGCCAAAATAGAACAGAATGTTGGGGTGTAATAACTGAAAGAAGAAACGGGTTGGTTTGAAGCCCTTTGCTACGCAAGGTAAGCAGGACTGCTCCCGCCTGTCTATGACAGCTGTCTGGGCAGTCGGCAAAGCACAGCGCTGCCAAGCCAGGCATTAAAAGACATCCATTGTTCCTAGGCCATCACAGCGAAAGAAACCGATGTTATCAACAACAGGTTGCTTTCATCCTCTGAGCTGGCAAACGCATGCCTTCCCCCTGATACTCCAGAGCAGCTGTTTCTTTTCAGCAAATGTTGTGGATAAAAATATGAGCCTTGTGTTCCTCGTGCACTGTGCCTGGGACTTGCAATTTGGGTGAGAAATTCTTTGCACCCCCGGGTGAAATTGGCACAGTGAGGAGTGCCTGCGGTTTGCCTCCTGTTTTGCTGTGGAAGCTCTGGAATTCGCCACGCTTCCACCCCAGCCGTACCATGCCCTGGCTCCAGGATCAACGCTGGCCCACAAAACAGGGCTACATCTGATCTTTTTGACATCCAGAGTGTGTTCCCAGTTCCCACCTCTCCAGGAAACAGTGCTGGGGAGGGGTTAAGAGTAGCTGTGGACAACTGTAAGTCATGATTGCTCAGATAGACTGCTCTTGCCCAGCAGTTGCTGTGCAATAAACCTGCACTTTGCTGCTGCCTTGTGTTTACATGTGTCCAGTGTTTGCCTTCCCCAGTAGCATTGATTGCTTGATGTGCTTTACTATCACAGGAACACTGAGGAGCTACAACAGTATCTCACCTTGCCTGGCCTGTTGACTTCTCTGAGCCTTGGGAACCTGATTAATTTGTTCTATGCCAAAAAGAAAATGTTGCCCAGTTTAACAGGCACAATATATTGCATTCCTGTCCAGGTTGCAGCAGGGCTAATCCTGCTATCCTACTGAGTACAAAGAGAAATGGCAGGTGGTATTCAGCATCGCACTATGGTTAGTTGTAAATTGCTTTGGGTTGCCTGGGCAGGATAAAGCAACTAACAAATATAACAGGTGATGATGATGAACGTTCTGTCTGTGCAAGTATTGCAGTTTTCCATGTGGAACAATCCCCGTCTCCTCCTGCTGCATACTGTTTTGGGGGTTCTCCTGATCACGCACCAAACCAGTTTCAGGGGGCATGAAGAAGTGGGGGGGGGGAGCCCCTTTGCAGAAGTGGAAGTCCTTGCACAGGGCTCATGCTAATGGGGCTTGTTAGGTGAATCCCATCCGGGGAGAGGATTTGTGTTGCTTGTCACCGATCGCATCACAAGCAATGTCCAAGAGATGCCAGTAGCATTCATGCACCTCCTCAGGAGTGCCAGCTTGGCCCTGTGATTGTGGGTGCCTGGGGCCGTGGGTGCCATGCAACATGCATGGCCCTGGCACGGAAATTTGTGGGTGCCTGGGGCCTCTTTGTTCCAGAATTTGGTGGGTGCTCGGGCACCCAAGGCCCCAGGAAGCTGGCACCTATGCACCTCCAGTATCTTCTACACCAGGGATAGCCAATGTTGTACCTCCATATGTTGTTGGACCCATCAACCCAGCCAGTGTGACGAGTGGCCATGGATGATGGGATGAAATATACTCGGAGTTGAGAGTGGATTTCATACTCTTTATTCAGCTCATAGTGGTGAGGAGGAATGGAAATTCCTCCAGAATGTCTGCTTTATATACATTATTTACACACTGGGCCCCACATGATTGGCTAATTCCAGGATTCTCCTGTAGGCCAATCAGGTTGCGGATTCACTTCCACCTGGGGTTGGATTGGGTGGCTCCTGTGGACCAATCGGACTGCTACATTCTGAATCCTATTGTTCTAGGACCAATCACACTGCTGCATTTTGGATCCTATTCAACTCAGTACATAACATGGGAGTTGTAGTCTTAGAACATCCAGATGGCATCACATTAACTACTGATGCTCAACACAGCAGTCACAGGGTGTGAACAAAAGGGACGAGGTCTTCAGCGGTTCTCCCCACTTTGTATGACTCACAGGTAACTTCGTAATCTGAGAGGAAAGCATCAAGCTCTCCAAAGACCTCAGGAATAAACTAGACGTAATGGCGCAGTCACATGTATTTTATACTTGCACCTGTCCTACAAGCACATAAAATAGGGGTGGCCAGTTCTGCTGTTTACATGAATAGGATCATATGGGGGAGTGAAGTGAAACCTGCCTCCCCCGGGACTTTGCTGTCCCCTGTTGCATTAAGCAGCTTCCTCCCAGCCCCACTCTATCGTAGCATCATGAGAGAGGCTTAAAGCAGCAGAGCGTGTCAAGGTACTGTGGGTGTGGATGACTACTCTGCAATGTCTACTCTGGTAAATAAGTGTCAGACCTTGGCCGAAACCAGAGATGTTTCATTGCTGGAATCTAGTGCTAGCCCAGGCAGAACAGGGATCCCAAATCTGGAAGTCCTTGATGGATGTTGCTTGAGGATGGGGTGGGGACGAGGTTCTGGAAGAGGCAGGTTGGGACTGAATGGAGCCAAGACACAAGATAGGCTGGTAGGTAGGTTCCAGATCAACGCAGGGGAACCCAGTGTGTGTGGCTACTCAATCAGACAAATTGTTCTGAGCAAAGAGCCAAGTCTAGAACAACAGCTACCTAGAGCCAGCCAGGCCGCTATTGGTTCCTCAGATCACCTGGCTCAGCTGAGATTTTGGGCCACTAAACACTCTTTGTTTTGGTGGTGCGACACAGGGAAGATGTTCAGGCCAGTAATTGCTTCACCTTGGGCTGTCCTCTTCACCTTTTCATTTCCCTCTTCCCACAGTGGGATTCTTACTTTCTGCACATGGATGTCTTATTCCTGCTCTTACGTTCCGTTGTGGTTTCACTGCGGTCATGCTGTTTACTCTATGGATTAGAGCAGGCACGACTAGGGTGTCCGGATCAGAGTAGGGAAAAGGGAGAAATTTGGTTCTGCCTCCATTACTGCAAACCTACCTAATTCCCACTTCCCAAAACAATTCACAGACTGAAACACAGCTTTCCTTTGAAATTTTGAAGTTTTCCAACCAAAAACAACAATTTGTTCAAATGATTCTGTGACTTGAAAACAGAGACTCTGCATGTTCTATTGTTACCCAAGAGGAACATTTTAATAAAACCTTTTTTTTTTTAATGTGCACATTGTGCATGTGTTAGTGAAATTCATTATATTAAGGAAAATGGCAAACACATTAATTAGGATAAACTTGCAGTTAAATGCTGGTAAATGTTTGCGAACTTAAGACCAGGGGAAATCTGAAAGAAAGAAAATCTTACCCTGGCAACTTCATCATTCCCAGGTCAGAATAAAGCAGGATTTACAGTCGGGCAATCACATTTGGTGATATGGCTACTATATGCACAACCAGATCAGTTTAAAGGGGGAATAAAGCTGATAGATGAATAAGAGGAGCGATGGCTAAGGGGTGAATGATTTTGCAGAAGATTTATCTGTCAAACATGAAGGACATTGTGGTCTTGTGAAATGCTAGCCTTCACCTGCAGGTGGGGTTGACAGGTGCATCCTTCCTCTTTGAAACACAGGAGGAGTAGAGAAATGACATTGTGGGGCAAACATTTTGCTTAGAAACAGACAGGGCAGGAAATTGTTAGCACTCACTGCCTTACACTGCTTTCCATCCCAAATAAGTGTCTGTAGCACTATGTCAGTGGGAGAGAACATGACCCCTCCAGGTCTTCTGTCCGACCATTGGCCCTCTCCCCAACCCCCTCTCTGCAGGCTATATTCACCACCATCCCTGCTCCACACCCTCACCATAAGGGCTTTGCCTTTGGCCTGGCTGGAATGTGAGCGTGCCTCTTGCTTGCCTGGGCGGAGGAAGGATGAGAGTGTATGATTAAACCTCTGGCTTTTGCATGGCTTGAATGTAGCATGTTGTTGTTGTTTAGTCATTTAGTTGTGTCCGACTCTTCGTGACCCCATGGACCAGACCACGCCAGGCACTCCTGTCTTCCACTGCCTCCCACAGTTTGGTCAAACTCATGTTAGTAGCTTTGAAAACACTGTCCAACCATCTCATCCTCTGTCGTCCCCTTCTCCTTGTGCCCTCCATCTTTCCCAACATCAGGGTCTTTTCCAGGGAGTCTTCTCTTCTCATGAGGTGGCCAAAGTATTGGAGTCTCAGTTTCAGGATCTGTCCTTCCAGTGAGCACTCAGGGCTGATTTCCTTCAGAATGGAGAGGTTTGATCTTCTTGCAGTCCATGGGACTCTCAAGAGTCTCCTCCAGCACCATAATTCAAAAGCATCAATTCTTTGGCGATCAGCCTTTTTTATGGTCCAGCTCTCACTTCCATACATCACTACTGGGAAAACCATAGTTTTAACTATACGGACCTTTGCTGGCAAGGTGATGTCTCTGCTTTGCATACCCTCCAACATTTCTCCGACGAAAATAGGGACGTCCCATTCCATAATGATAATTTCACTATTTATACCCCACACATCTTACTGGGTTGCACCAGCCACTCTGGACAGCTTCCAACATATATAAAAACATAATAAAACATTAAACATTTTTTTAATAAAACCTTCCCTGTACATACAGGATTGCCATCAGTCAGCTCGGGGGTCAGATGACTCCATACCCTCCAACCTTTCTTCAGTGAAAATAGGGATGTCCTAAGGAAAAGTGGGACGTTCTGGGATCAAATTAGAAACCGGGACAGCTTCTCTAAATCAGGGATGTCCCTGAAAATAGGGAAAATAGGGGCACTTGGAGGGTTTGATGTAGCCTACTGTCCAAAGGTAAGAGTCGTGTCCATTGCTCCAGCATCTGGCCCAAGCAACAGCTGACATGTAGCTCCCAGAAAGTTCCATAAAAGGGAATGTATGGAAGCCCCATACAAGGGCCTTTAGGCTGAAAAAGGTCTTCCATCCCCTACCCAATGGAGTGAGAATTCCTGTTTCCTGTTAAGACATACCTGTTTTGTTCAGATAGTGTGGAACTGTTTGTACTTTGGCTTATTTCAGCACTTTCTGCATTGCACAGAAGGCTACATCTGGAAGTTAGCGCTCCTGGATAGCAGTTGCCCAACTATGCATGGTGTTACTCAGCTCTTGCATCCTGCATGTGGTGCATTCGCTTTATCTTGTTTCCAACAGCTTGTTTCTCTTCCCTGGGAGCCTGATCCACACAAAAAACCCTATAATATCAGTGCTGTAGTTGGCAGTAGCTAGGAAAGGCATCCTACCAATATCCAGTGCTTCTCCTGCTGTCATGCCATCAGTGGTTTTGAGTTGATACTGTCTGCACAGAGGTTCCCAGGGGTGAGGGAGAATGAAGAAACACAGAGGTGGAGGAACCGACTGAGGCATCGCATTACACTGCATCCCATGGTTTATCGCTTGCACAAGCGGCCAAAGGGTTCTGCGGCAAAAGAGCTCTTACTACAGTCTTGTTTGACGATAGTAGGTGTGGCGAGATTCAGGAAGTCCCAGCTGCTCGCCCTCTTCTTGGGCACATTGTAGGTTCAATTGTGAAAACATGATATGCTTTAAGAGCACTTGTTGCAAAGCTAGATTGAAACATTAGGTCCAGGATAGGGAATTGGAGGGTCTTTCCAGTTTTGGCCTGCACATTTTCACATGGCTGGGAACTACAAATGGCATGATAGATAAAACTGGCATGAAAGATAAAACATTTAGCTAGAGCTCATATCCCTGACATCTAATTTTCTGTGTGCAGGGAATATGTAGGTGGGTCTTCTTTGTGGTGGCTCCCTGCCTCTGGAATGACATCCCCATTAAGGCATGGTCTTGCTGTTTTTTAAAGTAACTTTTTCTTGAGTTATCATAAATAAGGATAATAGGGATTATAAATGATACAAATAAATAGACCAAGTCTTCTCATGTCAAAAATAGAGCAATAAATTTGCAGTAATATCTACAACATGTGGCCTGTTATTAGTGGTTGATGTGTAAGTTCCTGGTTCATGAATTGGTTTAAACAAAAACAAAGGGGAAACAGAACAGAACAGATAACATTCAACTTTGCGTAGCTAAATGCCTACTTAGGAGCCCCTACCAAGGAATGTTGAGCACAAACATTATTAACCTCTCCTAAGCAACTGGAGATGCTCCTCTTTAACCAGACCTTGGGGGTAGGGGCTGTGATTTTTAAGCCATTCTTAGATGCTTATTTATTGCCTGCTTCTATATGTTGCTGATTCAATGTATTTTATTAACGTGATATTTTATAGCACTGTTATTTTTGTTGTATAGGCAACAGCCGTTTTGTGTGGGGTTGTATTCCTGACCCCCATGCGCATCGGCAGAGCATACATAAGCCCACCCTGCCCCGTCCTGTTACACCCCCATCCTGCCAATTTCGGGGTGGCGGCGATGCACGGTGGCACACATTTTGTGTTTTTTTTGTTTTTTTTTCTTTTTTCTTTTTTGTTTTTTTTTCTTTTTTTTCTTTTTAATAATTTTTATTAAATTTCATATTTCCAAATTAAACACATCAAATCAATTAGTCCAAATTATAACAATACATATCATATAATCCAATTGTTTTCCAAATTATAAATTTTTGTGGGGGGTACCCATGCTTCTTGATTGGCAGGAGTCCAATCCTCGAATATTTGTTCTGCTTCCATATTAAGAATGATGTTTCCAGTTTCCTCTTCTCAATACTTGTCATTACTCATTTTCCTTTCCATTTTCCTCCGATATGCTCCGCAAGTGGGTTGAAAAAGACAGTCTTATTTGTATTTCTGTGTGGGCTTTGTGCTGCTCTCTCGTAAATCACTCTCCTCCAACAGTCCTTTCCGCTCAAGCGAGTAATCGCCATTTTTGTCGTTCCGATGAAATACAGTCTAGAAGCTCGCTCTTTAGCTTTTCCGACCTGTTGCATCGTAAATTAGTCTTTTTGCAGGAGGGCTGCCTCTTCCAGTTCACAATCTCCTCGAAAATAATATATCTTCGGCTCGCTCTCCCCAAGACCAACTCCAGCAACACAGGTCTCTTATCAAGTTTCCATTCTTACTGCGTCACAAGAGAGAGCCCTTCTTTCCAAATCCTTCACAGAGTAAAACCTTTAAGTTCATAATTATTCCCACACAATTCATTTTTAGTCCCATTTGCAATTAATTTCTGAGACAGATCTTCAGGGGGAGGGTTATTAATAATCACATAGAGCAAAAGAAATAAAAAGTCGTTTCCCCCCCCCTTAGTTCCGGCATTCCAATCCACATACCATATTTGTAGTACTTTGATGTAATCTTCCATCTCAGTCCGTCTCAGTCTTCTTCCTTTCAGTGGTAAAATTGTTAGCAGATAAAAACCTCCTGCCTCTCTTGAAGCATGTGCGTTATCTTTCCTAATTTTTTTTTTCCTTTTAAGTAACGCAACTAGTTTCGCTCCTGGAAGCAGCTTCGGAGGAGTTCCGAGGCCCGCCGAGGGTTGTGCACCCAGTGCCTCACCCCCTCCTTCTTCCGAACTCGGGGGTGATTTATGGCAACAGCGGGTGAAAACGGCATCTCTCCCCCCTGGAGAGATGAAGGGAGACTGATATACTCCCCATAATCAGCCTCTAATTACCTCGTGCGAGCTGGATAGATGTTAATATCCGCCATCTTCCAAGGCGCGGTGGCACACATTTTGGACAAGTGTAAAACAGTTGTTGCCTGTATAATGTTTCCATGCCATGTCTTCCCACATTTGGACCATACGGTGAAGGGCGGACTGCAAATAAGATAAATAAAATAACATACGCTTTCGTATGGATAGTTATTTCATCATATGAGCCCTTGCCCATAGTCTTGATCATTGCCTTATGCCTAGTCTCTTTCTGGGGCTGGGTGTTCATCAGTATGCATATGATACCCAGCTCTACCTCTCTTTCAAATCAGAACCAGTGAAGGCGGTGAAGATCCTGTGTGAGTGTCTGCAGGCAGTTGGAGGATGGATGGTGGCTAACAGATTGAGGGTGAATCTTGACAAGACAGAAGTACTGCTTTGGGGGGACAGGAGGCGGGTGGGTGTGGAGGACTCCCTGGTCCTGAATGGGGTAGCTGTGCCCCTGAAGGACCAGGTGCGCAGCCTGGGAGTCATTTTGGACTCACAGCTGTCCATGGAGGTCAATTCTGTGTCCAGGGCAGCTGTTTACCAGCTCCATCTGGTAGGCTGACTGAGACCCTACCTGCCCGCTGACTGCCTCATGAGGGTGGTACATGCTCTGGTTATCTCCCGCTTGGACTACTGCAATGTGCTCTACGTGGGGCTACCTTTGAAGGTGACCTGGAAACTACAACTAATCCAGAATGCGGCAGCTAGACTGGTGACTGGGAGCGTCCACCGAGACCACATAACACCGGTCTTGAAAGACCTACATTGGCTCCCAGTACGTTTCCGAGCACAATTCAAAGTGTTGGTGCTGACCTTTAAAGCCCTAAACAGCCTCGGTCCAGTATATCTGAAGGAGCATCTCCACCCCCATCGTTCTACCCAGATGCTGAGGTCCAGCACTGAGGGCCTTCTGGTGGTACCCTCACTGTGAGAAGCCAAGTTACAGGGAACCAGGCAGAGGGCCTTCTCGGTGGTGGCACCTGCCCACCCTCCCACCAGATGTGAAAGAGAAAAACAACTACCAGACTTTTAGAAGACATCTGAAGGCAGCCCTGTTTGGGGAAGCTTTTAATGTTTGATGTATTAAAGGTAAAGGTACCCCTGCCCATACGGGCCAGTCGTGTCCGACTCTAGGGTTGTGCGCTCATCTCACTTAAGAGGCCGGGAGCCAGCGCTGTCCGGAGACACTTCCGGGTCACGTGGCCAGCGTGACGAAGCTGCTCTGGCGAGCCAGCACCAGCGCAGCACACGGAAACGCCGTTTACCTTCCCGCTATAAAGCGGTACCTATTTATCTACTTGCACTTAGGGGTGCTTTCGAACTGCTAGGTGGGCAGGAGCTGGGACTGAACGATGGGAGCTCACCCTGCCGTGGGGATTCGAACCGCCAACCATACGATCGGCAAGTCCTAGGCACTGAGGTTTTACCCACAGCGCCACCCGCGTCCCTCTTTGATGTATTACGTTATTATAATATTTTGTTGGAAGCCGCCCAGAGTGGCTGGGGAAGCCCAGCCAGATGGGCGGGGTATAAATAATAAATTATTATTATTATTTTATTATTTCCAGAACACCTTGGCAAAAGCGTTGTACGACAACAAAGCAGAGTGTCCAGATGAGCTCGCCTTCCGCCGGGGAGACATCCTGACGGTTCTTGATCAGAATCTCCTCGGGAGCGAGGGTTGGTGGAAATGTTCGCTTCATGGAAAGCAAGGCATGGCACCTGCAAATCGCCTCCAGCTCCTGACCACTTTACAGGCTCCTCCCTCCATCCAGCCTGGCTCCCCAGGACCGCCAACCATGCCACGGACTGTCTACCAGGTTCCTTCTGGGCGTAGGCCTCCTGTACCACTACCCGTCTATGAAAAAATGGACGGCTGGATTATGCCTCCTCCTCCTTCCTCTGCTCCTTACCCGCTGACACCGGAAGTTTACCAAGTGCCAGCGATGGCAGCTATACTGCTCAGTGAAAAGACCCAAAGTTCATCGGACCAGGTAAAAAGGCAAGCAAACCCTAAAAGAGGAAAGTGGGGAGCAAACAGGCACTGATGGTGACCCACAATATAATGTGGTGTTTTGTTTTGTCTCACCCACCTTCTCCCTGCCTCCCCCTCCCCTTAAACACACACATTCTGAAGTTTTTATGAAGTTTTCCAAAATTCCACACATACATTTCAATACATAATAAAAGCTTTTCCCCCCTGACTTCCCACCCCCTTTTCCATAGTGTTTCTGTTTCTCTCCCTCTGTTGCATCCTGTCTTCTATCTCTTAAAGCTTGGCAAAACTACCATAATCTTTAATCCCTCCTGTTGCTCGTAGTTCAAACCCTGCCCGCATGTTCATCGTATAATATCACACACATATTTCTTTTTCTTTCATGTAAGTTGTGTAGTCCACTGTAGACCATTTGCTGATTTTCAGTAGACCATCTCCTGCCTGCTGCTGGTAGAGGCGCTCTTGCAAAGAATGAACCCAGGAAGTTGCCTTATACTGAGTCAGACCATTGGTCCATCTAGCTTGCTATTAACTGCACTGACCAGCAGTGGCTCTTTGGGATTTTAGGGAGGGTTCTCCCCCAGCTCCACCTGGAGACGCCAGGGATTGAAGCTTGGATTAAAGGTAAAGGGACCCCTGACCATTAGGTCCAGTTGTGACCGACTCTGGGGTTGCGGCGCTCATCTCGCTTTATTGGCCAAGGGAGCCGGCGTACAGCTTCCGGGTCATGTGGCCAGCATGACTAAGCCGCTTCTGGCGAACCAGAGCAGTGCACGGAAACGCCGTTTACCTTCCCGCCAGAGTGGTACCTATTTATCTACTTGCACTTTGACATGCTTTCGAACTGCTAGGTTGGCAGGAGCAGGGACCGAGCAATGGGAGCTTACCCTGTCGCAGGGATTCGAACCGCTGACCTTCTGATCGACAAGTTCTAGGCTCTGTGGTTTAACCCACAGTGACAGCTTGGATTATGTGCATGCAAAACAGATGTTCTACTACTGGGCTACGGCCCTTCTCCTGGCCTAGGTGGACTTAGGTACAATTTATCAGGGCAGGGGGATATACGGAGGTGTTAATGGGACTCTGTTCTGGCAAGGGATGGGCCATGGCTCAGTGGCACAGCATCTGCTTTCCAAGTTTTCAAGTTCCAAGTTTCCAAGTTCAATCCCTGACATCTCCAGATAGGACGGAGAGAAATCCCCACCTAAAGCCCAGGGTAGAACAGCAATGGTGAACAAAGGGCCGAATTCAGTCGTCTGTCTGGCCCTTGGGCTCTCCCCGGACCACACCTCCTCCTCAGCTAAACCCCTTCTCCACAGGCAACACTCCTTTGTTTTTTGCCTGACAAGAATGTACAGTGGTACCTCTAGATACAAACGGGATCCGTTCCGGAGCCCCGTTCGCATCTAGAGGTAAACGTAACTAGCAACGGCACGTCTGCGCACACGCGCATCGCTTTTCGCTGCTTCTGCGCATGTGCGTGACGTCATTTTGAGCGTCTGCGCAAGCGGCAAAACCCGGAAGTAACGCGCTCCGTTACTTCTGGGTTGCCGAGGAGCGCAACTCGAATGTGCTCAACTCGAAGCGTATTTAACCCGAGGTATGACTGTATCTTTGAACTCTGGTAACGCTTCTTGCCTTCCTGGGTGGAGAACAGAGAGGGATGTGTGGTTAAATTTACATGAATTGCTGCACCCACTGTTGTGGTTGGCCCTGCCCACCTCCGACATGTGGCCCCTGGAAGGCTTCCTAGAAGAGTTCCCCAATCCTGGTGTAGACGGTACTAAGACAGATGGACCAATAGTCTCTGATTCTGCAAGAAACAGTTTCCTATGTAGTTGTTGTCATAAGTCCAGGTTTCGGTCATTGTCTTCTGAAGGGAAAAGCAGAAGGACTCTGGGGATGGTTGGTGGTGAGATTAGCAGGTGTAATGGTTCTAGGGGTTGCTCGTGTGTAAATCATCGCCACACCTGGCTGGGTTGCCTGAGTGAACCCTTTCTGTCTGGACAGCCACTCGCCCGTGGCTGTCTCAGTTGCTGGCAGAATCCGTCAGTGGGCTTTTCTTGAACTTCTTCCAGCAAAGAAGCTCTTTGACGCCTAGTCTCCGCCTAGTCTCCGCCTAGTCTCCCTGCGCGGAAGCCTTCTGCGCAGGGAGGGTGTGGGCAGCGGAGGACCCGTGCTCTCCCCGCTGGTCCCCAGCGAGGAGTCATGGAGCCTCCTCGCCGATTCCCCCATCTGCCCCCCTTCTCCACTGGTGCTAAGCTGATTTCCTTCCCCAGAAGATGTGCTGCTTCTCTCCCTCCCGGGACGCTCTCCGGAACCCCTCTGGAGCCCTCCCTCTCCCTCTGGCTCCGATGGCAGTTCCCTGACAGCAGGCTACAGAAGCAACTCCTCCATTAACCTGAAGATGACATTTGATGACATGTCAAGGCTTCTCTCCCACCCTGAAAGGCCCCCTGAGTACCTCAGAAATTCTGGAAGAATAGCTGGAAGCCCTTAGGTTCAGGCCCCCTCTACACTATACAGTGGTACCTCAGGTTACATATGCTTCAGGTTACAGACTCCACTAACCCAGAAATATTACCTCAGGTTAAGAACTTTGCTTCAGGATGAGAACAGAAATTGTGCTCCAGCGGCGCAGCAGCAGCGGGAGGCCCCATTAGCTAAAGTGGTGCTTCAGGTTAAGAACAGTTTCAGGTTAAGAACGGACCTCCGGAACAAATTAAGTACTTAACCTGAGGTACCACTGTACATTGAAAGCAGTATTGTACCACCTTAAGAAGTCATGGCTACCCCCCCCCCAAGAATTCTGGAAACTGCTAGAGTTGTTAGGAGACTCCCTATTCCTCCCAGAGAGCTACAACCCACCCACCCTCAAAATATAAATATGAATCATCATCATCATTATTATTAACATTTATCAGTTGCTTTATAAAGTGAAATGCAACACATAAAAGCAATTTAAAACCAAAAAATAAAATAAAACCATGAACAATGCAAAAAACATAAAATACTCATCAAGCAACATATTGCTAAAGACAAGTCCTACCTTTCCAGGCACATCTCCCTGGAAAAAGCATTACAGAGGAGCGTTACAGAGAAAGGGCACATTCTCTGCATCCCCCTTAGGTAGGGCACACAGAAAAGGGTTTCTGATGAAGACTGCAGGGCGCAGACTGGTTCATATGGGGAGAGGTGATCCTTGAGGCATTGCGGCTTTGAGTTGTATAAGCTTTCATGGTCAAAACCCAGCACTTTGAATTGCACCTGGAAACTAATTGGTAGTTAAGTAAAAACAAGATGGATTGCTGCTTGCCACTTCATAAGCATATGCCTTCTTTGGCCCACTGATACCTCAACTTTATCAGAGGTATTTGGCTGACCCCAACTGGAGACACACTGGCAAAGTAGATGCAACTTAGCCTGATTGAGTTTAGCAGTTCTTCATCTTCCTAGGTAAAGGTAAAGGACCCCTGACCGTTAGGTCCAGTCGTGACTGACTCTGGGGTTGCGGCACTCATTTCGCTTTATTGGCCGAGGGAGCCGGCGTACAGCTTCCGGGTCATGTGGCCAGCATGACTAAGCCACTTCTGGCGAACCAGAGCAGCGCACAGAAACGCCGTTTACCTTCCTGCCAGAGCGGTACCTATTTATCTACTTGCACTTTGATGTGCTTTCGAACTGCTAGGTTGGCAGGAGCAGGGACCGAGCAACGGGAGCTCACTCCATCACGGGGATTCGAACCGCCAACCTTCTGATCAGCAAGTCCTAGGCTCTGTGGTTTAACCCACAGTGCCACCCGCGTCCCATGCTTCATCTTCCTAAACGGCTTTAAATGCTGAAAAAGAGCAAGTAACTGAAACTGCCTCACCCAACCCTTTATGGCACTGGAAGTTCTCTGGGATTACATCATACCCTGCATCACAGTTGTCGCTACAAAGGACAAATGTGCCACAGCAATTCAACACGACACACACCAGCACACGTGCGTACACACACACTTAAAGAACGTGGAGGGTGAATGGCCCCAGCTGGGTGCAGGAATAGAAACAGGGTAGTCCAAATTGCAGGGAGACAGCTGGCGGGTGATCAGCTGTTCCCCGAGCAGCCGGCCAAAACCTTTGACATTCTGCTTGAGACTCTTAATACGGAATCTGTCTGAGGAAGACTCACATGTGTACGCCCCAATCTTTAAGCTTCTACAGTGGAAATCTCCACTATTCCAGCAACACTTTCCCTAAACACAGGAGTCAATTCACACATGACAGTGAGGGTATAGCCTTCTGCATGAGTGTACTAAATGACTGAAGAAGGAGCCTCAACATTCACTATAATCACAGTGCTGCTGCCATCCATAGGTTGTGTTAAGTTGTGGGTGAACATATCTGATGACACAGCGATTCTTCAAACAGCTCTTGTTTATTCACAGGCCAGAAGAGTTCAGCCAGCCTGCTTATATAGCGCTCCACTACAACGCGACAGTAACCACTTTCTGTAACTATCCAATCACTGAACGTCACTTTCAATCCCTTATTTGCATATGTGGACCTGAGTGAAAACTATCTACAGTATCCCCCTGCTGGCCCAGGGTGGGAACTTCACTACATAACACCTTGAGTTGAAAGGAGCATGTAGGTAGGCACTCGGTGTGATCATGACCCCCCCCCCCCAGTTGAACAGATGCTCCTTTCCCACATGTCCCATTCAAAGGACATCGAGAGGTGGGGCTGGTGCAATGGGGCAGAGCCAGTGGGGTGCAGTCCCACCCCTTCCACATTCTTAAGTTTGTACGTAGAAGCACGCACACTGCCACAACACCCTTGATATCCATGTCCAAGAATGCTAGATTAGGCAGGATTGCTGATCATTTTTCAGGTCCAGAAGATTCAAAGTTATTGGGTTGGTTTTTAAATCATGAATCTAACCACTGGATTCTCTCCCCGCACCCCCGGATGCAGCTATAGAGGAAAATATACTGACTGTGGGTTGTACCCAGTGGTAGCTCTGAACTAGTGGAAAGGCTTCCATCAGTACAGGGCAAGGCACCCCATTCTCACCAGTCCTCCCTGACAATTGCAGCTCTCTGTGCCATAATCCTTGGATTGGGGGGGGGGGCACAGGGAGCTGCACATGGTGGGAAGAATCAGTGAAAATCCGGTGCCCAGCACCATTGGATACAGCCCGCTATTCCAACCAGTTGCTCAGGATATTGTAAACTGGATCCTGATAGCTGGGTGCTGGCCTTTCCTTTTAAAAATGCGGTTTGAAATGTGGTCGATTGCTCACATTTAGTTTTTCGCCGGTTCCCTGTAACTTATGGTTCTCCTCCGTCAACCTCTTGCACCCTTTGGCTGTCTATCACAACATTTCCATCTCAGGGGATGGAGCTTGCTTTGCCCCTGAATCAATACTTTCCTAGGAAGTCTTTGGTAGCCTTCTGGGCAGCTGAAAACATGCCTTTTAGAGGCGACCTGCCCATGGAGTGTTGCCAGTGGCCCTGGGAAGGGACCTCCCTTCCGTTTCACAGCCTTTCTGATCTTTTTCGTGTTGTAATACTTCTAACCTCGGCTGGAAACTTCCTGGGGTGAGACACTTGGTGTTCCAATGTTGCAATCTGTTGACAAAATTGGGTGGTGTGGGGAGGGTATGAACTGCTTCAGAATAGGTAGACGCACTGCGTTTACAAGGCAGATTTCCTTGCCGCTAGCAACTCAGAAGTTTGAGTGGTTTTTCTCTGGAATGGTCGTACTTCCAACATCTCTCTGACGAAACACATGCCAGGGTCTTGCTTGTAAGCACCTTCAAGGGAGTGGCGCAACATCTGCTTTCCATGCAGAAGGTTCCAGGTTCAATCCCTGACATCTCCAGGTAAGGCTAGAAATATCCGCTTTCTGAAACCCTGGAAAGCTGCTCCCAGACTCCATCAATACTGAGCTAGATGGATTCATGATCTGACTCAGTGTAAGGCAGCTTCCTATGTTCCTGTCTGTGTCTATTCTTGTCAGAGCTGGCTCCAGGTTTGAAAGGGCGAAGTGCTCTCTGGGCCTTCACCTGCATTGGTGGGCTCACCTAGTGAGCTTACCTGGTGGCAGCAGATGCAGCAGTGCTCTGATCAGACTCTTTTAAACTAGAGCATAAAGGAAACGGGGCAGTCTCTTTTATTTGGTTCTCATTTTAATAGCACCTTAGTGTGAAGTGTTTTAATAGAATTATAGTGGTTCACAGTCGCAACATCTTGGCAGTGTGGCCGCTAACATTGATATGTTCCTGATGTAAAACCTTAGATGAGAGAATAGCTTTCCCAAAAGACATACATTATTACTGTTCTATTCCAACTGATCAGATTTTTCTATAGGAGTAAACGTGGCGGCTGAGTGGGGATCTTAGAGGGACTGGGCTTACCTCGCCTGTCCTCCTCTCTAGGGTTTATAGCACTGTTTCTCCTGTCTTTCCAGGCATCTCTTTGGAGAAAATAGCAGGACCTCTCCTGACTTCTCTTTACTAGATTTTAATCTTGGATGCCTTATGTACTACCCCCTCTAATAAGCACCTTGGTGGCACAGATCATTGTTTACTAATCAGTGATTTTATTATATTATATTATGTTATGTTAAAGAAACCCGCCAGACAAAAATGGCCAAAATGGGAAATCATTATTCAAAGAACAATCTCATTCTGCAGATACCTCTGTGGCCAGGAGTGCCTTTTTACCAGCTTCATAGTCCATGCATTAGTAATTTCAGGACTAGAGTACTGCAATGAGCTTTAGTCAAGGCTGGCCTTGGACGTGGTCTGGAACCTCCAGCAAGTGCAGAATGCAGCGGCTAGACTGCTGATGGGGCAGGTGGCTGGCAGCATGCGACACTTCTGCTCAAACACACGCACTGGCTGCTCACATGCTCCTGGGCCAGCTCAAAAATAGACTGACAATAGCTACTGATCTTTATAAAATGTTCACAGATCCTGTAACCTCTTTTCAATTTCTTCATTGTTTTCTTCCCAGCACCTCTACACTCTTCCCAGAGCAACCTGGGCATCATCAATGGAGAGGAAAAGTGATATATATGACGTCCCATCACCGCAGCATCATGTATTCACACAGGTGAGGCCCTCTGCCTTGATTGATATGGCTATCAGGTAACAACAGGCAGTCAGTTAAACATCATTGCCAGCTATCCTTCTAAAAAAAAAACACAACTGGGGGGAAATGTTTCACGGCCCAGTAGTGTGTGGAGACCTACCAGCTGAAGACCAAGCAGCTAGTTAGTGCCTGTGACAACACAGGGGTCAGATAACATGCTCTCCTTTCCCTGCCTTATTTTCAGACAAGATTTTCTTTTAAAGTCGACTTCTCTTTGTAGAGGCTGAGCATTCCTTGCTATGCCACCGCATTGAGTAGATCCATATTTTAATTCAGATCTCCGGAAATACGTTTAGTAAGCCACTCTGCCATCTAGTGCTCGTTCTTTTTCAGTGTGCCATTATAATGCAATCAGATTTTTTTTGACAGTACAGAAATGACCAGGAGCCACGCAGATCCCTCAACTCCACCAGTGAAATTCCTGCCTAGCCGCTCGCTGGGGTTTTATATGTTTGCATATTCGTCTTTGCAGTCAAAAGTGCTAGTGTTGTTGTTGGCAACCTTCTGTTTCGGGAAACAATGGAGGAGTAAGCCTTTGCAGGTGAAGTCAGACTGTTGGAAGGTTGTGGCGCCTGCTGTGGCTGTAGAGACCGATATGGGACAGACATGTTTTGTTGCAGCTGGGGCAGATGAAGGTGGCCATTTGTGCTGCTGCAGATGCACCATGGCGTTTCTTCACTCTACGCAACTCCCAGTAGTCATTCCTCCTCTGGTATCTCCTATGGGTACATGACCTGACTGCCTGTCTCCTGGCACTGCAGTGGTCTGCAAGGGATTCCCACATGGAAGGGTTGATGTTGACAGCCTTCATGTCACATTTGCAGACACTAATTTTAAAAAATTAAACACTGAAACGTTAGTGTTAGTCTGGGCTATGCACAATCTAGATTGTGGAGGTCAGTGACTGGGAAGCAGGAACAGCCAATGGCGCCTAAGGTATACCAAACAGAAGGCCAAACTCCTGTTGTTTATACCAGGCTTGGCCAATTGAGAGTCTCACTACTACTTTACAATAGCGGGGGCCTATTCTTTTCTGACTGTGAGACATAAACAAAACACTTGGCTAGATCCCAGCCCCTACTTCCTGGGAGTCCCTGATAGGTTGGCACCAGGACTGACAGCATGCTTAGCATGGTTTTCCCTGATATGCCTTTTTCTACGCCATAGCCCTTGTCCCACTGTCTTACCCAACAGCAGCACTCCTCATGAGGCAGGTACCATTTTAAAGGTAAAAGGTAAAGCGACCCCTGACCATTAGGTCCAGTCGTGGCCGACTCTGGGGTTGCGGCACTCATCTCGCGTTATTGGCCGAGGGAGCCTGCGTACAGCTTCTAGGTCATGTAGCCAGCATGACTAAGCTGCTTCTGGCGAACCAGAGCAGCACACAGAAATGCCATTTACCTTCCCGCCGGAGCAGTACCTATTTATCTACTTGCACTTTAACGTGCTTTCGAACTGCTAGGTTGGCAGGAGCAGGGATCAAGCAACGGGAGCTCACCCCGTTGCGGGGATTTGAACCGCCGACCTTCTGATTGGCAACTCCTAGGCTCTGTGGTTTAACCCACAGCGCCATCCGCGTCCCTAGGTACCATTTTAACATCCCACAATGTTCCAGTGCAATGTATGGAAATGTTAAAGTGATGGCAGGGCAGGCATCAGTTCTGGGCCCTGCGCAGAAGACTGATCCTTCAGTATGGTAATGCCAGGCCTGATCCCTGACATTAAAACCTCTTCCAAATATTACACAGTTGCATTCACAGAGTTACAGAAAATGGCATAAGGACTACTCCTGTTCTTTTTTCTCTACCTTTTTTAATCTGGGGAGACTTAGGGAGACTCGTAACAACCAAATCCAAAGAACTTCTGTGCATGCATTGAAAGAAATGTGTACAATTATTCCTCCAGTGCTGTTCGTAAAGCATACAGATTAATTTCTTTTTAACCATTTAACTAGGGTCTTGCCACACCACCCTCTTCCAGAAAGGGCTCCAAACTATTCCCCTCCAAAGAATGCTACCTGGGAACAGCACAGCAGCTTTACGATATCCCGCTGAGCCCAGAAAAGCCACGAACTCACACACTGCAAGAACCTTCCTTAGAAAATGTAAGTGCAGCGTACTTTGTTGTGTGGATCATGAAGCTTTGTCGTTCTCTGTCAGTCATGCTGCTCTTATCATGGGGACCTGGTTGTGGATGGGCTGAACTGGCGTGTGACTTCTACAAAACCCGGGTCCTTCAGGTCAGTTGCTGGAGGTTGAAGGGAGAACAAGAGGTTGGCTACTACCTCCAATGTCGGCTTGCAGGTACAGGCAGCTGCAGATCTGAGGAGGCAATGGATGGAGCCTCTCCCCTGTTGGTGGCCATCTTGGGCTTCCTTGGTGTCAAGCTGCTGCCAGCGACTCATAGCCGGTTGCCCAGGAAAGGAACGTTTCTTACCCTCTGCTTTTTATTCAGTATTTACAGAGACAGGCTATAGAACCCAGTCTCTTGGGTCATGGCGTTGTCCCGAGTGAATCTCCACCCTCCGTTCCCCCACTTCCTCATTTGTCAATCTCATCATCTCTCCTACTGTTGCCGTTACATGGCCAATGTATTTGAGCTCTTTGCTCTCCTACTTTCAAGGCTCGCCAGCTTCTGGGAGGGGGATGTCTGAAACGCTTTCTAAAGACATTGTGTCTGTCAGCTGCCGCCCAGCTGGTGCTTCTTCCTCCTCTTCCTCCTCTCCCACTATTTCCCAACTTTCCCCCTCATCTGCCTCTGAGCTGTGACCTCTGTTGTAAATCTAAACTGTCTTCCTCTTGGTCCTCCCTGGAAGGGTCAAGCTGGGGAGACAGTCTCCATCATTCCTCCTCTGCCCAGTCCCTGACACTTGGCAGTGTCAGGAAGCAGTACTCTGAACAAGCAGCAACCGGGGGGTCTGAGCCTAGTGCATTTTTTGAGTTTTTGTTATGTTCGTATTGTTTCATTTGGTTTTAAAATTGCTAGCATGGGATTCTGTTTTTTCTCTTTTGTACACTGCTTTGAGTTTGCAGAAGTGGAATAAAATTGCAATTGTAATAGCATGCATTTTGCTGTTTTCCAGGTGTATGTCATTCCCACACCACTTTCAAGAGAACGTGACATTATAGAAAGAGGGCCTCAAGGAAAGCATCCGGGTCCTTACAATACTTTGCCAAACCTTCGGAAATCAGAATGGATCTATGATATACCTGTGTCACCCGAAAAAGCAGGGTTAAACTCAGCTCTTCAGAATCGTTCGCCAAATATACATGCGTTTTATGATATACCACCAACGAGGCTCGATTCTGGTACGCAGAAAATCCTGCTAACAAATAATGAAGTCAAACTGGTAACTTCAGAAGTATATGATGTTCCACCTGTACAAAGGAAACTAACTCTTCCAGAAATTCCTCTGTATGACATACCATCCACACATGAAGCCTTAGTGCAGCGTCAGAATGGTAACTACGATGTTCCTTTGGGTGCTCTGTCCTCCATGATTGAAAAGGAGAGCCATCAACAGACTGTCTATGATATACCAAGAGGAAAGCCTGTCGTATCGTCTCAAAAGAAAGAAAACACACAGAGTCCTAATTCTGGAGACCACACGTATGTTTTCCCTCTACCACATTACACAGATAGCAAACGAGACCAAGATCGATTGTCTGTTTCCAGTGTGGACAGCAGAACCAGCACCATATCAACATGGTCAAGCTCTTCTACTGAGTCCTGTTCCTCTGCAGCATCCTCATCTGCCCCTTCTTCATCATCAGAAGAACCCGCTAAAGAAGCAACAATGGAACTTGAGTTTGCCATAGAAACACTGACTAAGCTCCAGCATAGCGTGTCCAGTTCAGTTGCAAGTCTCATGATCTTTGTGAGCAGCAGATGGAGGTACCAAGAACACCTGGAGGGAAACCTTGAGGAAATCCACCGGGCGGTTGACCACATAAGGGTCTCGTTGGGAGAATTCTTGGACTTTGCTAGAGCCATTGAAGGAAACTCTGCTCGGTCCTCGGACAGTAAACTTCATGCGAGAATTAAAAAGCAGCTGAATATCCTCACGGACTCATTTCAGATGCTGGTGGAAACGAGAGAGGCCTTGAATAACTGCAAATGGTCGCTCGATGTTCTAGTCATTGAGAAGCCTCAGAACAACCCGGATGATCTGGATCGGTTTGTTATGATTGCTCGCACCATTCCAGATGACATCAAGAGATTTGCATCTATCATCATAGCTAATGGGAAGCTACTTTTCAGAAAGAACTGCAAAGAGAAAGAAGGCAAGGAATGGAGAGTTGGTGCAGAACATGAAATAATTAAGCCCGGAGCTGAACAGCGGGTAGATTCTCTTTTAAGACATATTTTAGATAAGCCAAAAGAAAATAGCCCATGTCTGGAGAAAGCAAAAGCTGCCAACACTGAAGTTTGTGATTATAGTCAGCAACAGGTCAGTAGGGCTTTGATATACATGCACAATATCATGCCTTTCATTCTAGATTAATTAAACTAGAATACCTACCACTCCAATTTTGAACGTACGAACTTTAATTTAAAAATTAATATGCCTTTCAGTCCAAGATTATTGAGGCAGATAACATACAACAAAAGACCATATTGAAAATCACAAAAATAGAATAAACAGAAAGGGTAAAATACTAAGAAATGTAGTGACAATGGAAGCTAGGTCGAACGAAAAATGTCTATGTGTCTTTACCCATAGCTAAGAGGTTGATCATCTTACTTGCATGCAGAAAAATGTCTATGTGTCTTTACCCATAGCTAAGAGGTTGATCATCTTACTTGCATGCAGAAGGTACCAAGTTTGATTCCTAGCATCTCCCGGTAGGGCGAGGAGGGACTCCTGCCTAAAACCCTGGAGAGCTGCTGAAAATCAGTGTAGACAACACTGAGCAAGATGGAACAATGTTCTGACTCATTATAAGTCAGCTTCTGATAATGTTTTTTTAAAACTATTTTTTTATAAAGCTTAGAGCTCAGAGGGCATTTGGACAGGATTTCCAATGATGCATGATCATACAGCATGTAGTCTTTTTCCCATTTAAGGATTATGGCCATCTATGTTAAATATAATACATACATGTGTTTCCCCCCCACCCTTTGCAGAAATCACCAGGACCGGACAAGACACAACCATCTCTTTCATCTAGCAAGGTGGAGAGGAAGAATGTCAAGTTAAAAATAAAGGTAAAGTTATTCTTTGCAGCAAAGATCTAAAATTATTAATCTGGTTCAGATTTTTTTCAGCACTCCCACACCACAATCAGGCTTTAAAAAATGTCTCCTTTTCACTGGAGGTTCCCCACTGTGATATATAATCCTTCAAATCACACCTTTGTTCCATTGAAATTATGAGTGGAACATTTAGTTGATAGATCTGTTAACAGATTAATTTAGTAAAAAACATTTTGACCAACTAAAACAGTTTTCCACAGTTAATCAGGCAGCATATTCCCTGCTCCCAAGTGTATTGTTATTAAAAACCCTGATGTACCAAGAAACATTCCCTCCTGTGTGAAAGAAAGTAGAATGTCTCTTTAAAGATGATGACTGACACATGCAGACATAATCTTAAAACACCATTTTCTCATGTGCAGATTTATGCAGATTTTATTCTCTAATTAATTAATTGACAGGTAACATATGCAATTAATTGAATAACATTCCATAAATTGAGTTACCGCCCTAGTTCAATCCCCGACTTCGCTAGAGGAAAGAATTTGGTAATAGGTGACTTCCGCCTGATTCCTTGGAGAGCTATTGCCAGTCATAGTAGACCAAGCTGGGCTAAATGTCTGATACAGCATAAGGCAGGTTTCTGTGTCCCTAACTGTAGTATTTCTGAGTATTCTGGTATTAGTAAATAACCTTTACTTCTGATGTGATGGAATGCCTTACAAAAAAACTACACTCAGTCTTCCCCAGGTTGATGTGCTCCAATTTGTCTTTGACTACAACTCCCACCATCCCTGACCATTTGCCATGCTCATTGGGACTGATGGGAGTTGGAGACCAACAACATCTGGAAGGTACCAGGCTGGAGAATCATAGAGTTGGAAGTGAACCCAAGGGTCATCTAGTCCAACCCCTGCAATGCAGGAATCTCAGCTAAATCATCCATTACAGATGTCCACCCAACCTCTGTTTAAAAGCCTCCAAGGAAGGAGACCACCACTTCTCATGGGAGTCTGTTCCACTGCTGAACAGCTCTTACTGTCAGATAGCTTTTCCATATGTTTAGTTGGAATCTCCTTTCTTGCAACTTGAAGCCATTGGTTCGAGTCCTACCCTCCAGAGCAGGAGAAAACAAGCGTGCTCCCTCCTTCATGTGACAGCCCTTAAGATATTGGAAGATGGTTTACCATATCTCCTGTCAGTCTCCTCCACCTATGATGAGGCATAATGTTGTGGGCAAGGAGGATTCAACCAAGAAGATGAATGTTGATAGCTCTCAGTAATAGTTCTTGTTTTCGTTTTTCCCTCTCTAGGATTCTCCACCTATGATGAGGCATAATGTTGTGGGCAAGGAGGATTCAACCAAAAAGATGGTCCTCTCTGATCTCTGCAGACTGTATTTTGGTGCTGTCCAGAAGGCCATTGGTGTCTTCCACAAAAGTCTTAGCAACGATCTGGCTCCTGAAGTTTTCATAGCCAACAGCAAAATGATAATTATGGTGGGCCAAAAGTTGGTGGACGCCTTATGTCAGGAAGCCCTTCAGAAGGCCGATCGAAACGAGATATTGCATGGCAGCAGCAACTTTTGTGGTTTGCTTAAGAACTTGGCAGTTGCAACGAAAAATGCTGCAATGCAATATCCAAGCCCCGAGGCAATGAAGGAACTTCAGAATCAAGCTGATGGGCTGTCGAAGTATACACAGCAATTCCGAGCAATGATGGAATGAGGCCATCATTCTTCTGGTGTTCTGAGGATACCCCATACTGACAGGTCTTCAGATTCAGGCATTCGTTCAGAAATCCTGTGCTATCAAGATTCTTGAATGTGGGGAGGATTCGAGCTGCACTCAGTGAAACACTTTTAACAACCCCCCTTCAGAACTTCCCATTTGACACAGGAAGGTTTGGAGTGGAGGAAGTGGGGGGCTGCTACCTGCAGTCCCTTCACAGTGCAGGGTAACAATAGAACAGAAGCTGAATTCCAACAAGGCAGACCCTGTGGGTGAGTAGTTCCAGGAATTAGATGGGCTGCCTATTCTGAATGCATTGCATTCTCCCTGAAAGAACGTGTGTGAAGTTTGAAGGTGCTCCTGGAAACATCAATGTCACTGGAGGCCACCTTTTCTGCTTCCAATGGTACACCGTAACTACAACTAGACTGAAATAAGTTGGTTGCAGTGACCCATGCACTGGTAACCACAAGTTTGGATTAATGTTATGTGCTCTTTGTGGGTCTGTTCTTAGGAAGTTGTAACTGGTGCCGAATGTGGCAGCTATGCTTCTAACCACCTCTCTTGAAGATGCTGCAAGGGATGGCAATGGACTACTGAGCCCAGTTCAAGGTTTTCTTATGGACTTATATGACCCTAAACAACTTGGGACCCAGTTATCTGACAGAGCGCCTCCTTCCATATGATCCTGTCTGTTCATTAAGATCTTCAGGGGAACCCCTCCTAGTGGTGCCATGACCTGCAATGGTCCATCTGGTGACAACCAGGAAGAGGCCATTCTCTACAGTTGTACCAGTGCTATGGAGTAGTCTCTCCTCAGAAATACAGCAGGCACATTCAGCGTTACGTTTCCACCGACAGTTTAAAACATTTTTTATTGATGCAAATATCTGCCAGCCATTAATGCTGGCTTAATTGTCCTCTGCTCATTGTTTTATTGTGTATTTATGCAGTTTGATGTAATTCTACTGTAATTTTATCATTGTACACTGCTTTGATACATATTAAGTGAGAAGTCTTTTAATAAATAAATTTAAATCAATGTGATTGCAAAAACTGAGTTCTGTTTCTAGAAGTAATGGAGAGACTCTTCAAGAAACAAACAGAATGTGTGTCCGTTTTCTCCTTATGCAAGGAGCACAATAGTACTGTAGCTCCCTACCTCACAGGAATGTTGCAACAACAAATATATACTGGTGTGTGTGTGTGTGTGTGTGTGAGAGAGAGAGAGAGTGAGAGAGTGATAATGTGTTGTTGTTGTTATTTTTTTAATAATTTTTATTAACAGGCCAATCACATCACATTAATTCCAAATAACAATAATTCCAAATTACACAGCCAAATTTTTAAAATTTTTGTTGGGGGTACCCATGCTTCAAGCTCCGAAAGGGATCCGATCATCTCTCTTGCTGCTGCTTTAATTACACAGTTCTGTCAAAATAATATTCACAGTTCTGTTCAATCTTCTCTTTGTTGTTTTCCTCATCTTCTTGTTGTTATCTCCTTTCTTTGTGATCTCTGATCATCTCCACAAGCAGGTTGAAGACAAACGTCATTATATCCTGTGTGGATTTTACGCTCATCCAAGAGCCATAAAAGTAGACAGACGCCATTTCAACACCTCCGTACAAAACATTCCGACAGTCTGTCCTGATCTCCCCAGGCCTGCCGCTCCCTCATAAATTTTCTCAGGGGGCCCTGCTAGACCGAACCCACACTCCAACATAGTAACAGCCATAGTCCTCCTCCCCCTGGATTCCTGCGGGCGGGCCTGCCATGATAAATCTCTTTTTATAACTTTGTCACAAAGGACTTACTTTCGTTTCCCAATGCTCCCATAAGCCACGTCCTTGCATAGTAATTAATTTCCACACAGTTCTTATTCCTCCTGTTTGTGATCAGTAATTGCAACGATTCTTTTTTTGGGGGGGATTATTGGGTACTCACATAAGACAAAAAAAAGAAAAGTTTTTCTCCCCCCTCCTTTTCAGTCTCGCTCCGACATACTGATCCTTTGATGAATCTTCTTCTTGATTTATTCTTCTTCTTGATTTATTGTTAAGTCCAGCCCGTCGCTCCTCTTCCCAGAGATCCCTTTAGTTAGCAGTCCTTACTCCCGATCATCGCTTGAAGTATGTGCGTTTGCTTCTGTTCTGATTGTTTATTTTGAGCTCCCGCAACTAGCTGCGTAGATCAGAGACAGCGTCCAGGACAGCTGACCCACACGAGGGCTTTTGTGCCTAGTGCCCTCACCCCCTTTCAAATCTGGGGGTGAATTATGGGCACAGCAGGCAAGGCAGCGTTCCCCATTCCTTTGGGGTAACGAGGGAGGCTGCATACTCCCATAACAGCCTCTTAATTACCTCGTGTGAGCCGGAGAGATGGTATTGTCGGCCATCTTCCGATGCGCCCCCTAGCGGCCCCCCAAGAGAGTGATAATGTTTTGCCTCGGGCTGCCGAGAAGGCCCTTGAACAGCTTAAGAAAGAATCAGGCAACACACTGGAAAGTAAGCTTAAAATATAATTTTCTTACTTATGGCCTTGCATTGGTTTCCAGCAAAGGCAGCAGTAAAACCTAAGAAGGCAAAATACTTAGATTGAAGGAAGGTGAGGACAGGTGACCTCACCTAGGCCCGAAGTCACCCCCCACCAAAGCAGGCTCAAAGCTTCTCAAAGCTTTTCAAAATCATTTTCTCAGCAGCTAAGCATCAGAAACATTCCGCTCTGCTGTAACAAAAGGTAGAGAATAGTCCATTGTTTCTCAGGCCTTTCTCATGCCTTCTGGCCTTGCTAAAGAACCACATTGCAACTTACTTTCTGTCCGGGAACCATGCCAGAACAAGAGATTGAAACATATCTGAACACTCTGAAACCCCTTTCCTGGGAAGGGTGCCAAGAGTCCACAATAGTCCCAAGACAGCTTTCTGTTCATGCTCAGAGGAACTCATGGGCAGGACTCCTGAGGGAGGAGAAAGGAGGAGGGAACTGGAAAGGGGTATATATGCTTGTGCACATGACTGTGAACTTCGTGCATGCTTTTTGTGACTTATCACACTTGCTCCTTCTACCAGTTCATGGATGGTAGAAATAAAAACCCTTTTCTCTGAAACTATTCCTTGAGTGTCTGTTGACTCCCACTTCCCTTTCCCAGGCGCAATATTTTTCCCACCCGAGGGCAAAGCCTCATAAGGCTACAAGATTTTCAGTACAGTGGTACCTCAGGTTAAGCACTTAATTCGTTCTGGAGGTCCATTCTTAACCTGAAACTGTTCTTAACCTGAAGCACCACTTTAGCTAATGGGGCCTTTTGCTGCCGCCGCACCGCCGGAGCACGATTTCTGTTCTCATCCTGAAGCAAAGTTCTTAACCCAAGGTAATATTTCTGGGTTAGTGGAGTCTGTAACCTGAAGCGTATGTAACCTGAAGCGTATGTAACCCGAGGTACCACTGTATAGCCAGCTTCAGACATCTATGTATTTAAAGCTGGAGCAAGCGGAGGCATGCTCCATGGCTGGTCAAAGGAAGAAAGAGAGGAACAAGAAAGACAGGCACTTCGCACAATCGGCTGCATACACATAGGGTGCTGGGAAATTAATAAATAACTAAATAGATTCAAACCAAGAAATGGTGGGAGGGAGCTGGAGAGTCATTGTGGCTCGTAAAGTTACTATCCCCGTAGCCTGAAGAGGACGTCAGTGAAAGGAGAGGAAGCCCCAAGGTGACTGGAAGCGCAGCAGGGCTTTGTTTAGGTAGGGTTGCCATACGTCAGGAATTTCCCGGACATACACGGAATACTGTAGTTGGAAGCAGTGTCCGGGCAGAAATCGGCCAGATGTCTGGGAAAATCCGGATGTATTGCAACCCATGTTGGCAGTGTCGTTTTTACCGATTCTCTGATTCTCCGGTTTTCCTTAAAAGCAGCTCAAAAACGTCATTTTTATTTGGCGATTTCCCCCAAAAAGTCTGTTTGACCTCAGAAACCGGGGGTTTCCCATGCATCTGTGACAGAAGGGGAGATTCAGCGAGAGCCTTTTACACACTTTCCTTGCAGAACTGCTGACCAACAGTTGCATTTTCTTTGGTTGCTGCCGCCACTACCACACTGCCTTGGAAACATGATTGCAAAACAGTATGGAAATATTTACTGGTAATTTATTTCTTTTTTAATTGAGTGGTGTAAGGGTTGGGGGATGTAAGCAGGCATAAAAACTTCAGCCTTTCAGTCCAGTCTTGTTTACTCAGAACGGAGTCCCGTTGATCTTGGGGATCCTTTGCACACAACAGCAGCAGCACTACATCCAGACCCTATGCGCTGCTTCCTCCAAAGTGAATCCCAGTTAGTTTGGTACAATTTCTCAAGGAAGTGTGCCTAGGCTGCAGGTTTACTGCGATGCAAACACGCTTTGGGGCCAGGCCCTTACTTTCAATTTGCAGTGGCCTGGATAAATGTTTGCGGGAATAGCAAGCGAAATCCTCCAAGGAAGCAAAAACTCTTTGACAGAATGTCTGGTTTACACGACGACTATTTTAAACGTGTAATGCATTTTATTGTATTCTGCTTCGCGTATTTTATCTTTTTTTGCAATGGCTTCGGCTGCACCAAATAAAACAACAGCCGCACCGAATCACCGAAAGCATTCCGGGAAGTGTATTGCTGGTTGCCAGGTTGCCCTTAGCAACGCCGGCCACCTACGTCATCTCCCCTCGCCCTCCCCATTTCCCGTTCTGCGCCGGAAATGGACGGCCTTCGTCGGCCGGAAGCTCCTTTGTTTTGGAGGAACCCGGAAGTGCGGCAGCGGAGTAGCTGAGGGAGAGAGATGGGTTGCGACGGGGGGACGATCCCCAAGAGGCACGAGCTGGTGAAAGGGCCCCGCAAGATCGAGAAGGTGAGGCCTTAGCTCTGGTCCTCTGGGGTAGAGGAAGCTGCGAGGAAGGGTGGGCCGGAGGGCGCGCTTAGGCCTTGCGGGGGGGGCAAGGGAAAGATGGTTTTCGGAGACGGCGGGGTAGTCCCAGCCTCAGAAGCTGCCGTGAGGTAGCTAAGCTTTTGGGAAACCTTTGCCACAAAGGAAAAGAGTGGGTGGACAAAGCATAACGCCTTTGGCAGGAGTGCTCCCTCTTTCTGAACGGTTGATAAGGATTGGTGCTTCCCGCCAGACCCCTCCTTGTTTTACCTTTCCGCGACTCTTCTATTGGACATCTCAATAACAGATGTGGTCTGTTCTGGAGGGTCCACACTTCCAGCAGCCCTCCGTTCTATCTTTAAAAAACACAGAAAAAGAAGCTGACACATTCAACATGACTTAACGCAGGGATGTCCAACAGGTTGATCGCGAAGCTAAACAACTGTGCTGAAGCCTCCCCAGAAGAAGCTTAACAACTGTGGGTCTTCCTCCCTCCCAAAAAAGCTCAACAATTTAAATTATTCCCCCACCCCACCCCAAAAAACGCTCAACAACTTTGGTTAATCCAATGGGTAGATCACTGCCAGTGTGTTTATAGTGGGAGTAGATCACAGTCTCTTGGGAGTTGGACATCCCTGACTTTACATATTACTTCACTGCAATGACATGTTAAGTATGGTGTTGCTGATCTTCATGCAGCTGTCAACAAGAAGGATCATACTTGGGTTGTGTGATGTTAACATGCTCATGAACGTGAATCATAGAACATTATCATAGAAGGTAAAATGGGGGCAGAATTGAGTGAAAAGGGCCTTGTCAGCATTTAAGAAATTGGGGACGACGACATTTTTTTATTCTCTACCCCTTTGTCTGGGCGTTGTATTCTCTCGGGGTTGTTTCCTTCCTTGAGGCTGGGCTGTGTGTCATGAGAGCTTTTTGACTGCTCTGCAGAATGCTGGCGAGCAAATGTTTGACACAAAATCTTAAAAGACAATGAAGATTCAGAAATTGTTTTGTCTGAGTAGCAACCTTTGACTAAACAAAGAAAATAATTTGGGGTTATTTTCTTCCATTCCCAGTGGGTTTTCTTTTTCTTTTCTTTCTTAAATGAAATTGCCCCAAAGCATTTCTCTAGTTGCTTATGTTGGGCCAAAACCCCCTAGAAAGCTCTGATCATTTTTGTCGTTGCCAACTCTCTTTCAACACATTTCAAACTGGTGTTTGGGGGAAAGTAGGTTTCACATAGAAGGGGAAAGCATAAACGAAGATGTCTGTAAAGTTTTTTTCTTTAAGAATTTCTTTCACAAAATGTTAATAATTTTATGTATTCCTCAGGTTGACAAAAATGCAGAATTGGTGGCCCAGTGGTACTACTGCACTCTGAGTCAAGAAAAGTTAAGCAGGCCTATAGTCGCTTGTGAACTTGGCAGGTAGGATTACATTTTTAAACTCCTTTTCAGTGAAACAATATTAATTTCTGAATAAATTGCAATCATGAAGTTTAAAGAGTTTTACAGTATATTTTCTGTTACAGACTATATAACAAAGATGCAATCATTGAATTTTTGCTGGATAAATCTTCCGATAAAGTCCTTGTTGAAGCAGCATCTCACATCAAGAGTATTAAGGTGAATTAACATGCTTGTGATCCGTCTGAACGTTTCTAGATACCAGAGCCTACAACTATTAGGCATAATTCAGAGAAAGTTTATTTTGTATAGTTCCTTAATACAAATCCTATTGATTTTATTGAAACATTGAAACTCCTACTTTCTCTAGCAGGCTTCTATTTTTAAAAAAACCATGGGGCAATCTTCATATGCTGCATCTTCTGATGCCTTTTTTGCATGCTGGCTATTGGTCTGCTCTTACTTCTGTCATAGTATTGCTTGCACTCAAAATGACCTTGTCTATCAAGCCAATCCCCTTTTCTTTCTTAAAATTTTATTCAAAACCTTTTGGTTATTGTGAGGCATCCACAAATTTTGCCTGGCCTTGATAAATACTGATCACAGAACCATGCCCCTTCCCATGTTATGGCGCTTGTCCCCAACCTTGCATTATGCTTCTGAAGTGCCCCCTGTGCCTTGCTTGGAGTTCACTGCAAGTTGTACTGTGTTTCAGAGCCCCTCCAAGCAACTCAGAAGCATAGTACTCCTGGGAGAGAAGGAAGACCTCAGGCTCATGATATTCACCATAAGGGGATTGGGAACTCACTGTGACAAATGGAATTGTGAATTCCTAGTTTTTACTGTTGTTTAAGAACAACTCTCAGCCTCATTCTTTCTGCATTACCCCATGACTTGACCTCCTTGTTTTCTCTTGTAGTTCCTTCTTTGCTTTCCCCCCCTCTTACATTAAAATGTATTTGGGCAAAGAGAGAGAGAGAGAGCCCCACTTTTGTGGTGTCTCTGATGCTTAACATAGTTCTATTTAACTGTTAAAAAGTAATAACAGAATAATGGCAATTAAAGCTCAGTATGCAGTGCCTAAGCACCAACATTTTAAAATTGCTTGCTATGTCTTGTTGTCTCTATCAGGTGAGTTGCTATTTTAGAAATTAACTAGGCTTGTAATAGTTGAGTAGATCTGTGGCTAGAAAAGCAATTCATTTCCATTGCTTTTTTCTTTTTTAAGAAACCTTCAGTCAGGAGTAGGAATTTAACCTTGAATGTTTTGCAAATGGTTTTATTAATACAGAATGATAAAGGGAAGAACTTCATTATTTCAGGAGGTCACTTCAACTTGCTTCCATTTAAAAACTTGTGTAAGAGACTTTTATTTCCTTTCAGAACGTCATAGAATTAAATCTCTCAGACAATCCTGCTTGGACTGGTGACAAGGGGAATACAAAAGGGGATAAATATGATGACATCCAGAGTGCACGTTTCATTTGCCCTATAGTTGGGTTGGAAATGAACGGAAGGCATCGGTAAGTATTTTAATATCCTGTGTGGTGGAGAAAAATTACTGTTCTTAGATGGTTAAGCAAGTTTTCAAAGAAACTAAATGCTACTGATTTCAATGGGGCATGCTACTTAGGAAGGTGGGAGTGGAAACACAGAGTCTGCTGCTGTCCTGTGGGGCTCTGAACAGGAGCATGATGTGCAGATATGTCACATGCACCCCAGTATTGTGCATGCTTACTCAGAGGTATCTCTCTCCCTGTGCTCATTAGGAATTACCGTATTTTTCGCTCTATAACACGCACCCGACCATAACATGCACGTAGTTTTTAGAGGAGGAAAATCCGTAGGCATGCCACCCGTAGGCATTCCCTCCATAAAACGCACAAACATTTCCCCTTACTTTCTAGGAGGAAAAAAGTGAGTGTTATGGTGCAAAAAATACGGTACTTCCTAGTGAGTATACTTAAACCTTCAGGATTAATGACCAAAATCTAGACACATTAAATAGTTTGCTATGAGAAAAATGAAACCTTATTTGAGTATCAAGGGACAACCTATTCAGGTCAAGTTGGGAAGCTTCTAAAGGCCTGCATATTGTAAGTTTTATCAGTGTTAATGTCATTGAAGAATATGGAAAGCCTATGAAATTTGAGTATCTGTAAAACTAAATATGTACAGTGGTACCTCGGGTTACATACGCTTCAGGTTACAGACTCCGCTAACCCATAAATAGTACCTCGGGTTAAGAACTTTGCTTCAGGATGAGAACAGAAATTGTGTTCCGGCGGCGCGGCAGCAGCAGGAGGCCTCATTAGCTAAAGTGGTGCTTCAGGTTAAAAACCGTTTCAGGTTAAGAACGGACCTCCAGAAAGAATTAAGTACTTAACCCGAGGTACCAGTGTACTGTGACAGCACATGCTTGGCTTTTATTGCATGCTTACTGAAATGGGATAGTTGTTACTACATTAATGAATGAGGATTTTGCAGAGGTCTTTTCTTAATATGCACTTCCTGTGTTAACCACATGGGGGTGTTTGGGGATACACAGGCTAAATTGTGTGCTGGGGACAAATGGCAGTAACAAATGGATTATTATTATTATTATCACCTTTCTTTTGCATTCTTGTATGACTTGAAAATTTTTGCTTATAAATTCTGGCCTTGATCCAGCTAAATTTAGTTCGGATGTGCAGCTCATCCTATATACGCTCAAAATGTTACGTTCCACTGAGTGTGATAAGACTGAGTGTGCATATGACTGCAACCTGGGTCCCATTAAAACAATTAATACAAGTTAGCCACAATTGTCTTACACCCCATTGCTTACAGCAAATCTATACATGCTTACTCAGAAATTACTCCCAGTTAAGTGTGCATAGGATTGCAGTCTTAGTTAGAGCTGTCTGTAGCTTCATTGTTGCCTGTGTATATTTAACCTCTGAACATCATTTTCTCTCTGCTTCGCCAAAGATTTTGCTTTCTACGCAACTGTGGATGTGTCTTCTCTGAACGCGCTCTCAAAGAAATTAAAACTGAAGTTTGCCACAAGGTAAGCTTTGTCCCTTTCTCTCCTCTCCCCCCACCTTTCTAGTGTATGTTTGTGCTGCATCCCAGCCCAAAATTACTTTGAATTGAGCCAGGGTTGTGGAACAGGATTGTCCAGAGGGCCAGAACTAGAAGTGCCCTGCTCTCTGGGGGCCACTTTGGCAGGTGGGTAGGGAGTGTATCTGATCCCTGCTGAAAGCAATGCAACAGGGTAATGTGTTACATCCAAACAGTGCAGAATACAACCTGCAGCTGCAAAGAAACATTGAATTTAGCACTGTTTGAAACCATAGCTATACCTGTGCTTTACCTGATGTCATATGACATCAGGCAGCTGACAGATGGGTATGATTTTGCCTAAATGACCTGGTAGGCGAATTGAGAAGGCCTGGTGTGCTTAATCAGCCCCACAACCAGATACTCCCCAGTGCTGACTTAAGCAGTGTTATAAACATACATAACTAGAGTCTACTTTGCAGCTCTTGGTTTTCTCTTCCATGCACATGTGCATTCAAAGAGAGGACACAATTTGTTTAACCCAGGGGGACTTTGGGGTCCTCTTTTCAGTAGACTGGTGAAAGTCATTCAAGTGTGTATCCTTTTACTGTGCACCAGACTGACATCTCATTTTTTCCGTCTCCTCAGAGCTAAGAATTGGTCTTTTCTTTTTGTCTCTTAGGATTATGTTTATCATAAGAATTGTGGAGTTAGAAGGGACCCTGAGCCAGTGTGGTGTAGTGGTTAAGAGCGGTAGACTCGTAATCTGGGGAACCGGGTTCGCGTCTCCGCTCCTCCACATGCAGCTGCTGGGTGACCTTGGGCTAGTCACACTTCTTTGAAGTCTCTCAGCCCCACTCACCTTACAGAGTGTTTGTTGTGGGGAGGAAGGGAAAGGAGAATGTTAGCCACTTTGAGACTCTTTCGGGTAGTGATAAAGCAGGATATCAAATCCAAACTCCTCCTCCTCATCATCATCATCTTCTTCTTCTTCTTCTTTATTTGGTCCAACTCCCTCCAATGCAGGAATCTAAATAGGCCATTCTTTAAGAAAGACTATTTGTGAACTTGCTTCCTCCTTCATTCCAAAGGTCCTTGAATTTCCCTAAAGCTAGTTGTTTTGTTGGCTGTTTCCTATGTGGTTTCCATACTACTTACATAGGCTGCTGTTGCCAGTTGAATCCTGTGGCCCTTGGAACCCATCTTGTCCATCTCCTATCACACGTTGCATCTTCTCTCAGTGCATCTTTTCTCTGGCCTAAGATAACATGTGGCCCCCCACTCCCTCCTCTCAGTTATTCCAGGGCCCACACCACTGGCAACCCTAAACTCTTATTGTTCATGGACAGATTACTAATAAGACATGTGCAGTTCTTTACACATCTTTCATGCTCTCCTAAGAAACTTCACCCTCGCTACCCACAGCTTGAGGAACACTGATTTAGTTGATTGCTGTGGAACACTTTTCTCCTTTATTTTCTGCAGGCTTTCCATGTGTTTCCTTTCTCTGCTTTCTCCTTTTCATGTGTGTCCATTTTCCACTATGCCATCTACCGTGGTTTAAGTCAGAATTTAGTTTTATAAACAGATGTACTGCAGTGGTAATACCTGTGATAATGTGAGTTAAAGATTAAAAGTAAACTGAAAGTTGAAGAAGTTGTCGTGAGATTAAGAGTAGTCTTTCAGCAGAGATTGTGGTAGCAAAAATGCACAAATCACTAGTTTCAGGGTAAGATATTCTTCATAAATGCATCTATGATTGATTATATATTTTATAATAGGAATTCAGCTGCAGGCCATTAAGTAAAGAAAAAATCAGAGAGACCCGTATGGTGCTAGGTGCACTGGTGATTTCATTTTATATAAAGCAGCAGTCTCTGACTTAATCACAACTAATGTCGAAATGAGATAAATATGTTTCAAGTTGGAAAGAATTTTCCCCAGGGCAGAAGATTGGCTAGTGGTACTTTGAGAGTTTTGCCCATGCATGTGGTTTGTGGCATGGCTCACTTTCCCAAGGCTATGTACTTTGTGGACACATTTCAATTTTCTCCAGTGGAGAAATGTACCAAGTGCTGGCCAGCTACATAACATGTGTGATGGGCATCATTTTGTAAGTTGACTCTTTTTTATGATGAAAACAGTAAACAGTTTGCAGGTGCTTTCATAGTTTAAATGCCTGTATAAGCTACCGTATTTTTCCGTCTCCTATTTTGGGGGACTCAGATTTAAGAAAATGGGGGGAGATGTATCTGTGTATAAGATGCCTCCTAATTTTTGACATTATTTTTTAGGGGGAAAACCTAGTCTTATACACGGAAAAATACGGTATTTAGCCCCTGGTGGCTGCACTTGGGTACTGCTGTGCTAGGGTGTCCCTAGCTCAGTGGTTCCCAATTAGCTTATTACTGAGTACAGTGGTGCCCCGCAAGACGAATGCCTCGCAAGACGGAAAACCCGCTAGATGAAAGGGTTTTCCGTTTTTGAGTTGCTTCGCAGGACGAATTTCCCTATGGGCTTGCTTCGCAAGACGAAAATGTCTTGCGAGTCTTGAGATTTTTTTTCCGCTCCCCCCCCCTTTTTCTAAGCCGCTAAGCCGCTAATAGCCTTTTAGCAGCTAAGCCGATAAGCCTTTAATAGCCGCTAAACCGCTAATAGCGCTAATCCGCTAAGCCGCTAATAGGGTTGCTTCGCAAGACGAAAAAACCGCTAGACGAAGACACTCGCGGAACGGATTAATTTCGTCTTGCGAGGCACCACTGTACCCGCTGTTTTCCAAAATCCAAGCCCCCTGCTTTTGAAAATTTTGATAACTCTATGGTAGTTACCTGTGCAAAGCAATTTTTTGAATGTGGGGTGGCCCCTAATAAGCAAAGGATTTTAGGTATACTAAAAAACAGACCATAAAATTTGTGATACTATCACAAATTGCCTATTTCCAGACAGTGCCCTAGCACTAAACTAAATCATCAAAGGGTGAGCAGTTGTTCTAATCATAGTGGCAGTTTGCTTAGCTATTTCCTGTTGGACTTCCAGGATGAGACATGAATCCCAAATTCAAAAGCAAGATTCACTGAAAACCCTACTACAAGCAGTGGGAGAGTCCTCTAAACTTTGTAGTCATTGAAAGCAATTAGAAGTTCTTTTCAGTTAAAAAGTAGAGAGCAAGGGGAAGGGATCCCTTACCTTTTTAAAATGATAAACATGTGAACCCTACCTGTGGAGCAAGCCATTTGCTTTCTCTCTCCACCCCCCTCACTGCCCCCTGCCACTCCAGTTGCAACAGCCCTAAAAAACTGTGTCAGAGGTTTTTGCCCAGTCCTAATTCACTTGCAATCCAGCAACTGTTTCACAAGTTTTCCCCGCTGCTAGCAAGCAGGCCCTGGTCACGAGCAGAGGCTGGGTGATCTGTGGATCATCATTGTGGCTTTCACTGGGCAATTAACAAGTTAAGTGAGTCCTTGGCAAATCCCCAGGTGTCCCCAGACCCGTAACTGGGAACCAATTCTCTAGCTTATTTGATCAGTCAGTGAGAAGGTGGGTCTAGGGTGAGGTCTGTTGTGTTTGTTTTATGGCAGTCATAGGTTCAATTTAATGACCTTTTGTTCCTTGCAACTTTGTGATTTTGTAAAATAATGTGAAAAGTCATTGTTATGCATGTCAAAATGAAGCCAGCAGTCCTACCACAGAGAATACTGTGGACTTTGGTATAATGATGCTTTCTTGGCTTTCTACGTTGAAAAGTCAATAGAAACTGATCTATTGATGTATTGATTCCTTTTAGAGCTGGCTGTTCCAGTTGTGCTGGTTCGCTTCCTTGTTCATGGCAGCCAAATAACATTAAAACACGCCTTAGCAAGTTTGCTATGCTATTTTCTGTTGGAGCCCACTTGACTATTAAGCGATATCGAAAAGGAAATATGAGCTGCAATGACTGTTGGAACATCAATAGTTGTATTATATAACAATGGGCATACTGCCCATAACAATAAATCTTTGTGCAGTGATTATCTTATAACTCGTAGAAGTTCGGCTCTCTACTGCGAATCCTGATCAGTGTTTGTTTTAAATGAAAACTGGATTTGCAAGAGTCATATTTAACACAGCTATATATATGAGCCCCATGACTGAGGATAAAAGAATGTAAATTGTGCCTGAAAAAGTTTCCAAAAATGGCAAATGTGTGTGTTTAATGTCTTCACCCTGCAAATCTTTCAAGTCCAGCCTTTCAAACCTACCTGCCCATTGCTACCCAGCACTAGATAAAGATCTCTCAGTGGCTTTTCTCTGGAGCCCACCCTCCTCAGGCTAGGTGGACAACTAACAGCCTTTGTGGCCAAAATGTGAGGCTTTCTTCCAAGACGTGTTCGCTTGGTGTCATGGTTAGTACCTTTTAGGCACCAGGCAAATGCTATCTTTTCCCTTTGAGCTTTTAATGGCACTTAATTACTTTGTTCCCCCTCTTGAGCATAGTTTTTTATCACTTGTTTTACTGTTGGCCTCCTTTTTCTGCTGTTTTCTGCTGCATTTTTATTGTTTCATGGATAATGGTTTTATTGTGCCATATTATTGTTCATAGCCACTGATAAGATGAGATATAAATTCTGAAAACAAGCCTTTCATTCTTCATCCTCTGCAAATAAGTCCAATGTCTACAAGTCACATCTGGTCCTTACCCATTTTGGAATTCAGGGGAAATTCAGATTAACTAGATTTGTTCACATCCTATATACCAGGGGTCAGCAAACTTTTACAGCAGGGGACCAGTCCACTGTCCCTCAGACCTTCTGGGGGGACGGACTATATTTTTGTGGGGGGCTGGGGGCTTATGCCCCACAAATAACCCAGATATGCATTTTAAATAAAAGGGCACATTCTACTCATGTAAAAACACGCTGATTCCCGGATTGTCCACGGGCCGGATTTAGAAGGCGATTGGGCCGGATCCCCCGGGCCTTTGTTTGCCTACCCATGCTATATACTAATAGTTAACTCTTTCTTAAAGTGCTGATCTTTATGTAACCCAAATGGCACCATTTATGTCCAAGAGGTTCAGCAGGTTCAGGAGGATCCCAAGGTTTGCAGAAGTACAAAATAGTGTTGGTGTAGAAAGACCCCTAAGCTGAGGAAACACATCCCTGTTAGAACTGAGCATACTCAGTAGTCATGGAATACTGACTTCTTATTGGGGGAATGGAAAATATGGGTGAATGGAATGGAATGAAGTATCTCAAAAGAAGGCATGGCTGGCTGGTGCACTACACCAGGGGTTGTCAACCTCGCCCCTACTGCCCACTAGTGGGCATTTCAGGAATCTAGGCGGGTGGTAGGGGGTTCTACGGCACAATCTGAATCCTCCTTCCATCGAGCACTGGTGGGCGGTGAAGAAATTTTACCATCAAGAAAGATGCATTAGTGGGTGGTAGGTATAAGAAGGTTGACTACCCTTACACTACACCATTTTAATGCAGATCCCACTTGTGTGTTTTATGGTTTTGTTTGCAGGATAGAAACTAGGTGTGCACATATGTGGGGTTAAAGATGCCAAAGATTTCTTCTCACCTTTCCCCTGCGCATTAAACCCTGATAGCCATATTTTCAAATGAGCAAGGACTGTGGGGTCAACAAAGTTAGCTTTGCCCAATGTCTCATGCACATGAGCTGTGACCCATACAAAGAGTTTTAAATTGACTCTCTTCCAGTGTGACCAGCAGCAACAACAAAACCATCTGGAAACATTAGTACTTCCTTTTATCTTAGGTTATGCGTATGGGAGAGAGTAGTTGCGCTAAGTAGTAAGGGAAGGTCTGCCAAAGCTTCTTAGTCTCAGTCTGTGATGGAATCAGTCTCTCTTATCAGACACCAGTGTGCATTTACATGTGTGTGCGTATAGCCATTCTTATCTTGATGTCAGTTCATCTGAAGACTACACCTTTTCCTGGAAAGTCAAGGTCTGGTGCCCTACATCCAAGGGCCAGATGTGTTGATTCATCTCCTCTTCAAGATCTTATCAAATGTAGCACAATCAAAATGGTTCTTGGATTTTCTGGTAAATTTTTGGGTGTGGGAAGGTTCCTCCCAAAATTCCTTAATGCACATGACACAAAGTCCCAGTGTGAGTTTGAAAACATTTTCCTGCTGACTCTGTTTACAGTGCCTCCTATGGTGGCTCACAAAAATCATAAAAACAATATCTCAGGATCATAGAATTGTAGAGTTGGAAGGGACCCCAAGAGTCATCTAGTCCAACCGCCTGCAATGCAGGAATCTCAACTAGATCAGACATGACAGGTGGCCATCAGTTACAATAGAGCACAATCTTAAATTTTATTTATTAAATTTGCAAGATTAGTATCTCACCAGTCAAAATGGTCCACCTCTTGCCTACTTCCCCAAAGTTGTTACAAGCATAACATGAGGAGGAGGGAAAACCTAAACATCTTGAGCTACTTGTAAGAAATGTGGGATATAAAATGGACCAGATATATGTAAGTTCTCTCTGAATCGGGATTTTCAGAGCTACATAGGTTATGTACCTACATAAGTTATGTTAACGCACCGGTGTTCAAGAATTCTTAAAACTGACAAGTTTTTTTTTAGAACTGTCTGGTTTGCACCTCACTTTAAACCAGTTAGGTTTAAGCTTAACTATGACCAAGCAGTGTGCTGGTGCATCACTCCTGTGCTAGGCCAAATGGTTGCTTAGTTCCCAGCAGCACAGTTGGAGGAGAAGCAAAGCAGCTACAATTTTAGCACCACTCATACACCAGCATCCTGCATGTTCACCTTTCAACCATGGTGCAAACCACCCAAGGTTGAGCAGTTGGTTGGTCACTGAGGGTGCTCTGTGGAACTTGAATTTTATGTAGACTTGGGCTGATTCATTGGCAGTTGACTACGTTCCTCTCCCAGCACTGGCAAGTGAAGGCTTTTAAAATTGAGGTGTTAACTGAGGCTTGTTACTGCTCATGAGGGGACTGTTGTTGCAGCAGTCTTTCCTACAGCTTGGTAAAGGAGAGTGGCATTATTCCCACTTTGCAGATGAATGTGGGCTGGGGATGGAAAGAGTATAGCAAGGAGGCTGAGAAAATAGAATTTCCTCAAGGCCGCCTGATAGACTGAGGTCTCCTGCTAGATAATGATTATCTCCTAGTTCCTTTTGTAACTTACTGTACCTCCATAAAGCCAGGAGGAGATAAGGCAAAAGAACAAATAGCATTAAGGAGGTCACAATATAACCTTCAAATGATATGGGAATGATAAGCCCTTTTGTGCTGAGTAATAGCATGGTAGTATCAACTCAACCTCAGGGATCTAGATTTCTGAAGGTCTACTTCAGGCCATTTTCTTTCTGATCAGTGGAGAACAGCCTTTACCAAAGGTGTCATGGGCTTTGAAGACACTCAAACTCAGGATGCAAGGGGGAAACGTGCTAAGAGGAAGGCAAGCTTGGCAAATCCACACTGTGATCAACTCCAGCCCAGAAACCAATGTCCCCACTGAGGAAGGACGTGTGGTTCCAGAATTGGCCTCCACAGTCACTTATGTACTCATTGTTAAAACTGTGTTTATGGAAAACAATCTTACTTGGCTACGAGTGATCGCCAAAGAAGAAAGAAGCCCTCATGCAGTCAAGCTCTCATAGACTTCTGTGCCAAAAAGTTTCCAAGGGTATACTTCCAGGCCCGTCTATGACCCTGCTGAGCTGAGAAGGTTGAATTGAAGCCAGTATAACCTCACGGAAGTTAGCAGCAGCATATAATTGGCTTTAGGTTGGTTTGTTTTTTATTTTAAGAAACTCTTAAAAACTCAGCTTTTCTTTCCGACTTACAGCAGCTTACAGTAAGCAGTGAATCATGATGTAAAGTAGGGAATTCCAGTGTAATCTAATACTTTGGCATGCTTCATATCTTCCTGCTTTGCTCAGTGCCTCTAAACTTTTTCCAGGCAGGCCAGTGAGGCAGGTTGAGGCAGCTGTCCTGTCCACTGGAGCCTTTTTGTGATGCTGTGCTTAGTCCTACCTGTCGAAAAGCTTGCTAAAACTGGCCAAAATGAAGTATCTGAACCACCGCTGTCCCAGGTGGACTGGCATAGCCGCCTCTCTCTCCCCTTGTGTCGGCAGATGGTTATTCTAGACAAACATTCTAGACAAACTGGAGGTCAGGAGGTTACATAGAGTAGTTGCTCTGTAGGATTCCCTACCACCACCAAAACTGATTAGAATAGTTCCTACAGCTCCGGCCACAGGATAGACTGTGACAGACTTACAGATCCCTATTGAGCATTGGGACTAGCAGGTATTGCTGTTGCCTGCACACAACTGGATTTCATGGTCCAGACCTGCTGGGAAATGGGAAATGCAATGGGAAGGCATCAACATGGTCCTGAGGGATACAGGAGTGTTGTCGATCAGGCTTAAGAGTAATTGTCCCATATTTAGGTTCAAATGGTAAGGTTTAATGCGATGGTGGGTTTGTCTGTCTGTATTACTGTCCAACAGTTATGGCCTTTAAAACCAGTACATTTTTAATCCAGTGTTTGCTAATAATCTATCCTGCCCTGTGCAGCCATGTTTTGTATATAATAGCATCCTTCACGTTGTTTCTGACATTTCATTGCAATGATAGTGTTGGTTTCTCATAAGTGTATAATCAAGGAGGTGGTGTGCACGTGTTTGCTCCTTGGAAATAGACATGATTAGAATGAATTTTTGCTTAAATGTAGAGGCTGAAATTTTGAAAGCAATCCAAGAAGCCTAGTCATGTAATAGTTGGATGAATGAGTCTCCTCAATTTCATCTGCCAATCTTCTCTGAAAACACTGAAATAAAAGAACAATTAAGGAATGTTGTAGAAAGTTAATTGCTAATCCACAAACTGCTTAACTTTCAGTAGTCACATCTACAGCAGAGATAATAATCCAAAATGATTGCCTGTCAATTGTGTTTAGGGCTGCACCATGAATCAAAACAAGTACAAAATTTGTACTTAAATTCTATATCCCAGTGATACCTGTTTGAAGCAACTGAAAACCAGTTCTTATTTTCAAATAAATACAGTACCTTTGTTTTCAAGGCTTTAATATTTGTAGTTCCCGCACCCCTGATTGGCCTTAAAGAACAACCTGCACATTTAGTCCAAAAGAATGTGGACAGCAGTATCATATTCAGACAACAATACACCAAAGTATCTGAAATTCCTTCTCGGTTTCTTCTGCTCTATTGTTAAAACTGAAAACAGACCACAGATTACCCACAGAAGCAAGATGAGGTATAACAAATGAGGCCAAAGGGAGTTGGTTGCTAAGTTTCCGGTAGTTAATGTTTTGTTTTTTATTTAAAGCAGCAATTAGCATTGTTCCCCTGGTGTTCCTCCTCCTTTAAGTATATGCTGAGAGGTGATCTAGACCCAATACAGACAAGAAATAATAATAATACATATAGTATTCTACATTTCTTTGATATGGCATATGTAATTTATGTGCAGCAACCCTTTGCTCAACCCTCAACATTCTAGCTACAAATGGGCTTTTTTTGACAGCTAAGTGTGGGTGTTGTGACTGTGGATCATAAGCTCCACCACAGACTTCATTACTTAATACAACAGAGGATAATTGAGTGTTCTTGTTTTATTCATTGCCTCCTTTGCACACACCAGGATTTAGATTAAAGTTCATTGTTGTGATCACTCAGCACTCCATTCCTCACTTAGATTAAGTCACTTGACCCAGCTTGTGCCGTTTCAGTACTTCATTTCCCGTGACTTTTCCTTTATAGAATCTCCATCACCTAGATGGTAGGGACTATCCAAAAGTTGCTACAACTCCCAACAGCATTAGCAAGTATGGATGGGAGTTGTAGTTTAGTAATACCTGGAGGACGAAAGTCTTCCCACGCCTGATCTACAGCATTGGCTTAAAAAGTTGGTGGTATTTTTGAAGCTGTCTAAACCTGTATTCTAAAGGTTAGTCAGAATATTAGGTCTATAACCCAGGGAGTTTCACACCATTTCCCAAGAAATCCTGGGGTTTCTCAGAATCTTAACAAGAATTAAGAGTGGAAAGAGGTTTTTCCACATGACAGCTTGCTCGCTGCTATCAGTCATACCTTAAAATGTGCAGCCTTAGGGCATGCCCTGTTTATGTGAAGTGACGATGCGATCCAACAAGTCTTGCTACTGCCCTGTGAATGGAGTGTGTATCACTGAACACTTCCCAGAATGTTCTGCAACACACAAGGCTTCTTTGGCAGGAAACTCTTAGCAACACTGTAATAGGCAATCATAGCCCCACAATGTAGATCTTAATGAACAATCTTCATTCAAGTTGTAGTTGTTTTTTAAAAAATATTTTTTTATTAAGTTTTACACAAATATCTCCAATCAAACAATTTCCCAAATAACATATTTTCATCTTTTGGACTTCCCTCAGCTTCTCTGACAATCATCCGTGTTTAAATTTTTATCTACGCATTCCTCAAATTTAGTATCGCCTTTTAGGGTACCTTTATAAACATATTTGCACTCTTGCAATATTCCTTATTTTTTCACAAAGCTTCTTTAAAACCCACTAGCGTTGGTTGCTCATCACATACACTCTTCAAATACTCTGAAAATTTTTCCCAGTCCTCAATGAACTTGTGATCTCGTTGATATCTAATTTTCCCGGTTAACTTGTCCAGTTCTGCATAGTCCGTTAACTTCATTCTCCATTCCTCCAGAGTCAGTAGTTCTTCCTGCTTCCATTTTTGGGCCATTAATATTGTCGCTGCTGTTATTGCATACTGAAAAAGTTTACAGTCCTTTTTATTTATTTCATTTCTTGTTATTCCTAGAAGGAAGGTTTCTGGTTTCTTTACAAAAGTATATTTCAACATCTTCTTTAACTCATTATATATCATCTCCCAGAACCCCTTCACTTTCTTACTCAAGTTGTAGTTTTATCCATTTTTAAAAACAGGTATTTTCTCCCAAAGCAGCTCATATTGAGAGAGAGAAACAAGGTCCTGCCACCAGATGTATAAACTAAAAAGGCAAAGCATGCTAGGGAAAGTGAGTGGAGATAAAAGGTAGAGGAGGCAGAATAGTTCTTCGGGGCCAGAACAAAGTGGTGAGCATTTTTATCCAGTTTGGGCCAGGGTGACCTTCCCCTTGAAAAACAAATTGATGTTTCTTTTTTCATTAGTTGATAGAAAGGTGCCAGAATGTCCTTCCCATTTTGTTTCTTCATTCCTAGGCAACTGGCAGTTCATGCCAAATGTTATTTCAGACAAGGAACGGGGGTGGGGGTGGGGGACGACAGCTCCTCCTTTGATTTGTGAATGGGACCATGTTGGTCTCCCGTTTGCCAAGATGCTATTTCTAGGAGGCAAGGTGCACAACCTCCCAGTGGTCCTGAATTTCCTGGTTGATGACAGGGGTTAAAGTATGCTGTGGATACAGTGTAAATATAGGAGTGGTGGACAGCCCAAAGAGCGCTGCATAAGCAACATATAGCATATTTCAGCATTTAGAGAAATGTAAGTCATTCATACTATGAAGAGACAAATTATAATTTTTTTTAAAGTTCTCTGAAAATTTAGAAATCAGAAGAAATCTGAGAAGGGATCTAATATTCACCTTCACCCTGCAGAGCTTTTGTTTTGCAATTGTTTTTCTCTGGAGTGCCTGTTCTCTTCATAGAAATAATCATAGAATCATAAAGCTGGAAGGGACCACAAGGGTCATCTAGTCCAACCCCCTGCAATGCAAGAATCCTTTGCCCAACATAGGGCTTGAACCCATGACATTGAGATGAAGACTCATGCTTTACTGATTGAGCTATGCTCCCCATGTAGACTGGATTGTGTAAACAAAGTAGTCTGTGACAGAGCCCTGAACGATAAATGGTCCTGCCTCAGTGGGTTTTGTGTAGGTGTATTATTGGATGGCTTTTTGATCCCATCCAATTCCAATTATAATTTGAAATCCTAAATCTGAATGTAGTGCTGTCTGCATTCCATGATTCTATCCAAGTGTAGAATCTGAGCAGGGCGTGATGTGAAAATTGGCATCCTGAGAATCTCCACTTTTTTTTTTTTAAAGTAAATTTCTATCTTTATGGCTAAGAAGACTAACTTCAAAAGTGGGTGGGGGGTGAAACTTCAGCTGTCAGAGGTAGAGCAGATGATTTCAAATGATTGGGATAGTGTGTGGGTTGGTGAGAATCTGCTATAGTTAAGATCATGACCTTTTCTTGATTAGCTTAAGCAAAAAAACAGAACAAAAAGAAATTGGCGTTTATTTTTTGGGATGGGAACAATCTACCACAACATATGTTTTTTCGCTTAAAAATAATGTTTATATATCTACAGAGTTTTGTGGATTTAATGGATAGATTAATTTATTAAGACTGACATGATCAATTAATTTTAATTGGGTGCCATTCTTGCCAACAATCCTATGCATGCTTAATAACTGCCTTGGAAGATAAGTCTTTTGCTAGGCAGCCAGTTCACTCAATCATGAGCTTTTGTCTTGGTTGGCTATTACATTCTTAAACAACCTTAACTTCGCTATCCAAGAAGTGGTTAGTATATATTATTATCTGCCCATAGTGAAACAAGCTTCTTCCTTAGAAATTCTGTTTATTCTGAGTTTCTTATTAAGCACTGTAAAAAAATGTAGTAAGGCCCAGGCTAATAAACAAGCAATCTTAACAGCATTACAGCTGGGATTGTTGACATGTGAAAAATTTCAGGCATGGTGTATGATGTATCAGCTTTATAATGTACAATGGCAGATCCAGCTTATGGGAGCAGTGAGTGTGCAGTCCCATGGAAATTATAAAGTCATGGAAAGTGCATAATGCAGAAAAAAAGTCCCTTGAGGTGAATGTTCCCAGGATAGCCTGAAGGGATTCTGTGCCTATAGCTGCTTGTTGTGCAGAGTAATAAGCATTTTTCAAAATGTCACTAAGTCTACAGTGCTGTGAGAAGTGGTGGATGACATAAAGATTTCTGTGAAGGCAAAAATGTGTCCTGTCTTGAATAAGAGAAGGAAGGTCCATGTTACTTAACTTTTATTTGTTCAGATAGCTGTTCTGCACCCGTTGTCCTCTTGCTGAGAAATAAACTGAAAGAATTTAAGCATTATTTCAGGAGCAGGATAATAGTTCATGGATTGAATTTGATGGCTTTCTTTTTAACCACAAACAGAATCCCTACATAGTCTCTGGCTGTAGTGAGTTCCAAAATACAGCTCTCCATCTGGGTGTACAAAGATGGGGAACAGTCTGAAGACACATGAGAATACCACTTCACTGGAGCAAGCAGCTCTGGGTCTAGCCAGTGCCTGTCTAGCCAGCTGCCTGAGAACCATGTGTACACTACATTAGGTTCCATGATGTTAAAATATAAATAATAAAGAGCATTGCCACAAAATTCTTGTCCAGGCAGCAATCTGATCATATACATACTTATGTGGAGGTAAGTTCTGGGTTCTTTAGAACTCTCACAGAAGTGTGCAGAAGCCTGGAGCTGTGGCAACCAGGAAGTTGCATTATTTTAGAAATATGTGTAGGTATAGATGAGGGGTGGCCAATGTTTTGGGCTCCAGATGTTGTGGACTTCAATTAGCCCTAGCTAGCTGGACCAGTGGTCAGGAATGACGAGAGTTGTAGTATAACAGATCTGGAGGACAACCTAGTTGACTACCTCTGAGATGAATAGCTATGGGAATTTTGTGTGAAGATGTGTAGTGTGCCCAAAAGATACTATATCAAGGACACCTGATATTCTTTTCCTTCCTCCCTTCTCTCTTTTTCCTGATCTGTTGCTCATTTGTTTTAGACAACTGTAAATGCAGATTTCAAAGAACCAAGGTAATTTAATTTGGAGAATTTTTTTTACAAAAGAAGGTTGAAATTGCAAGGACAGTGTTGAAGAACAAAGGGGAGATTGTGGTATTAAGCAGGGATGAATAAGACAGTGGTGGGATAAACCATTTCAAACAGATTCTTCCTTGCTGCCATGGTTTCAGAAGCCTTATTCTCCTTTCTAGTCTCCTGTTTGTATGGTAGAATTGTATTTTAAAAATGCTTGTGTATGAGATAGTTGTGAATGGTATGATGGGGAAGAGCGATAGCTTAATGGTTGAAGCAGATGTTTTGTATGCAGAGAGTCTTGTGCTCTATCCTCAACATGTCTAGCTTAAAAGGATATCTGGCAGCAAGACTGAAAAAAACAAAGAGCCACTAATAGTCAGCATAGATAATACTGGGTTACATGGATGACTAGTCTGTTGGTATAAAGTAGCTCTCAGAAATATTGTGGAAAAGATTACCTTTCCCACAAAGGATGAATAGTTTCAGCAGCTAAATGTTAGTATCAACATTCTTTCTTTATATTCATTTTCTCTCCCTCCCTCCCCCCCCCTCGGCTTTTGCATGAGGAACACCCTGCTCTGCTATTGTGCAGTCCCTGGGCTCCATGCATCATCCTTAATGGCATGCTGGTGTTCATAACTACAACCTCATAAGATTAAGATTCCCCAGCTAGCTGTTGCTGTGCCTCTTGAACCCAATCATTCCCAATGTTAGGACCATAGCTCTGGGGTCCATGTCACATTGGATGCTGGGTGTTCTTGCATTCTTACTGGAGCTGCAAGGCCTATTTTCCAGCCCCTAAAAATTGCCTGCAGCCATCACCTGTATTAAGCCTGCTTTACCAGAACTGCCTGTCGGAATGCTTTTTTCCTCCATCACCTTCAGGCAGCTGGGTCGCGTTCTTGATGTGGTTGAACAACATTTTATCACGTATGAGATCTTTGCAAGTACCACCTCAGCCTCAATGACTGCTCCAGTTCTTGTACATTGTAATTATTTATATTTTGAAGGTTTGCACCCATCTTCTGATGGATTGGTCCTCGATATGGTATGCAACAGAACACAGTAACAGAGTGAACCCCCCCCCCCCACATACAACCCATACTCCTTAGCCTTTTCTTCTCCCAAAGATGTCCCACAAGGCAGCAGATGTTTAGGATCAGAGTTCTCCTTCTCCTAGATGGGCTACCATCCCAGGTTGATGAGCCCCATCTATCATCTACTTCCATCTACAGCACGTGCAAAAACCGCCTTCTTGATCGTTGAATCCACTACTAGTCTTATCTGCTCAATTTGCCAGAGCCTGTCTCTGCACACAGGGCAAGCCTCTAACTCACCACTGAGGGTCTGAGGCTCATCAGCTACCCTCAGCTGGTTTAGCCAGCCAGTTAAAGCCGTTTCCAGGGTGTGGCCACTGTCACATGCTGATAGCTTCTAGGAGCCACAGGTGAGAGCTGAGTGCATGGTGGGGACCAAAGGTGGACAAGATACCCCAGAAAGAGCACAGCATGTCCCCCAGCAGAGGTAGTACCCCTCCCCTATCACCCCATACACTCAGCCTTATAGTGAACCTTGTTGATGATTGAACCTGGAACTTTCTCCATGTAAAGTAGGTGCTCTCCCACCAAGCTGAGCTATAGCCATTACAACTCATTGGCAGTGCCTGTCCAAAACCCAAATCAATGTGTTCCTATTGATACATCAAAATAATTTGAGAAGCAGAAGTTTATTAAATTGGTTCGTTGTAACTACATATTCTGTTGCTTATTTGCACCACTACCTCACTGTGATTTACCAAACATGAATGTTGTTGCTAGGCTGCAAGCTGAGGGCAAGGGCTGGGGCAGACTTTGGATTCATTTTGTAAATGCATTTTCACAAAAACAACTGAAGCATGAGTAGCATTGATGCGTATCAGTAGAAGGAAGGAAGCTCTGGATGAGGACAGCGCTTGTCCTATCTAATCTAATTATTGTACTTTGCTCAGAAGCTGTACCAGTTGCTAGGCTCTCTGAAGGGATGTAGTGACTCACCCTCTTAACAATTTTCCATTTCCCCCTCCCCCCAGTTTGCTGAATACACACACACACACACACACACACACACACACACAGACACAGCCTTTATCTCACTGTAACTAGGCTATGGTTGAAACATCTCCCTCCATTAGTATTTTGAAAGAGAGAGAAGAACCAACTGTTTTTTCAACTTGCAAACACTTTCTTTGCGATGTGGGATGGAACCACTTCGTAGCAATTCCCATATTGGCCTGGTCTGCATGTCACAATGAACCATAGTTAAAATAAACTATGATTTAATGTGATGGTTTAATGTGATGTGTGCACCAGGCTGTTGTGAATATAAAGTCAAAACAAGCCATTTCTTGCCAGTGGTCACCAGCCAAGTAACTTGTTTATGAACCTGAGTAAAATGCTAGTGTATTGAGGAAGCGCAACACACTTAACTATTTCAAGGCAGGAAAACAAAACATGTCTGATGGAACCATATGTAGTTTGCTTCTGTACTATTTCCAGTGTCTCCCTTAGTTTCAGCCTAAAGATCAATGCGTTACAAAATGATATGTACATTGGAAACAAATGAAGACCCAGTTAAGGCTTCTGCAGAGCAGAGTTCACCTGTGAGCATCTTTAGATTTATTGTTGCTGATGTAGTAGTTAGATTGTTGAACCTGGGAGGCCACTGGGTAGCTTTGAGCCAGTCACTGCCTTTCAGCCTAACCTACGCCCAGAGTGGTGGTGTGGGGATCAAATGAAGAGTGGGACAACCATGTTTGCCACCTTGAGCTCCTTGGTGAAAAAGGTGGAATAGAAATACTATTAATAAATGTACTTAGTTGCAGGTACAACTAATGAAATGAAATCACAAAGACTTATGCAGGAGGTTTGAATGTAATATTAGCATTTTGTTTTGAAAAGAAGATTCATTTCATCTTATCATAATGCACACTTTTGCACAGGTTTCTCTCTGTTTATTATTTATTTACAGTATTTATAGCCTGCTCTTCATTGAGTGTTTTGAATCCCAGAGTAGGGAACAGAATAATAAAAATAATACACACAAAAATTACAAAATCATATAAAAAAGTCCAATAAACAAGTTAACAATTCTGTCACAAAGTAGACAAGCAGCAAAACAACGGCAAAAATTAAAATGTCACATTTAACCAAATGCCTAAGTAAAAACAAAAACAAATACAAGACGTTCAGACAAGAAATTTTTCCTCATTTGAGATGGTGCAATATTTGAATCTCTATACAGATATACTGAACTTGGTGATAACAGCTATTACATATGACTTTAAAAAGAAATTGTGCAAAGTCTTTTGTTATAAATGGAATTAATTTGTTGGCTGCCATGCATCATGCTGTTTCCTTTCACATAATCATATTGCTGTAACAGGCAGCTAGGATAATTAAGTGAACATTACAACCCTAGTAAACAGCAATGGATATGATAAGTTGCTTGCATTCTGTATAGTAGTCCATCTTGAATCGATAAGGTGCATACAGTAAAGCTGATCACACGTTTATGACATCAACTATTTTAAATCTCATTAAAGATTTGTTCTTTTAAAAAAATATTCACAACACTAGCAGTGCTATCCAATACATGCCTACTTGGAAGTAATTAAGTTCAATGTTTTGTTCAAGTATATTCTCTTCTTAACAGAGCAGTTGGCCCAGGCTAAATGTAGTCTGTTCTGATTTTTTAAATCAGTTCTTAAATCAAACTTTTGTGAATGGGAGGTTTTGATTCATACACTTGCATGCCACTGGGATCCACATTTGTTTCTCTTGATTTAGATAACAATTTACAGAATTTTTGAATTTTAACGAGGGCCGTAATAGCCATGGGTCACATGATCTCCTTGGAAGCCGTTGTGAGTGCTGCTGTTTCTTGTGGCTGGGATGAGAATCTTTGCTTTCATGTTATGTTTCTTTAGCTGTCTCAGTTGCCTTCATGAAGGCAATATGCTCAAAAGGCTCAGTAATTGGAAGGTGAAGGTGTTTATTCCTTGCTGCATTTCTTATTTTATTCTGTAACTGGGTTTCACAGTCCCTATAGCACCAACAAAAAGTGGCAAAAGGTAATTGGTAATTGCTCATTGCTAAAGGTAATTGGTAATTGCTAATGGTGCTGAATATCATATGTATGTACAGTACAATATCTGGTTCACTGATGTGCATCTTAGTTGCACTGGGTTTCTGGTGCTTGGTTCCTTTGGAAGGGATGTCTCCATACATGGGTTTCCACCATCAAAAAGCTCTTGGTAGGGGGATCCTTCATAGCACTCTTTTGCCTTCTTCCACATAAGTTAGTGGCTCCCACTGATAAAGTTTGGGGGCTACCGTTGAGGAAAACATAAAGGTGAAATGGGCTCCCTTTCTCCTGACATTGGACAGGTCCCACTCAATTTTCCACCTATGCCTGTAACCTCTCTCCACTCACTACTTGGTTATTTCACTCACTACTTCTCAGTTGCAGCTCCTTTGTTGTTTCCTACAGAAGAGGCATTCATTTTTATAAGGGGGTGGAATCATGAAAAGCTGGGATCCTACCCCAGATTACCATTAAACGGCCTCGGTCCAGTATACCTGAAGGAGCGTCTCCACCCCCATCGTTCTGCCTGGACACTGAGGTCCAGCGCCGAGGGCCTTCTGGTGGTTCCCTCACTGTGAGAAGCCAAGTTACAGGGAACCAGGCAGAGGGCCTTCTCGGTAGTGGCACCCGCCCTGTGGAATGCCCTCCCACCAGATGTCAAGAGGAGAACAACTACCAGACTTTTAGAAGACATCTGAAGGCAGCCCTGTTTAGGGAAGCTTTTAATGTTTAACAGACCACTATATTTGGAAGCCACCCAGATTGGCTGGGGAAACCCAGCCAGATGGGCGGGGTATAAATATTATTATTATTATTATTATTATTACACATCCAGTCACTAAATCCAGAAAATAAATACAGCCCATCACACTGATGGACACTTTGCTAGTGTCCTAACTAGTGTTTCAGTGGCTTTCCTTTGATTTTTCTCTGTTCTCGACCTTGATTCTAAAACTTAGCATTGTGGAGCTGTTCGACAGTGGAACAGACTCCCACAAGAGGTGTTGGACTCTCCTTCCTTGGAGCTTTTTAAGCAGGTTGGGTGGTCATCTGTCATGTTGAGATTCCTGCATTGCAGGGGGTTGGGCTAGATGACTCATGGGGTCCCTTTCAACTCTACAGTTCTATGATCTATCATCCAGTGCTGGCTCCCACAAGAAAGCCAGCATTATGGTCCCTTGCTTGAACACCCTTTTGAAAAGAGAAACATAACTGAAGCATTACGGTGGTTTGTTTAAAAAGCTAATTTCAAATTACTGATGTGCGTGAGAAAAATCCCCACCTGTAGTCACAGCTTTCTGCCAGTTTCTATACAGTGGTGCCCCGCAAGACGAATGCCTCGCAAGACGGAAAAACCGCTAGACGAAAGGGTTTTCCGTTTTGAAGTTGCTTCGCAGGACGAATTCCCCTATGGGCTTGCTTCGCAAGACGAAAATACCTTGCGAGTCTTGAGATTTTTTTTCGCTTTCCCCCCCCTTTATCTAATCTGCTAAGCCTTTAATAGCCTTTAATAGCCTTTTAGCAGCTAATCCCCTAAGCCTTTAAGCCTTTAATAGCCGCTAAACCGCTAATAGCGCTAATAGCGCTAATCCGTCAATGGGCTTGCTTCGCAAGACGAAAAAACCGCTAGACGAAGACTCTCGCGGAACGGATTAATTTCGTCTTGCGAGGCACCACTGTAGTTTAAATCTAGTCAAAATATCAATTCCACCCCCCACCTTGAAGTAAGTGTGGTATGTCAGTGATTCTCTACAAGACATGAAGCATATAAGATTCATATCCTGATGTGTGTGGGGGTTTTTTAATGTTATCTTTAAAAAAAATAATACTTGAGAGAGCAAGGGACATGGGGGTTAGTTTCCCAAATAAATAGCGGAGCAGATGACTGGTCCTGAGGTTAAAAGTTATTTAAAATAAACTCCACTGCCAAAGAAAATTCTTGTGGTTGTGGGAAAATGTTTAATGGCTTGTTCTGATGACTTTCTGCTTAAGCTGCAGGTCAAAGCAGAGAAGGCCTGGCTACTTTTTCACTGTGGTGGTGGGACCTTCATTTGGCTGCCTCACAGTAGACTTGGTGTAACCCCCACTAGCTGGCTGGTAACAGTGAGACCTTTTTGAAGCCGTGAAAGAAACCCAGTAGAACAGTATGTTGCTACGGTCTGCTTTTCTGTGGCTTAGATTCTCTACCTATAAAAGAGGAACAAGCCTCGCTATTGTATACATAGCTGAAGGCATTCATAACTCCTAAAGCCTTCCGTGTTCAACTGGAAAGGAGCATTTGTCAAAGCGCAAAATGATGGCATGCTTCTAAGAAACCTCGGAATTCACTGTAATGGGATTTCTCGGTCTCTGGTTTCCTTGTGGAGGTAGAACATAAGACACTTTCCCTTTTATGCTATTTTGGCTGCTGAATATATATGTTCTGTTGTAACTAACAGCTAATCTAGGCCGTTGACCTGGATCCCTATGGTGAATGTAGCAGTTGTTTCTGGGATGGTGAGGGGAAAGGGAGCATGCCTGAGAAAAATGTTGTGTGCTGCTGCCACCTTACCAAACAACCTTATCAGCTTGTTGAGCAGAGGTAGGAATTGGGCTCTGTTGGCTTTGCTCTGTAGCTTTCAGGGAACAAGGGTTTTCACTGCAAACTAGGACTAGCAGTGGAGTCCTGCAAACAAAAAGCTCTATTCTCAAAGTCAGTGTTTTATGATTGTGTAGAGATGTTGGGTGAGGCGCATCCTTCCTGTGGCTGCTTTTTATTTTTCTAGATCCTGTTTATGAACACTCTGTTAAGTGGCTGAAAGCAAAATGTTTGTCTGGCATATATTCCTTTTTGCCCATCATTACGGCAGTGATCAAGTGCAGCGTTAGTAGAAATTATCTGGCTTCTGAGTCACATCCAGATTCCTTTCTCTCATCCTATACCATGTATATAAAACAGCTTTGCAGTTCAGCTTTCAGCAGTTCCCAATAAATATAATTTGCATGTTCAGCTTGCAAGTCTGAATTAGGGCTGAGGTGGATAGGAAGGTAGATCTAAAAGGGACAAGTGTTTGCTTCCATTGACACAAGACTTGGTTCATACCTAAAATGAAGCCTGTCTCTGTGAAAGCAGGCCTCATCATAGGATTTTTTTTCACTTATAAGCAAGTTTTTGTGAAACACTTAGAGCTATAATGGGGTTAAAATGTTTGAGTAATTTTTTTCTGAGCCTTCTTTGTTAAATAATGTCTTTTTAGGCTCATTTCCAAACTTTTCATCTTCAGCTTAAAATATAAGGACAACAAAACTAGCAGTCAGCTAGCTTCAGCGGAATGAGATGGTAGAATAGACTTGCAACACTTGAGATTGCAGGTGACAGAGGGTTTAACAATTTTTGAACACAGGCCTATATCAAGCACAGAGTTAAGCATGCTTAAACAGTGGGCCGAAGGGGGAACAGCCGGGTGGTGGTAGTTAGAAATACATTGTTACAGATTTAGAATTAGTGAATGTTAGAAATTAGTAAAGTGGTAGAATGTAGATAATATTTGGAGTATTGAAGGGAAGATGCCGGGCCAGCGGGAAAAAATATAGGCTGAGCTTCCTTTCCAGGTCAGGGCCTCACCTTGGATATTTATTTATTTTTATCTGTTAAATTTATACACCGCCTCCATTAAAAAATCTCAGGGCAGTTCACAGAATAGAGGCCATGAGCATGACAAAAGGTGTTGATGGCTCATCACAGAGAAATCCAGAGGTTCCCAAGGTTACGCTGAGCAAGGGTGTGGGTTACAGGGAAAATGTCACCTTTTAAAACTAGGCTTGGCAAACAGGCAGAAGGGGAGGAATTGCTTGGCAAGAGGTGTTTGGGGAACAAGGAGGAGGAAGTAGGGAGAACTCAATGTGGGTGCTTTGGCAGGCTGGCACAGAGGCATAGAGATGTCTTGGAATCAGATGCGGCACTGCTGTGGGGAGGAGTTCCTTCTTGAGATGTATTGCTCTGACCTCTCTCCAGAGTAGAGCCAGGTGTAAATATGCGTTGATAAACCATATTTATTAAAGACATGACAGTCTCTGCTGTGTGTTGATTCCCAGCGGAAACATGACCCTGGGTAAGCAGCCAGAACCCCCTAGAATCTCGCTGCTGCTCGGCAGATTCTGGGGATGGCACACAACCTTTGCAACAATATATTGTGACTTGATGAGATTCGTTCATAGCTGGTAAGGCTTTACTCAGTGGCTTGTGAGCAGTCAGTTATGGAGCACATGCACCACCTGCATTGCTAGAGCATTTTATTATATAAAATTCAGAGAGGTAAAACATTAAAGTGTGGAAATAAACTGTTTTTCAGTGCTTCAAAAATAATCTCCCTTTTTCTTACAAGTGAAACAATAGGTCACTTTTCACACACTTCACAGTAAAAAAAAATTGTTTTGTGACCTTTGGGCCTTGTATCTGACCTTTGGGCCTTCTGTTGACCATCCCTGTTCTAACATGTTCATCTTAAATTAAAACAACAACAACAAGCATTCAGATACAAATCTCTGTCCTGAAAACCACAAGCACACACACAAACAAAAACAGATCCATGCATTTAGTACAGGGGTGTTTTTTTACCTGACATTAGAAAACTTGCAGCCATCACACAGTTATAATTAAATTTGGTTTCAAAATCTTAGGCAATAATTAATTTAATAGTTTATAAAATTACCTTCTCCCTGTAAGCCTTCTTGTAAACTTTCAGTTCAAAACATATATAATGTCTGGCATTCAATTGAAATAATTGAATGTCTTTGTTCAGTGCCATCTGTTCCTTCACTGCCGCTTTCTTTTCAGTAAACGGGCTTAATTCTTCCTTCCGTCTGAATCAAGGCATATGGTGCACTGAATTTCAGCTTTTACCACAGATTCTTCACTTAGTTGCAGGATGGTGGTAGACTGTATATACACTGGTTGCTTCTCTAGTTAATGTGCAACTTGATTTTTTGAGGAGTGGGGGCAAATTCAGGGCAGTCCTAATCCCTTGAGCAGCACTGCTGGATGGGGTGCAAATTTGTCAGGGAGAGCCTCTGCTGCTGTGGAGGTCCCTGCTGTGTGCCTTCCAGAAGCTACCGCTGGTGGTGGTGCTTGTATTGAAATACTGCTGAACATTTAAAATTTTTGTTCCTTGATTTTCATCAAAGGAATATTTAATTGAACACAGTGTTGATTAACATTGCTGCCCTATTTCGGGATGGTGATAGTAGTCTGGAGAAATCAGTATTGGTAAAGTCACTGGATTCAGAACACATTGTCTCTTCTTTCTGTTAAAATATGTTTTCCGTTTTTACGCCCTCAGAGATAGAACATGCTACTGTATTGCACAGATTCCATAACTGATATGTGCTTTGGAATGTATACTTTTTCCTCTTTTTTTTCTTTTGTTCTTCTTTGTCCTCCAAATATTTGCAATGGTTATTTCAGTTGTTCTGCTTCACGTTGAAATGTATGTTCTTGCAAATACCAGTGTGCTTCCAGTGGGACTTCAGCCTGCTGGAGTACCTTACGCCTATAATGCCTCTCCATGCATTCCATCACAAGTGGATAGGTTGCCGGCTCAAATTTGTTGGCGAACAAGTAGGGAGATTCATGGATCCACTTTAAGTCCCCAAGACCATACACACAAATGTCTCTGACATAATGGCCTGCAAAAGCGAAATAGCAAATTGACAACCCCAGATTGCATGCAACACAGAAAGGGAAATATGTGGTGGACATTTTACATTAGAGGTGGGGAAAGGCAGTTCTGTTGTTTAAGCAAGGTCCCACTAAACCAGGCATAGGCAAACTCGGCCCTCCAGATGTTTTGGGACTACAATTCCCATCATCCCTGACCACTGGTCCTGTTAGCTATGGATGATGGGAGTTGTAGTGCCAAAACATCTGGAGGGCCGAGTTTGCCTTATGCCTGCACTAAACCCTAGGATTCCTTTTTTTTTTTTTACCACATTTGCTTTTGATCCTGCACAAATACTATCTCTCTGAACATGATCAAGAAAGGATGGGACTTCTTAGACGTGCAGTATCCATCATAAATGCATCCAGATCTGTTTCAAAATTAATGCAGATCTTTAAGGAATAAATGAACCCTTTTTCTTATTCACAAACCATGTGTTTCTTAGGTGCAAGCTAAATAAGTTTGGTACTGTATTAAGGTTAGTTTGTCAGATTAGGAATGGGACACAGGTTAAAATCCCCACCCAGCCATGAAGCTCACTTGAGGTGAATTGTCATGATAAACTGAGGGGGTGATGATCGTGTATGCTACCCTGAGTGCCATCACTGAAAGCTGGGGGATATAAATAAACACATTGCTGTAAAATTGCTACTGGATTCTCAGCCCATTATATCTGTTCCTACATATGTCAGTGCATGTTGCTTTTTAAAAAATGCTTTGTGAATGAATATTGAGGTACGTATTGGAAACCAGTTACAGGAAAGGAGTTACAGTTATCCAGTAGAAGCAACTCATCCCTTCACCGGCTGTAGTTTTATCAGCTCTGTTGCTGTACAGCCTCCATTTCCTCAGTGGGGAGTCTGCTGCTCGACTTGAGTCTGCTGCTCAACTTGCAGGTTTCCAAATGCATGGAAGTTGTGCTTTCTTTGTGTTTGGCAGATGGCTGTCCCAGGGGATGTGTGCTGTGTGCAGTTTATTATATTTACCTTTGCAACCGTTGTGGCTTTTCCCTTCTTGATCTCTCCACTTGATAGCACGTATGTTTCCTTCCCACTGTGCATCTGGTGTTGCACCTGGAGCATCTAACAACCAAATTGAAAGCAACATTAGCTGTTATTTTGTTTGAATTCATAGGCCACCTCTCAGTATTGTTACTCCCAAGGGGTGGCTAGCAATCCCGAGCTTTTCTGGACTGGGGGTTCCTCTTCTATTTGCAGTTCCAATATTTCCTCATCCCATGAGATACACTAAATATTCAGCAATCATAGCTCTCTTTAGAAAAGCACTGCGTTTTGTTCTGAAAGGTGGTGGTAGTGCAGGAGTCCTTCATCGCTATGTCAAAATTCAGTGATGCAAGTCCCAACATCTGGAGAGGCCTCTGAAAAATTCTGCCCAATATGAACTTGCATGGTTCAGGGGTGCCAATTATTCTCCATTAGAGCACCACATGTTCCAGAAAGATGTGATCGTGCCTGATGTAGGGAAACTGCTTCAGCATAGGACTGTGGCATAACACCCTTTATAATTCCCCATTGCTTGCAAGGAGCAGCCTGCCAGGAGCTCTCTAAGGAAAAGAAGGAAAGAGAGCTTAGAAGGCTGTAGATACTACTAGAATGAATTCTACTGACTCTGCTATTCCTGGCAGGCAGATAGGAGATGCTGTTGAGAGAGCTTGCATGAGTGAGACCTTTAATTCCAGTCTCCAGTCTCATGCTCATACTTCTAAATCTACGACTGCGGACCCTCATATGGGACAATTCCACCAACCTAGAAAGGGGGTGTCCCACTTAACCAAGGTTTGGGCCTCCCCATTTAGCCTGTGAGCAGTTTTGTCAAAGGCCATGCCCATACGTTCTACACCCGTTGGCCTATGTGACACCAGATGTGTAGCAGGTAAAGAATGCAACTAGATTGACAGAGGGTTTATGGGCACCACCAGTCAGCTGACACCCAGTACTTGCATAGTGCTGGGTGTGGTGCTTTGCAAGCCTCAACACTCAGTTGATAAGCCTTTGGAGACAGAATTTATTTTCAAACCACATGGGCAAAAAATTGGTTGCCTGCCACCATTGTGCTGAAACTTGGCCTATCATCTGGATCTAGTTCCTCCTTATTCCTGTTATAAACATTGCCTGGAACACCTAGTATCGTAACAGTTTGTGGAATTGGTAGACCCTATATCAATACCGAGTGGTTTTACGGTGTTGTTTTTCTGTTTAAAGGTAGAAGAGGCCTGATTTCTATTTTTAAAATATACATTCAGATAGGTCCTAAGGATTGAAAAAAAATCTGCTTTTCCTGCCTATAGTTTTTTATAAAAACAAAAAACACAAGAACAACAACCAATGGGTTGTGTGGAGTCAGGAAAAGCCCCTTAAAAATCAGGATATTTTTTTTTTCATTTTGTACCTGGCAAGTTGACATCACATTTCAGTGTTGAAAACTCTTGGTTTAATATTTGCTCAATACTGAAAGGGTCAAATGATGGGGAAATAGCTTAGGGAAGCTGAACTCACTGGCTCCTGGACTTGAATATTCAAGACTTGGAAACAGTGTTCAGTATAAATAGCTGCTTACCTGGTAGGCGGTTGAGGGTGACCCAGTAGTGCTCATCCGGACTATAGGTATCCCTTGACCATTCAAGCAAATCTCTTGCACGTGTATCAGTCAGTATAAACTCTACAAATTCTCTTGTGAGTACATAGTAGGCACCCCCAAAATAAATAGTCAAATTATGGGGAGGTTCACTTTTCACATTCTTCGTTGGATACACATAAGATTTTTCTGAATGCACATATTCTTTGTAACTCACATGTGTCCGGTATTTCATATGAGGCGGTTGAACAATTCCTGGGGTCATATTTTTACCATTCCATTTGCTTTTGATGTACTGCATAAGTTCCTTATTAGTTTTGATGGGATAATCCTGGCCACAAAGATTAATAACATAATTCCATTGATTTTTTGAATGAATCAAGTCCTTCATACAGTTGATATCGGCTTGTAATCTGGAAAATCCTGCATAGACAACATTCTCTGTCCTCGAAGCGATAAAAATATTTTCAAAGCAGTTAACCAGGGTTTGCACAGCCGACTTGTAATCCTTTGATGATTTTTTGTCAATGTGTATACAGTAAACATTCTGAGGCACATAAATGGCTCTGAGTAATTTTATAAACATGTCCAGCTCCTTGTGAATGGTGATGATGTACGCGAAGGAGAAGTTGCCTTCTTCTTCTGACAGAGGACTTGTAATGAAGTGAAGTCTCTTCTGAAGTGTTGAGCAGTTGCAAGGCGTCTGTATGCAGGTAGACATTTCTTGCCTGCGGATAACCTGCTGGCACAAGTGGCCAATTTGAGGAGCAGCATCTTCCCCATCAAAGAGGGCCGAGCAAAGCTCATCGGGGTAATCGCCACACTCTGCTAATTCTGGGAGGAATTTTTGCTCATCGCCTTCCTTGGGGATTGTATTCCTTATGTAGACGAAAGCACAGATGATAATGCAACCCACAATGCATATAAAAAAGCCTGATTTTGCTGTCTCAAGTAGGTTCATCTTTTGCACTCCAGTTGTTTTGTTCTTACCATTGTTCAGTGAAACAGCGTTCAGTTGTACCTGTGAGGGGGAGAAAGGAAAATTAGTGTTTCGTTACCTTCACCCTGATCATGTGTTCATTCTGTTAGAGGCAACCAGGATTGAACTTGTGGTGAAAATTTTGTTTCCTGAAAGACAGGCTTAATTGTGGCTTAAGCTTCTGCAGTTGGCTGTAGGTTTTTGTTGAAGCAATTTTCAGTTTTTGTTCCTAGTAAAACCAGATATGATGGTGGCGGGTGTGGTTTTTACCAAATCCATTCTATTGATATCAGCTCAGCAATTCTGCAGTTTCTTTAGGCTGAATATACCTTGTTCCTGGAAGGGTGGAGACAGGGTTTAAGTCTGAGAAAAAATGCAATGTCTAATCTTTTAAAACCAGGATCCAAAGAGCTATTTAGTTGCATCTAGCTCTTTTAATTTGTTAATTATTATTTTTTTGTATCCACACCCCCTCCCTGCCTGCCCTTTGTGCAATTGCTTTTGCAACTTCCCTGGGTTTACTGTTCAGTATTTTGAGGGGTGGGAGCATAGTTGCTGGCTTGAGAGACACAATGCAAAGTCCTGTTGCTTATGTGGGTCTAGATGAACAATTGTCTGGATCCTGGCAGTGATTTATAATTTTTTTCCAGCATGCATGCTATCATATATATCAGGCATGTCCAACCCTTCGATCGCAGGGGTGTTCCTGGTCGATCGTGGGACTAATTAACCCCCCCCCCCCAAAAAAAGCTCAACAACTTTGGTTAGTACCCCAAAAAAGCTCGAAAACCCTTGGCAATAACAATGGGTATATTACTGCCAGGTTTTTTTTATACTGGGAATAGATCACAGTCTCTTGAAAGTTGGACATGCCTGATATGTATGATTCACTATCCCTTTACTTAAATGGGTTTTTCTCCAAGAAGAGTAGGGATCTTCTATTCTAGTAATACAACCAATACATTACCACTTTTACAGCAATTTGTCACTGCAGAAAAGGCCACACTGTTGCCACTGTTGTAACAAAGTTTAAATTAAAACACTTTTATTATTTACATTTTATTAGCACTAAGTGTACTTTTGAATGCAGTTTATAAAATGAAAATTAGTGTGTTTAACACACTTCAGTGTTCTCCTAGGTAAAACATTCTAACTGTAGCAACATTGTTTTGCCTTGCTGTACTATGTAAGTTTGATGCTTCCAGACCTATTTTAGCAAAATTGTTTACTATTTCACATGTTTACCTTTCTGAATGTGGTCTTACACAAACTTGACTTCGTTGTCACATCCTATGCCTCTCAGCACAGTGGTATGTTTTCTTGCAGCTCAGAAGTCAAGTCTCTGTCCTTGAACTCTTAGATGCTGGATATATGCAGTACTAGAGGGGAAAAAATATTTAGCAGAAGGAGCAATCTGTTGAAATGCTTTGTGACCCTAAATAGGCGGTCAGGCAGTATGGATTTCACCATGTTTTTCCAGGTTTGAAAACTTTATTCAGTAGAAATAATGCCAATATGTGGAATCAAAAATATCATGTGGTTGCTATTTTGTTCAGCACTAATGATAATTTGAATTCCTCCTATCTGATCAACAGCCAGCACAGCAAAATCTTTAGATTATATTTTTTTATTTAGCTGGTGTTGTGTTTTTTTTGTAATATCTAAGCTTTAGTTTTAATCAGTTACACTTATTCAACCTGCATACATATTCTGACTGCAAGCTTTCAAGGGACAACATGCAAAACAAAAACGAAACACATTCTGAAGGCACTCGCAGAAGAAATTCAGCTCATTTCCCTTACCCGTCTATCCTGGTCTTCAAGTCAGAAGAGTGTCCTTTCCCCCGATTCATTGTGCTGATGAAATCCTTTCTGTGTAGTGCTAGATGGAAGATGCATCCATTTTGCTGCTTACTCCTGTCTCTGCCTTAGTCACACTGCTCTTCTGCGGTGCTGCCTGTGCGGGCCTAAGAAAAACATCAGGAATAGTAGTCCCAGCAGAATAGCGTTTGCTTGGAGGCTCAGAGGGGATTGGCTTACTGTGTAAACATACACATGGAAGCAGTCCGGCGTATTCTTAATGCAAGCCTCATGCGTCCACTGAATCTGCAAAGGTTCAGTTCTCGCATCAGGTTTTGGATGATGTGAGGAAGGAGGGGGAAGAAGGGGGAGGAGGAGGGAGTCTTTGAAAGGTGGGCGCAAAGTTTTCTCAGCAAAACAGAATCACGCTTGCTCTGAGGTTGCAGTCTGCTGCCAAGTGACTAACAGAGCCAAGAATAGATTAGCATAATGGACATTATGTACCCTGTTGTGAGGGTTACGAGTGTGTTTAAGGGGTGTTACAGTAGGGAAGCTCTGGCTGTGTCACAAAGCCAGAAAGGCTGTGCTACGGTGGATGAGCGATTTTTTTAAAAAGGGAGTTGAAAATTGCTCTGGATTAGGCAGACCTACGGCTGATGTTGTAACAACACTGCCACCGGGAAGTGCGTGAGCAGAGCATTGGGGGTCAGCAAGTCCCTACAGTTCACTAAAGGCTTTAAAAGCCTCTGCACATGTAAACATCACTGGAAAGAAATTTGCATCCTTAAGATCCACCCTGCCTACCGAGACAGACTGAAGCCACTTGCATTTGGAACTGACATTTCCCTGCTATAAGAGGCTAGGTAGGAGGAGAGCCAGCAGCGGCTGTATTCAAGGTCAGGCTGTGGCAGGACACACAAAATGTGACTCCAGACACGTTTGACAGGAAGTGTCACCAGGACATCACGCTACAGCATTTCACAGATGGAAATAGGGATGTTAAACGCAGTATAAGGAGTCTCTCTAGGAGTATATTGCATTTTAAAACGGGGTTTCAGAGGTTTTAGGGGGTTTTGAATGTCTTATGTAGATTTTTCAATTTCATTGTTCTGTATGGGACAATGACAATAAAGATATTGTATCGTATTGTTATTCCCTGCTTGCCATGCCACTGTTTCGAACACAAAGTATTACTGCCCGAGCAACAGCATCAAAAACAGATTGCTGAAGACTCTTCTCCACCTGCCGGTGTCTCTGTTCTGCAGATATTTCAAAGTAAAGGTTTTGTTCTTTTGAGTAGACATGCTAGGAAAGCAACATTGTCCTAATAATATGTCATCAGCAATTGAGAATGAAGCAAAAGAGGAAACAGCCCTAGCAGCACTGATGCTTTAGTGTCAGTACGTTTGGGTTGACGTGCATTTGCACTAGAATTTTTTTCTGAGGCTGCATGTTGTGACAGTTTTCTGAGGCTGCCATGGTTTGACATTGTGTATCCTGCCATAGTTTTCCTGGCCCTGCTCATAAGCTCCTCCTTCTTTTTATGTTCCTCTTTGAGTGGCTTTTCCTGATTGTCTCACACCCATTATATATCCAGTCGTTGATCATTGCAGGTGAAGGCTTCCTGCAGGTACCATCTTATCAGGTGGTCTCCACACAATATAGGAATCAGGCCTTTAGTATGGTGGTACCAACCCTTTGGGAATTCCCTCCGTTTAAATATTAGGTGCCCTCACTGTTATCTTTTCAGTACCTACAGAAGACTCTCCTCTTTCAACAAGTCTTTTTAGTAGAGACCTTTTCTAGTATTGCAATTGTTTTTAGATATTTTAGTTGTTTTGTCGCTTGTGTGTTTGCCACCCTGGACTCTTTAGGGAGGATATAAAGGCAATTAATAATGTCATTTAGTTTTTCTTTACAAGTGATTTCAGTGCATCTTAAAGTGCACCAAATTTATTACAACGTAGCTTTCATGGACCACCACAGACAGAAGTCCATGCAAGCTAATGTCATAATAAATGTGTTAGGCTTATAAAAGTGCTATTCAGACTAGACCCTCTGAAATCATTGCACAAATACTCTGAGTATAACTTAGTTGCATAAATCTTTATGTATACAAAGGAAGCTCTTGTTTTTGCTGTAATGCTCTTAACACAGTTAACACAGAATTTTAAACCGTCTAATTGATAAAGAGGATGATTCCTGTGCTGGATCCAAAGAGGAGGGGCAACAGAAACAGGATGGTTCTGGATAGTTATTTAACTTCTAGAAACTTAATGAAACAATGCATACAAAATTAAAGGTACCCCTGAAATCATACGCACCCCTTGAAAAATAGAGACAACATTTCACCAACAATAGATGTAAGGTGGTGGAGGGATTATCTATCAGATTTCACCTAGAGCAGGCACGTCCAACTTCCAAGAGACTGTGATCTACTCCCACTATTAAAAAAACTGGCAGTGATCTACCCATCAAAGTTGTTGAGCTATTTGGGGGGAGGATGAGCCAAAGTTGCTGAGCTTTTCTTTTGGGGGGGGCCATCGGGGTCCCAAGAACGTCCAGGATCGACCAGAGACACCCCGTGATTTACCGGTAGATTGTGATCGACCTGTTGGACGCCCCTGACCCAGAGTTTTGCAATATCCACCATCTTTACTCTGTTTTTCAATCTCTGATTATCATGCTGTAGAAACTTCACTACTATCAAAGAGTATTTTCTTCTTTTTTTTTTACAACATTTGAGTATACAATTGAAGCATATTTTGAGACTTCCGTTTCCTTATTAGCTATTTAGAGGGATTCGTGGGCCGAATCTCATAGGATAAGAGAACAACGCCTGTGTTCAATTTGTACTGCAAAGGCACAACAGAGCTGCTGACGGAATTGAAGCAGATAGAGGTACTTGGAAGTAAACCTTTACAGACCCTGAGTAAAGTACAGCCACTCCTTTCTTACTAACTGCTGCAAGCTTGAGAAAAGTTATTTTGTAATGGTGATGCGTGTATTAATGTTTAATGAGGAGGGGGCCAAAGCTCAGTGGTCAAGTCTGTGCACTGTATGCCGTCAGTCACTGGTTCATTCATCAGTGCCTTCACTTCAGGGTTTCAGATAACTACTTCAACTGTTTTTGAAGAGCTGCTGTCATTCAAAGTAAACACTACTGTGCTAGATGGAAGCTGTTGTGAGACTCATACAATCTGTAGCTCTGTCAATGATAGATCTTCACCATATCCAGATTTCCTTTTCTGCTTCTTAAAGTATGCATTATGAGTCTCGGGATTAGTTCTCACATTGCGTTTTCCCTAAATACATTGTGTGAAATTTCATGTGTAGATTGTCACTTGCCTTTTGTTGCCTATAGTTCACAGCATGTACACAGTGGCTCAGTTCAGACATAATGCCAAACCATGGTTTGGTGCATAGTCTCTCACACAGGCTCCCCTTTCAATAGTTTTTTTTAAAACAAAACAAAACAAAACCATCTTTGGCCAGTGTTATGTCAAATTATGATAGTACCTCACCTCCAAATCAGTTTGCAATAAATAAAATAAAATAAAATTTTAAGTTTGCATTTGCAAATCATAGTTTGGGAGCACTTAATGTAGTTCAAATGTTCTAGTATGTAGAAATTTTTACTGGAATACTTGTAAACTTTTAAAGATAGCAGCATGCACTTACTAGTGTTGTTTGCATTTAAGAAAAAAGTAAAGGTATTGAAAACTGTTGACACAAAATTAGGAACCCAAAGAATTGTGGTTGATGCGCAGACTCACATACTTGCTAGAAATAATCACTTGAAAAGCATTAATTACAACTTGGAAACTGCCACAGTTCCTCCTATTTTATTTGCAGTTAAGGTACCTATGCATTGTTACTACTGAACATACAAAACTGATTATTTGTCCACAGAAAAATAAAACACGAATTTCCCCCCAGGAAATTTTCCACCCCATATCACATGCCCACAGATGTGGTCCTAAGTTGCCAAACCATAGTTCATCATTTCATCTAAGCCCATGTTAGGTGCATTGAGAAACCATGGCTTGTGGCAAGTTTCCAGCATCCGTGTACACAATAAAAGGCATGTGCTGAAGATTTCATACTGTTTGCTCCATGCGAAGTGGCACTAACACTGTGCCATGATTCTGGAATAGCTCAGGGTGAGCAACTTTTTAATGTCCAGTGCTCAAAAATCCTGGCTTTGCATATTTTGTAGAACACATAGCATAGCCATAGCTTCATGAATAAGATAAACTGCCTTGTCCACAAAACATAAATCATAAAGCTTGGATAGACCAGAAGGGCATCGGGTCTAGCTGTCTGTCCCAAGACAGTATCTTCCACACATCAGTTTCCTCCACAAATTAAACCACATGCTTGAGAGAGCCGCACACCACAGAGGAAGACTTGCTGCCAGATTCAGGCTGGAGTTTGTTGGGTGGGGGGAGTTAAAAGCAACAGTAATGTGGTGGTCTGAATGGCCTAACCCTGGGGCATATCGTTTGATTGCTCCTTCCTGCAGTGTAAGCAAAACAGACCACCACCTTCTCCTTCCCTAAAAGATGTAGAATAGGAGCCGTGGGTGAGCTCTCGGAATTCAACAGAACCTGAACACACTTAACCAGTACAAGTGATGGCCACTTTTATTGTCCCTTTCTTTCATTTTTCAGATGAAATCTTTTCTCTTTTTAAAATCAGGAACTGCAGTGAAATATTACTGCCAACTAGAAACCAACAGCTGTAACGCTATATATGTAACACTAGATAGTCTGTTTTGCCTTGTTCAACATGTTTATTCACAAACAAGGATTAACTGTTTAAAATTGTGTTCCAAAAATGCTAATCTCAGGAGTTAGAGGAGGTGACTGACATGGGATTGTTTATGGTAGGGGTGGAAATTGGCTGACTCCCAAGGATTTCGATTTTTAAGTGAACCAAAAGAGCCCGTTCTCCAGTTTTAGCTGTTTGGTTTTAGCTCAATACCTACTAAGAAAGAGATTGGCACATTTATTCAAGAAAATGCTTTGGCAGAAAATAAATGGGTAATAGACAGGTGTGAATCTCCACCCCCCCCCAGTAAAATTCTATATATGTCTACTCAGAAGTAAGTCCTGTTAAGTTCAAGAGTAAGCAAATATTGGATTGCACTGTAAGTGACCCTGATTTTGAAGCAGGTTGTAATTTATTTTTTTTAAAAAACACCATAAAGTTTAGAAATAATAAACTCACCCTCTGCTGGAAAAGGCAGACTGGAGCCAAATTTGAGAAATGAGAGAGAAAATTCTCAGGATCCATAGCCCTTCAGGCAGATTCAGACTTCCCTTTCTCATGCGGTCCTTCCCTTTCTCATGTGGAGACCTTCCATCACATGAAAGTAGTTAATAATTAACATGAAATGTTTGTATTTTAGGATTAGTTTTCCTTAACCACTTAAGTCCCGTGTTTTTGGATTCAGCAGCAATAATGTTCTGGATGACATAATTAAAAATAGCTTGTGTTTTTCTGGATTTTGTTGTTGTTGTTGTTCAGACAGCCTTTTAAGGCAGTGAAACCAGTCTTTTTAAATGAGATCTGTAGATAAAGCATTGCTGCTGATTATAAATAGTCTTGGTATGGCTTTAACCTCTAGGCTGCTAGCAGAGTACAGTGAACAATGTGAAAAAAATATTTTGCTTTTCTTTTTCTTTTTTTAACTCTCCGGTTGCTGAAACTTTCCACTTGATGACAGCCATGTGAGAGGAGTGTAAGGATTTTTTGCCTACCAGGGAGGAGTGAAGAAATAATGAATCAGGCTGCGGAATCTGGCTTTGTGCCTTCCTCCCAATCTAAATAATTTCGCTTCTTTCGTCATCTTAATGTGTGAAGGCTTTTGTGTTTCATTTAAGTGGTTGGTTTGGAAGTTTAAATAATGAATTGAGAGCTGCGGGACGCATGGAGTGGGGAAAAAGAAATTTTAAATAGTCTCTGTGCAGAATTCTGTAGCTTTGTTCTAATTCTCAGTTTTAACTAAAGCTGTTCTAATAATAATAATAATAATAGTAATAAAAATAATAATATGGGTAGACATTTGGATGCAGTCGGGAGGAGCCATTCACATACGGAAATGGGTTTCTATGTGCATATTCCTAGCTGCCTAGAAAAGCTCATATGCAATTAGGTGGGAGAGGGGTGCCCATTCTCCCCAGTTCAGCTGTTAGGGCCATGCACTGAGCCCTGTTCTAAAATCAGAAATTGTTCCTATAAACTGTCTGGGGGGCAGCAAGGTTTCGATTTAATCCCCTACCATTCCTGCTTCATTAAACACTTCATCATTGTGCTTTTTTTGAAGAGTGATTCATTCACACAGTGAGATTGAGCCTTTCAGGAATACTCAGTTATTTTAGAGAAGTGCTATTGTGCATGTGTAACACTGAAATTTTGTTTAATTTTTTTTTAAAAGGAGACTGCAGAATTATTTCCACAAAAGCTAAAGACAACTAACATTCTAAAATAGTTATTTATCAATGCTTTCATGAATTCCAAAGATATAAAGTATGGTTTAGGCTCTTGCCTACGGAAGCTTTTGCTACAATAAACCAGTTAAATCACCATCAACCATCACCAGCCATTTTAGTGCATAATCTAGCCTTCACCAACCTGTTGCCCTCCAGATGTTTTAGACTATAACTTCCATCAGCCCCAAGCAGCACACGAGACTGATGGGAGTTGTAGGCCAAAGCGTCTGGAGGTCAGCAGGCTGGCAAAATGCCGGTGTGACAATTACATAGCTGGCAGAGCAGCATCCAGCAAAGATTTTCACGACAATTCCACCCATAGTGACAGACTATCTACGGAACAGAGCTATGCCTCCCTCCCCTTTAAAAACAAATATGGCTGCTTGTAGAGCCATAGGAGTTTCAGGAAGTGCCGTCAAAGAAGGTGGCGATGTTTTGGGTGGTGACGACCGGGGACTGTTTGCAGTAGAGTTTTGTTTTTGTTTTTTTAAAATGAAGCTTAAATGGCCATATAAGTACAATAAAAGGTGTACGTTCCTGATGGTGCACAAAAAAGTTCTCTGTTGTGGGCTTAGCACAAGCAGACATGCTGTATGTCAAAATGCTTGAGGCAATAAAACAGGAAACTGCTACTTTCTGCCCAGCTTTTCCTAAGCCCTATCAACCTTTTAAGTGCAGTGTGTGTGTTTTAAAAAAATCCTGCTCTTACTATGTGATCTTATTCACATATAAGTATTTGCTTTCTTTTGTCTCCTTGCTGTACATCCCTGTTATGCTCACCTGTAAACACTTCAGAAAAATATTTGGGTTGTATCCAAAGTAGTGCTATGTGAATGCTCCATCAGTGGAAGGCTTTCTTGCTTGCGCAGTGCTTTCCTCCTCCCTCTGTGCACGCCTTAAATCTGTTCTAGAGTTTTCCCCAACCCTCTGGAGTAGATTTGGGGAGGGCACAGGAAATGGGGAGGGAGGAGGATGTTTTGTTTTGTGAGTGTAAATCCTTGTCCTAATGGAACAAATGAATTGGATACCATCTCCTGAGTCTTAAGATACATTGCTTTTGATGAGTACTGGAATTTGTGATGAGACATTATCCATTTTCCTTCCCCACTAATTTTAAAGATATTTTTTTCATCATGACTGGAACTGGACAGTTCTACGTTCTAAATGTGTTCTGTCTTTGAAGAGTTGCTGGCCTGCATAGATTGTATTCTGTATTTATGGCCCTGCTACGCAAGACATTAACTTTTAGGGCAGTACAATTAAAAAGAGATTTGAGCCATAACTGCAACAGTTGGTTGGTTGGCTGGCTGGCTGACTGCAAGTCATTATGGGTTGCCCTGGGCAACATAAAACAGCCAACAGATTTAATAAATAATAAAAGAATATAGCAACATCATCTGCAGAACTGAATTAGATAACATTGTGCCTTTTGTCTCTCAAAAAGCAGGAAAATACCCTAGCTGTAACAAAGCTGCAATAGCAAATATCTGAGTCTGCTAGTGGGCCTCCCTCTGTGGTAAGGGGGCTTGTGGGGCAGCCTTCTTTCAACTTGTGGAATGAGCTTCCCTCTGAGATGCACCTTGCACCATCTTTGCATGTTTTATGAACAATTGGTCAAGGAAACACTTCTTACCTAGGTCTTGGGTTGAGCGGGCACTTTCCTTTCTGCGTTGTTCTGTGCTTCTGCTTTTTGTTTTTGGTTAGCTTTCTGGTTTTTGTTTTAGTGGTTATATTTTTATCACTCATCCTGGAGCCATTTGGTGAATGGCGGACTGTAAGTACATACAGTATGGCACGTTTTCTGCCACATAGGAAGTTGCATTATTTAAGGCCAGTCAATTTCCCGTCTAGCACAGCATGGTCTGTCTATCTATCCTGACATCCTCAGGATGTGGTGATAGCCACCAATTTAGATGGCTTTAAAAGGGATCTGGACAAATTCATGGAAGATCATTCTATCACAGCCTGATACTGAGGATTCCAGAAATAGGTGATGACCTAACCTTCCTGAAATTGGCTGTAATGCAGCCAGAGGTTGTTGACCTTACAGGGTGAACCGCTGACCTTCTAGAGACTAGCTAGAAACTGTTGTCTTATACAGCTATTCCCGTTGGAGCAGGAAGGCTCATGGGGGCCCAGTTGATACCATTAAGCTCCAGAGCTGCTCTGTACTGCTACTCTTCTTCACAGGAGAGTGGAAACTGATTGCTTCTGTGAGTAGGGAAGATGGGTGAGAGCACTAGGAAGTGATGGTGTCTGCTGCATCTTCCCCAAGGTTAGATGGAACCTACCCCCATCCCCTGCAAAAGAACCTCACCTTTTAGCACATGAAATATCACACACACACACACACACACACACAAAAACAACAACCAATGACAACCCCACTTCTTTCAACTCCCTCAGACTGGGCAGACCAGTTTCATCCCTTCCCACTTTACAGGCAGATATGTTACAGTGGCTTTACACACAGGGCAGCCCAGCTATTCACCAAGGACAAGCCCATTCCAAAGAATAGAAGGAGGACAGCCTTTCTACATTGCATAATAGAACAACAGCCGCATTTATATGGTTGATTAACCTTCTTATTCCAGAATATAGGGATTATATTATTTCTTACAGGATAAGTAGGAGAGGTACTAAAATGTTGTCTGAGTGAGTTTGTTTTCCTCTTCCTCTCCCTTTTTTCCTTTTGTTTTATGTCTTCTTAGGTTTTAGATTTTGAGTGGGGGCAGGGGCTATGCTATTTTTATTGGTTTGTAAGCCACTCTGAGAGCTTTTCTGGCTAAAGACTGGGGTATAGATGTTTTGAAGAAGTAAATAATTTAGGTTCATGTTCTGTGAGTCTGCTACTCACAGTGTGTCAGCCTCTTTATTTATAAATGAAAACAAAAATTAGAAAAACACAGTAACTCTCCAGTCCTCTTTCTTCCAAAGAAAACTTTCCCTGTGAAAGTTGCCCTGAACTCCCTTCAACTCCAGGAAGGAGAAACAGCACAACTACACAAAAACCATGAATTGTTGAAAAGCCTCTTGTTTCCTGAACATTCTTTTGCAACATCCTTGTTTATGTTGGCATAACAATGGTTTTCGCTGCCTATTCCAAGGATTAGTCTTCAACAGTGGAGTAAATAACCTATAGACTTTATTGCTCTTAAAAATAACTCTTTAAAGCCTTCTTTATAGTTATGGTTACATTACTCCAGCCTGTCCCCGTTAACTACATTAATGCTTGGAAAAAGGATTAATGTTTAGGAAAAATCTGTTAGGGCATGCACAGTGAGGAGGAGGGAAAATAATCCAGTGCTTCCAATCCAAGCATGAACCACTATTCCTGTATGCAAACTAATGCTAAACCGTGGTTTATGACACTGTGATTTATTAAATCGTTGCTCAGTGTTGCGTGTGTACATGGCCCAGCAGCATAACTGTTTGGTTTGTTTCTTGCCAGCAAACCATGATCTGAATCCATAGTTTGTTGCTGTGAGGCTGAAGAAGCAAGGGGAAGGACCCTCTAGTCTCATCCATTGGCCAAGGGAACAGGTGTCCTCAGCTACTACAGTGGTGCCTCGCAAAACGAAATTAATTCGTTCCGCGAGTTTTGTCGTCTTGCGATTTTTTTCGTCTTGCGAAGCACGGTGTCGGGAAAGTTTTGGGAAAGCTTCAAAAATCACCAAAGTTGCTCCTCGAAGTCAAGTCGCAACTGTATTAACGGTGTTAAGAAAAAGGAAACAAACTTGCAAGACGTTTCCGTCTTGCGAAGCAAGCCCATAGGGAAAATCGTCTTGCGAAGCAGCTCAAAAAACAAAAAACCCTTTCGTCTAGCGAGTTTTTTGTCTTGCGAGGCATTCGTCTTGCGAGGTACCACTGTATTCAGAAAAAAAGAACATTAGCAAGGGAAGATCCAGCTTGGGGCCAACTGGATTTCAGTTCCCACTTATAGCTCTTCTCCTAGAGCAGTGGTTCCCAGTTAGGGGTCTGGGGACTCCTGGGGATCCGCAGAATGCAATCAGGGGGTCTGCGGTCCCATCCCTTGCCTCCCTCCCCCCACCAATTTTTTGTCATTTTTGCATGTTAACACCACAAATTTTATCGTCTGTTTTAGCGCTGTGCGGTTTTTCAATATGTTGGCCAAAATCGGTTTTGAAATCACACAGTGATAACAATTTTGACGTAACTACCATAAAGTAATCAAAATTTTCAAAAGTAGGGGTTCCGTGGCTTGGATTTTGAAAAATAGGGGGTCCTCAGTAATTAGCTAATTGGGAACCACTGCCCTAGACTTAAATAACTGATTTTTCTCCTCCAGCTTTCTTCTCCACTTCCCTTCCCTTGTTTGTATTTGTAAGCTTGGTGACAGTGCCTTATCTCTTTTCCTTTTTTAATTTATGTGTGGTGATTTTTGAGATGAGAACTGCTTGGAAACTGGGATGAAAATATGGTAATCGGTAAAAGTCTCAAAGCTCTTAACTTAATCTGGGGGAGAGGCTGAAATTCAGGAACTAAAACTCATAGATTGGGGCAGTGGGGCAGAGTTGGGGAAATGGTGTGGGAAATTCCCGCTCAACGATCTAGCCTTTTCTTGAAACTGCCCATGTGCTTTCAGATTGCATTTCCTGTTGCCAGTTAGATAGATAGAAGCGTATCTTAGAAGCAAATCAGAATCTTACACGTTGCAGGTTTCATTCTGTGAAGCACTGTTGTATATTAATAGTCATACATATCTGTATATTCCTGTATTACATACAAGATCGTGAGGTGTATAGGTCCCTAAGGAGGCACCCTCAAGATTCTGTCATCCTTTGACTGTTGACCGTGATGGATGAGAGCATTGTTGCATTGGAGCCCAACAACATCTGGAAGCACATGGGTACCCCTGCCTTTGGGGTCTTTTTAAGCATGGCATCATTGGGTGGTATTCATTGAAATAGTTACAGTGGTACCTCGGCTTACATACGCTTCAGGTTACAGACTCCACTCACCCAGAAATAGTACCTCGGGTTAAGAACTTTGTTTCAGGATGAGAACAGAAATCGTGCTCCGGCGGCACGGCAGCAGCAGGAGGCCCCATTAGCTAAAGTGGTGCTTCAGGTTAAGAACAGTTTCAGGTTAAGAACGGACCTCCGGAACAAATTAAGTACTTAACCCGAGGTACCACTGTACTGGCACACAATTAGTCTTCCTCACTCTCCTCCCCCCATGCATCCCCATAATCACCTCAAATCTGTTCCAGAGGAAGTCCCAGAATAGTTTTAGGAGGGTTGCAAGCAGGGAGAAGCACAGAGAAGTCCCGTTCCACAAGGAGAGACCCATGTGCTAATGGAACGTAAGCCTTAGTGCTACACTGAATACAGTACATCATCGTCATCACCACCACCATCACTACTGCTATTACTACTGCTGCTATTATTACTATTATTTCTGGCACTGGTGCCATGAGTATCTTGCTCATTTTACCTTTATGGTGTTCTGCAGTTCTGGGAGCATTATCAAAGACAAGACTTCATCTGTGTTCAGTCATGGATCATACTTTTGATAGTAAGTGATAGAAAAGTAGACATTATGGCACTCTAGAACACTCTGTTCAGAGTCTAATTACATCACACTTTTTAACAGCTCTAGTTGTTATATTTCTTTTACATAGCAAACTCATGCGGTGGACAGGTGCAGGGACCTATCTATTTTTGCCGATGTGTCTGTGCAAGGTGCTGTATAAATCATATTATTAGGCATTGGTCCTGGGTGAGTGATACTGCCGAAGTTTAGCAGCGGCTACAAAATTGCTCCAGATAATTAAATGTATGATAGGATCTCTGTGACTGTTAACAGATCTTTGTATTCTGGCAATGAGTTTACAACACAAGCACAGAATTTCAACCATCTTGGCTCTCAATTTTTTAAAAGGAAATCTTAAAGGAAATCATGACCAAAGCACTCTCTGATGAAGGCTCATAGTGTAAGTGTGGCTGTTGGTCTCACCTTCCAGTGACCATGAGACTTGGGGACCTCCCCAGTTCCCAACAATGATTCTGTGCCCCCCGCCTCTGCTGCCAGTGTGTGCCCAGTCTCCTTGCCCTTTCCCCCTCCGTCACATTTCCCTTCTTGACCTGTGCACTCATAACATTTGCAGAACAACTAACACAAAGAAAATACATACACAAGTATACCAAATTGGAACACATTGTTCTGACAGCAGAGTGTGGATTTATTGTGGTGCAGTATACACCCAGACTACTAAAAGAGATACAATCTCATGCTCAACATGTCCCTAGGCTCTATTCGCTCTAAGCAAGTAACACAGGATTTATCTGAAGACCCTGTAACTGCCCTGTACATTGAACATCACCTCCGAAGGGTCAGAAAATGCATTATGACAGCAGAGTAACAGCCGATCAAGTAAAGCAAGTACACTTACCCCGCAAAATGTAGAGTGAAAGCACAGAGACAGGCTTGTTCTGCAACCACACCAAGACCTTCTCACTTAAAATCTAATTTTGAAACTGCTGCCTCTCTGGAAACATGCAAATGATTTAAATGTGCTTTCAGTGCCTTCGAGCTTCAGGACTGTATTTCAATGGCTTCCTGTTTCGTAATTGCTAGGAAAGCTAGAAAACAACAACCGGAAAACCAAACTATAAAGCTGAATGCACCCACCATTAAAAGATACTTGATCTCCCTCTCTCATTTTTTCATCCGTTGGCATCACCTATCCACGGATGTGTGCTGGCTTCCTGTCATTATGAGAAAAGCATTGCTGTTCTTTGTGGGTATGCTTGCAGATGCTATGAGGATTTTGTGTCTAAATGAGATAGTAGATAGCAAGAGACAGGTGCAAATAGCAAAGAAGCCAGCAGCAAACCTGTGCTGTTGATCCCCTTTCAGTTCTGAGAAGGTCAGCAACTTTTGAAATTCCCTTTCCTGGAGGGAAAGCCCAGCGTTTTGTTATTTTATTTTATAATATAATCCAAATCCAGACTTCAGGTTGCTTTCAGGTTTTATTTTATAATATAATCCAAATCCAGACTTCAGGCTGCTTTCACCTCTCAATGGCATCACCAGTTGTGCATCTCCTACCCACCCAGTTCTCCACTCTTCCCACAGTCTCTTCCATGCTTTCTCCCTACTGGTTTTTGTGCCTGGAACATTTTTCCAATTCCGCCTGTCAACAGTTGTCCCGTATTGTGTATGTTTTATGCTTAACAACAACAACAACAACATCCTCTGTCCCAGTTTGCAGTGTATGGACCAGTATTCGTGTGGTTTTGCCTTACTAATTGTATTCCAAGGTTAGTGAAACTGAGAAAGGGCAACAAAACGGAAAGCTAAAGGCTACAACAAATTGAGATCCTATTAATGATTCAGCAGAACTGGCAGTCGGAGGAAAAAGAGCTCTGGATGCACGTGTTTTGGAAATGTAACTCTTCCCTTAGTCCTGGGACACAGGAGTATGCAAAAGCTTCAATTAGTAGTGATTTAAGTTGCAACCTTCAGGAGGGGGAAAACCCCCCCATTGAACTCAGTTGCACTTTCCTCTCAGGTGATATGCATAAGAGTGTGCTGTTAATTTATATCTCAGTTCATTGAATATGTTGCCATTATTTGTAACTCTCAGTTCATCCTGATGAATCACGCACCTGTGCTTGTCTCAGATGACCTTCTGCTTGCATGCAGGTGATCCCAGGTTTGATCCCTGGCACCTCCAGTTTTTAAGAAAGAAGAAAGGATAGGATAGGATCAAGTACCGGGTACTGGGCAAGACCTCTGCCAGAGACTTTGTAGAACCCCTTCCAGCCAATAGGGCAGCACTGGCTAAAGCCGCTAGCTGGTCATAATTGTCTGGATGACAATAAGGCAGTTTCCATTGTTCCTGCGCCTTTTCCCCATGAAGCTCCAAACCTAGGAGGCTTGAGCCTTTACCTCCACCTATTCCCACCCTCCAAATATTTAAATTATGTAATAACAAAAGATAGATTCTGCAAAAAAATAAAAAAAATCCCAACCCCTTTTTTGCGAGTTTGCAAAATTCAAGCCACTTTTTTTTTTTTGCAGAATTCAAAGTAGCTGTACTGAAGCCTTATCCTCGAGTCACCAGCAGTCCTAGGAAGTGGCCCCACATCCCCAGCTTCTGAGATTTTTGCAAGACATTATTGCTTGGAGACTCTCAGTTCAATTTTGGAGCCATAAGGATTAGAAAAGATTGAAAACCTGAGCTGCCTGCAATGTGTCGATTCTGTATAACCACCTAGTGTGTTTCAAATAAATATGCATTATTATAACACAAAGCAACATCAGCCTTCCCCTACCTGGTACCTTGAAGTTATTGTTGTGTTCCAGCTACCTTCAGCCTCTCAGCCCCAGGCAGAATGGCTGTTGGTCAGGAATTACTGGACTTGTAATTCAAGACACCTGAAGAGTACCAGAGTGATGAAGGCTGAGCTAAATGCATCTTTGGTCAGAGGGGGGCAGGATGTGGTTCCTGTGCATATCTGTTTATTAACAGTGTATGTCTCCTTGGTTTAAAGCCCTGAGTCAGTGCTGTTTGGGGCAACTTTTCATAGGGCTAAGGCTTTTCCTTTTTTAATGCTGCTGCTGCTGTAAGTAAGACTCTGCTTTCTTTCCCTGCTGCTCGGGGAATTGTTGTGTACAAGATCAAAATATATTGGTATAGATCTGTAATCTTGTAGACTTTGCTATAAATAGCTGCCATACATGTCAGATTAGCTGTTGGCAAACAATAATGCTATCCGGTATTGTGGCTCCTTAAGCTCTGGCTGCTATGAAATGCCATGAAAAATTCATGGGTGAGGATGCTGTTAATTATGGGATGGACACCTGGCTTCTGTGCGATTTTATTCCAATTTCACTAGTATAACAGTCCATTGACTTGTATGTTGTTTTACTGGTTCTTTTTAGATACGCATAGTTCTTGTATGCAAATTTGTATGTCTCATGGCTGGACAGATTTTATTCTGATTCTGACAAGGCAAGACTGTTGGGGGGTTTCCCCCTTAGAAATATATTAATTACACATTTTTTCATCATGGATGTTTAGAACAAAATGCAAGCAATAAAATTCTGATATTCCCCCCACCTTTGCGGCTCAATGTCGCTACACCTAGATACTTCTCTTTCTTTGCTTTGAATTTACGGAGAAAGGTGAACTATTAAATTATGGTGTTGTTGTGTTTTCGCAATTGTGTTTTGCCTCTCCTTGAACAAAGTACCATTTCCCGCTTTTAAATATTCACCTTGTAAAAATTACTAGACCTTACGGTGTAGAATTCCAGTTGAGAAGCTGTGCCGCATCATGGACAGAATCAGGCCTGGGAAGACCTGGTTTCAAATCCTGGGTTGGCCAGCTAGATGGTCTCAGCCAAGTCATGTTTTCTTTTCCTAAGGTTCTTGTAAAGATAAAGAGATATAATGACATAATTAAATACACCAGTAAAATGGCTATTTCCTCACCTCCCCAGTCATGTTTTCTCAGAATAGAACGCGGAGTCCTCTTTTGACTACTCTGAATTCAGTGAAGGAAGGGTAGGACAGAATGTAATGAACTAAATAGTTTTGAGCCAAGAGTAGCTAATCTTTTTTGCCCAAGGGCAACAATCGCCCTTAGCCCAACCTTCCAGGGGCTGCATGCCAGCAGGGAGTGTGGTCACCATGCAGTGTCTCGCAGACACAGAGGCATCACCACCCTCAGCTGAACGGAGGGGATATAAGCCTTTTTCCACCCTAGCCCGTGTCTCCTCTATTTCCTTTTTGGTACTGCCATCAAAGCGCTGTGATTTTGGAGCTCAGAAAAATTGCTCATTGGATCAGATCAGGCCCCTGAGCAGGAGGTTAGCCCACCCTGCTTTATGCCGTATAAAATCACGGGGGGGGGGGGGAGGATAATATTCATGCTGAGTTAATGGAACGCACGGCCCCAATCCAGAGGGAGCAAATCAGTCACATTTGCATCCTTTTGCAATCAGTAGCACAATTTGGTTGCAACTTACTTATTTCTCATTAATTTCAAAGTGACAGCAGTTGGCTAAACTACTAACTTGCTTTTGGAGTGGGGCCTATGGATTGAGTCCAGATTAAGCTAGTTGCCCTAGAAATCAATGGTGCTTCGGTTTATTGTGACTAATTTTTCAGATTGATTTTGTTGTGGCCCAGAATGTGGTTAATCCTGTCTGGATCCAATCCTATATGTACTTTGGCAAGTACCTTGATTGCTTACAAACTGATCACTTAGACAGTGGGATGGACTCCCTCAGGAGGTGATGGGCTCTCCTTCATTGGAGGTTTTTAAATAGAGATTGGATGGCCGTCTGTCATGGATGCTTTAGTTGAGATTCCTGCATTTCAGGGGGTTGGGCTAGATGGCCCACAGGGTACCCTCAAACTCTACAATTCTGTGATTCTATGGAATAAAGAATTAAACAATCCTCTCAAACAAGACACAGGCTTATTGCAAAAATGGCAGAGAGGATAAAAATCTGACTAGGGGGAAGGAAGCAGAATATTCATGTTTGAATTGTAATTTAATTTTGTAGTGAAGCAAAACACTCCTAATGTGGATGATGTAGCTTGTGCCCTCCCTTTTCTATGTACATTCAACACATTACATTGCCCGTATGTGGTCATAAAAATATAAAGCCTTGTTAACCTTTTTTCCCTTTCCTCATGAAAGTGTGGAGCCTCTTTTCAAGACGATGACGTGATTGTACTTAACGGTACAAAAGAGGATGTAGAAGTGCTGAAGAAAAGAATGGAGGAGAGAAGGCTTAAGAGTAAATTGGGGAAGGTAAGAGCTTTGTGCATTTTCTGATGTATTTGCACGTGCATTTATGGAATACTTCAGGAACAGAGTTTATTACAGCTTTTTCAAAACCTTCTCCATGGTGGCAGGGGGTCAGTCTCCTGTTCAAGTCGCCAAAGCCCCCAGCATAAAACTGTAGGTGTAGTTCATTGAATCCCAGCAAATATTTTTATCAAGTACAGCTCGTTGTTTTTCAATTTCAGCCCTCGTTAGTGATTTTTAATTATATCAGAGATAAGTAATTTCTTTGGCCTTGCCACTAATTTAATCCAGCTCCTCTTTCACATGGAAATAGTTCTTCCTTCCTTCCACAAATGCCGTCATCAAAATAAATAAACCCATTGGTTTTCCTTTTCAAATCAGTACCGAGTTGTTCCATTATCCAGCTGCTCTTAAGCAGAACTGTCACTCTTCCTTGATGTAGTTTACGTTTTACATTTTACCCCATCCTCTTCTCACTGTTAGGGATAGGAAAGTGTAAAACCAATCAATGTGGTCCAAGCTACATGATAACTACTCACACATTTGCACTGCATCCATTGATCCGGGGTGCAGTTTATTTTACCCCCTAATTCTAAACTTCACAAGCATGTAGACACACCAGTACGTACACACATTCTGCAATGTACAGAGTATCCCTTCATTTACTTAGATCCCTCCCCTCATGGCCTTAATGATCCTCATTGTACTCTTCAATATAACAACCACAGTTCTATCTTTAACTTCTAAGGGTGTTGCTGGTGTGCTAAAATAGCTTGCAACGAGAACTTCCTCTTGCAAGGGCCTCCTTTCCGTTTTGAATCTGGCTTCCTATTCAACATGATACTGTAGTAAATCAAACATGCCATTCTGCAAGCAGCGTTCATGTTTCAGACTAAAATTAGGGCAGAACTTTTTTTCATGCTGAAGGCTTGATGCCAAATAAGCATATAACACTGCTAGGCATATCTGTGTTGGGATTAGGAAAGAGAAGCAAAGCAAAGCAGGGCTCCTTTATAGGTACAGCTGAGAGACCAGCAACATTTGGCAGGGTCTTGTAGCAATCTTAAAGCTGCTTGAGAGCCACCTTTGAGGATAAAAATTATTTGAAAATATATCGGTCTCCTTCCCTAGTTGCATCTTCCTACCACATGTACTTTAGTTGCAAGACTTTCGTTGCCTCTAAAACTGCTGCGCAGGAAGGTCTGATGCGTTGCTGCCACCTCCAGGAAGACATGGGTAATCTGCAGAAAAGGGAATAGCTCAGTGGAATCAGTGCCTTTCTTGCAGCTAATAATGTATGCAGCAGATCTGTGCAAACTGGTGACCATCAGCTGCATACGGAACCCACTAAGTGCTTCATAGTGTCCTGCTTTTTCTGTCTGCCTCAGGCTGCACAAAGAAGGCAGTTGTCTGCCACCTCCTAAGCCACACAGCATGGCTAGTGGTCTGCATCCAGCTTGGCGAGTCCGAAATTGATGCATTCTAACATTGTTTGGGGTGTCTTCACTTCAATCCACTGTAATATTGCTGGGCCATCCAGCTCTGAATCAAAAATAACCTCATAATAACTACATTTCTGTGGGAAAGCATTTAACCTGTCTTTTTATTGTGGAAAGTTTTTTTTATTGTCAACAACCCAATTCATCAGGTGAAAGGGCTCATTGTCTAACCATAATTAATGGTGGGTGTAATTAATGGCAGGTCTGTCTGTCTCTCTCTCTCTCTCTCTCTCTCTCTCTCGTAGGACTCGCTGTGCTTTTCCCATTCAAGGGGCTGCTTAGGTCCACACCTGCTTAGCTTTGGCAATGCTGCAGCCTCAGATGCTCCCAGACTATTAACTGGATCTCAAATAAGATTATTTTAAACAATATTAAAAAGGGACTTCAAACAGATAGCCAGCTGAGATTTCCAAAGGAGACAGGCAGCCCCTATGGAGAAAGCCGTGCTCCTAGTGTTGGGTTAATTTTAATTGTGTCGATAATGGAAGAAAGAACATATCTCTCCATCTCTCAAGGATGATTAGTTTCAAGGATCAGAGTCAGGCTATTCTTCAAAACATCTTGATCCTGCAGGCAGATAAGCGTGGCCTTTCTCTTCAGGGATTATTCTGTCTCTCATACAGTTTGCTCCCTTTGCACGTTATAAGCCTTATATGCCCACTTTTAAGGTAGCACAAAGTGGGCACTGAATTGTGTGAGTCGATTGGATTGTGTAGCAATGTAATATGAAAAAAGCACTGAGTAACCTTACGGCAAATTTGTGCCGATGGAACTGGTGGATTTGTTACCAAACACAGTTTGGGCTGTTGTCACTCATGTTTGTCTCCATTGCTTCCAGAAATCCAAGAAATCTAAGGCAGCGGAGACCACTGTGAAACCCGAAGCTGCTGAAGGTAAGGTTGTGTCCATGTGCTGATGCAACAAAGTGCTATTCCAGATTACTATTATTTTCAGTGCAGTAACTGTGCAGCTGTTACCTTTGTTGGCCAGAACCCACACATTTTCCTTCAAGTTAGCACTGCTTTTGCAGAGAAACCAACTTTTCCCAGCACACAAACAACGGTATTATGTTGCTAGGATCACCCCACCCCTGCAGCTAGCACCTCTGGTTTGATTCATGAAATCTGCAATAGCCATGGAAATATGATACGCCCCTATTGGCTAGTTCCAGTGATGGATGACCTTTCCCTATCCCTATGCCACTGTGTTCTTTTAAAAGGCCATTTTGCATGTTGTTTTGACATAAATAGGTTAGAAACTGTAAAAAAAAGAGTAACAGCAAATAGAAAGGTGGGCGCACATTATGAACTAAATATCCCCTTAAGGAAAAACAAAAGTGATAAACATAACTAACCTGCAATAATGCTTTTCTCACTTAATGGATTCTCTCCCTCTGCCCCCCACCCCCCATTTTTAAAGGGACAAAAAATAAAACAAGGAGCCTGTAGGTAGATCGCACAAAGGGGCAAATATAGTTGGAATGGACTTCACAGGACCTTGTGCTTAGAAGATATTGGCCAGATTCACACATAACATGAAGCCATGGTTTGTTTGGGCAGTTTTGTTTTTTGAAAAAAACCATGAGTTAACCACGTTGTCCCACAAAGGATCAAACAAACAGTGGCTTGTTTCTCCAACGTTTGATTTGTTTTCCAGCTCCTGTTGCCTCATGCCTTTGGAATTTGTGAAGTGCCTGAGGTACAGAGTCCAGACCTAACCATGGTTAAGGAAGTGTGCTGAGTTCACATGTAACACCAAGTCATAGTTAAAACAAACTAGGGTTCACAAGCCAACAACAACCCATGCCTTCAAAGCGTCATCTCTTGGCAGTAAACAAGCTTGTTAAGCTGCTAGGCAGAGTTTGCACTTAAAACTTAGCCATTCCCTGCCACAAAGTTTCTGCTAACCTGGCCGTTAATTAAGTACACAGGTGCTGATGCAGTGAGCTATTTTATTTTACGCTCTCCCCCATCTGTGCAACATTTAGTATAACTTATGCCTTGATATCGTTATGGTTCTACTCCATGTCCTTGGCTTATGGTGGAGAACATTGGATATCATGGTGTTACAACACATATAAGGCAATGCAGAAAGAGACTGAAGGGAACTAAATACACAACTGTCCTTTTCAGTGGCAACTCTCTCTGTGTTGATCATTAATTGGTCCAACTCTTGAGTGAAGTTTTATTGTTTAATTACTTTTGGTTGCAGTGCTCTCTTGCTGAACAAATCTTTTGCTATTGATTTTAACAGGATGCAGATTCCACCTCTTTTCTTTTTAATTTCTCTGTCTTCCTGTTTATGTGGGTTTTTGTTTTTTTTAAGATTTGCCTACATCATCTCAAGTAAATACTGAAAAGGATACCGTAAACATGAAATCCGGAGAAAATAGAAGCATTGCCTTCTGCAAGAGTACAGGTTAGTATAAAATTTTCCATGCAGTTTCATGACATTGCATTCAGTAATATTGTGGATAATCCTTTATTAGCCATTTTCAGCCAGATGTTCACCTAAAACTCTACTTTGAGCTGATGCAACTGTAACTGGGACCATCTGTTCGTGGAAAGATGAGGGCTGCATATGAGCCGTGGAATGGCAGGCTCTCCGTCATTTGCCTGTTGAATGAATTCACCCCTCCCTCGCATTTCCACTGCTGCCTTTAACCATGGTCAATTGTTTCTATGCCAGCCATAACCAACGTTAACACTAGGAACATTAGACTCTGCCTTGTACTGAATCAGCTCAGTATTGTCCACACGGACTGTCAGTGGCTCTCCAGGGTTCCACACGGGGGTCTCATCTCAGTCCTTCCTGGAGATGCAAAGTCTTAAACCTGGGACCTTTTGCATGCAAAGCAAGATGCTCAACCACTGAGCTTAGTTGTTGAAATTAGCGGGGTAAGGGAGCTGAAAATAATGCCAATACAGTTCACATATTTTGTTCTAGGAGGCTTAGTTTAGTCAGAATCAAGTATAAACTTCCAGAGTTAATGCTAAATACATTACTTCTGGTAAATGAGCCACCATAGCCACTAGAGGGCTGTGGAAATTTGTGTTCCAGGCTTTTTAGACTCATCTACCCGTGAACTGTCCTGAAACCAAAGGGGTGGATTGATTGCCAGATGTGATTCCCCCCCCCCCAGCTCTCCTACCCCACTAAATTGGTGAGCTGGCTTGAGATGCTTCCCTGAGCTTGGTCTTTGTGGACTAGCGGTGGGTGCAACATAGCTCTCTTCTTTGCAAGGCCTAAGAGCTTCCATGAGACATGTCCTGTCTAGTTGTGCTGACTACTTAAAAAAACAACACACACCCTCCCGATTTCAGGACTTCCAACTGTTTGTGAGCTGTCCTTTGGTGTCCATGTTTCTAGCAAAACCAACGGTTCCAGTTGTTGCATGATTTCAACAAGGTTGGCTCCAGTTTGAGGGTTGGGGACCCTAAACAAAGTGCCCTCTTGCTTGGCCCTTCTGTGTTGGTGGGCCTTGGTAAGCTTATTTGGTGGCAGGAGCAGCAGGACTCTGATCTGCAACAGGCAACTGGGTTCGAGAACTATCACTGTCATTTCCTACAGTGCAGCATCACCCTGGACTCTTTTGAGAAGAAAATTGGTGGCTTCCAGACCTAGCCACCAGGTGCTGATTTGAAATTGTTTTAAGGGAGAACCAGCGTAGATACTGGCAGTGGACCTGCTGGAGTGCTTGGATCCTGGCAACTGCCAAAGGGTGCCAAGTGCCAGCTGTGCAAAATAGAAGTTTAAGCAACTTAATCTTGACTTTGGCTTGAACAAGCCTTAAAAAGAAATATGGGCGTTGATCATCCCTGACCATTGGCCATGTGCACTGGGGCTTATGGGAGTTGCAGTCTCAAACACTTGAAGGGCACCAGGTTGGCAAAGGTTTCTTGAGTATGGTATTTGTGTGTGTCTACATGCAAGTTTTGTGGTGAAGTTGACGTGTGTTCTGTTTGCTTCATTCTGTAGCAGTCAGCGAAAGTCCATCGTCTTCATCTGGAAAAAGCAGCAAAAGTTCATCCGAGGGCCCCAAGCGATCCTTCGCAAGCAGAGGAGAGAAATCGGAAGCATACAAGTCTATTTTTACATCACACAGCTCTGCCAAACGCTCCAAGGAAGAGTCTTCCAATTGGATCACGCATACAGCATACTATTTCTAAAACAGAAAAGTTTCCAGTTTGTAGCAGGCTCTGCACTTTCCCACCCTGCTGCAGTTCCTCTTACAAGGGAGGACTTAGTTATTTGGCACCGAGTGCAAATTGCTGTCGATTTAGAAGGACCATCCATATATAACTATGTAAAGTAGAATATAAAAGCAGTTAGCAGAAATCAGCTTTTTTTTTTTAAGGGGTGTGTGATTTGAACAAGTACTAATTGTTAGGCTCACAAATGATGTGCTCTTGATTCCACCTTCTGCCCACCCCCCAGGTCCTGGTTGCTTTGAATAATTTGGATGCTTGTAGAACAGAAACAGGTGACCTGCTCACAGCATCTACCTTGCATGGGTACCTTCTGCTGTCTTTCAGGCATCCTGACTTTCAGACCTTCTTTTGCATGGAAATGTAGATTGTGGGGCTAGAGTAATTAGATAGGAGATTAGCATGACCACTTCCTGTCCTGTTCTTCTCCTTGGTTTGCTAAAGCTTTGTCTAGGTGGGTCAGGCTTCAGCAAACGGAAGGTGTTCCACCATCAGCTTTCCCAAGTGTGAGGAAGCTACAGCAGAAGCCAGCATCCTATGTTCAAGAGGGCTGTGGAGTGATGAGCCACAGAAAACATTTTTTTGGGGGGGGGGGCAGCCCAGAGTGTCCATCTTTACCCGTGTAGCTCTTGCCAGCTTTATTGAAGTGATATTGTTGAATGTTTAATTTTGGTTTCCATTCCTGTCACTTGTCAGAGAAATAAAGCAGAGCCCTTTGTGACTTTTCTTGCGCACCTTGTACTTACAAATAAAAGCACAATATTCTAATATTGTCCCTCGATTGCATGGTTGAAAGCTGTCCAGCCCATCCCACTTTCACCGTAAAAGGTTTTGGAGATGTTGCATTGGAAGAAACGCGAATGGGAGGAGAAAATGCGTTAGTACTCTTCTGAGACGTGTAAGAGACTACGGTTCATCAGAGATGGTGTTGCCGTAAAACAGGCGCAGGACCTCATGCACAATAACCCCAAGTCTGGTCGTCCCACTCTGAAACTGTGAAGGAAGGTTGTAGTATTTGAGACTTTGTAATTTAGAGAAAAGAGGGACGCAGGTGGCGCTGTGGGTAAAACCTCAGTGCCTAGGACTTGCTGATCGTAAGGTCGGCGGTTCGAATCCCCGCGGCGGGGTGAGCTCCCGCCATTCGGTCCCAGCTCCTGCCCACCTAGCAGTTCGAAAGCACCCCTAAGTGCAAGTAGATAAATAGGTACCGCTTTATAGTGGGAAGGTAAACGGCGTTTCCGTGTGCTGCACTGGTGCTGGCTCGCCAGTTGCAGCTTCGTCACGCTGGCCATGTGACCCGGAAGTGTCTTCGGACGGCGCCGGCTCCCGGCCTCTTGAGCGAGATGAGCGCGCAACCCTAGAGTCGGTCACGACTGGCCCGTACGGGCAGGGGTACCTTTACCTTTACCTTTTTAATTTAGAGAAAAGGCAAGTAGGAGGTGATTGACATAAATAAAATAATGGCATGGGGAAAGGAGATGCAGGGGGAAGGTCTCCCTCCTACACTTGAATTCATGGCTATCCAATGGCGCTGAATGTTGAACGATTCGGGATAGATAAAAGAAATCATTTCTTCACACAACATGTAATTAAACTGTGGAACTCACTCCCACAGGAGCCAGTGATGGCCACCAAGTTGGGTGTCTTTAAGAGGGGATTAGACAAATTCATGGAGGAGAAGGCTGTCAGTGACCACTAGCCATGCTGGCTGTGCTCTGCCTCCACGGTGGTGGTGGTTGTTGTTTAGTCGTGTCCGACTCTTCGTGACCCCATGGACCAGAGCACACCAGGCACTCCTGTCTTCCACTGCTTCCCTCAGTTCGGTCAAACTCATGCTGGTAGCTCTGAGAACACTGTCCAACCATCTCTCCTCTGTTGTTCCTTTCTCCTTGTGCCCTCCATCTTTCCCAACATCAGAGTCTTTTCCAGGGAGTCTTCTCTTCTCATGAGGTGTCCAGAGTACTGGAGGTTTTGTCCATGGAGTTTTCTTGGCAGGGATACTGGAGTGGCTTGCTGGTTCCTGCTCCAGGTGGATTATGTTTAGTCAAACCTCCACTATGACCTATCCATCTTGGGTGGTCCTGCATGGCATAGCTGCATGGCTTCTCTGAGCTATTCAAGCCCCTTCGCCACGACAAGGCAGTGATCCATGAAGGAGGCCTTCATGTTAGGATACAGTAATGCTTCTGAATACCAGTTGCTGGAAACCTCTGGAGGAGAGAATGCTCCTGTGCTCAGGTCCTACTTACAGGTTTCTCACGGGTATCTGGTTGGCCACTGCGAGAACAGGAGGATGGACTGGATAGGCCACTGGCGTGATCCCGCAAGGATCATCTTAGGTTCTTTTTAGGAACCTTTTGTCTTATGTGTGTGTGTACACCCCCAATTAGCACATGTTGAGCAATTAATGAAAAACGTTAACAACCCACTGGACCTACAGACCTACTGGTCGCAGATCCCTAATTTAAATGAAACATCAACACCGTATTTTTAGAGGCTTCATTAGGACCTAGACTTGTTTTGAGTGGAGATCCTTAAACGGTTTTCCATGCAATGTCACATCACCACCTCTTCCTGTACACAGCGAATGAGAGGTAAATTAGTCTGGTTAACTCATTTTGAAACATGTCCCAAAATGCAATCGGGGAAGGTTGATTAGAAATTCAGATGACTCTATTTACACTCTGCTAGGATTTCTGATAGGCGAGTGCTGACTGTAATGGCTGCAATCGTTTGCCATTTTGCAAGCATAATTAGCCATGTTTCCCACACAAGGTTCTGTCATGTAATTTGCATAATACTTCTCTTCCCCCAATTTGTTAACCAGTAGGAAGCTTTTTGCCACCTTTCGTTCCCGCCCCCTACCCCAGATCAAAACATTGTGAAGTTTGCCACGTTTTCTATTTATAAATTTGTGCCTGACATTTTCTTCTGTGTTTCTTCCTCTTTCCTCCTTTCGTTTGCACAGAGGCAATAAGCTTCTCCTTGTTTGAGGCACACACACTGCGAAAGTCTAAGCGTAGTGTCATTGTGTTTTGACATCACTTTTAATTTTCTCCAAGGGAGCATGCTTGCCTTGGGGAAATAACTGCTAAAAATGCTTATTTGAAGCTTAATTATTATATATTTGGCTTACAATCTAAACGGAGAGCAAATTCCACTTCATAAGCATGGTGGCACCAGCTTTCTATATAGATAGAGACTGACCAGAGAATTGTGAACGTGTTCCTTCTCTCTCTTCTATTTCTGTGCTCAAGACTGGGCAATAGAGTTTGCCCAGAGAATGGGCCAGCTTGTTGTTGTTGTTTAGTCGTTTAGTCATGTCCGACTCTTCGTGACCCCATGGACCAGAGCACGCCAGGCACTCGTGTCTTCCACTGCCTCCTGCAGTTTAGTCAAACACATGCTGGTAGCTTCAAGAACACTATCCAACCATCTCGTCCTCTGCTGTCCCCTTCTCCTTATGCCCTCCATCTTTCCCAACATCAGGGTCTTTTCCAGGGAGTCTTCTCTTCTCATGAGGTGGCCAAAGTACTGGAGCCTCAGCTTCAGGATCTGTCCTTCCAGTGAGCACTCAGGGCTGATTTCCTTCAGAATGGAGAGGTCTGATCTTGCAGTCCATGGGACTCTCAAGAGTCTCTTCCAGCACCATAATTCAAAAGCATCAATTCTTTGGCGATCAACCTTCTTTATGGTCCAGCTCTCACTTCCATACATCACTACTGGGAAAACCATAGCTTTAACTATACGGACCTTTGCTGGCAAGGTGAGGTCTCTGCTTTTTAAGATGCTGTCTATGAACTTCTTTGGACATGCAAGGCGGTAGCTGGAGGTTGGTAGGCAGCAGCCAAGCAAGCCCCGTCAAGTGCAAGGAGTCTGCCAAATAAACCAAGCAACGAGAGTTGCAGTCAATGGCAATCCAAAAGACGAAGAATGCTTTCAAACACAAATACATTATCTCATCAGAAAGGGGGAAGCCTCTAGACTCTTCCTAGAGAGTGAGGGTGACGTTCACAAACCATTTTTTCCAGTTCATTTCTCTCCTGCTGTTTTTAATTTCAAGTTAGGGTCAAGGGAGAACTCTCTCCAAAACCCCGGAGAGCTGCTGCCAGTCAGTGTGGGCATTACTGAACTAGGTGGATCAATGGCCTGACTCGAATGAAGCGCAGGAGCACTACATGCTGCAACATTCTGTTGCAGGTGACACTTGTGAATTGACCTACCTCCGCCACTGGAGGAAAAAAACAAACTAATCGGCCAGTGTAAATGGAAAATTCACCACCTTTCAAATAGCAGTGTGTATTTGTTTGAACTCTAGCAGGTGAGTCAGGGCAATTTTACAGAAGAAGAAGAAAATGCCACCTGTCATATTGAGATGCCCTTTGCTTGCTAAGCATGATGCAGACTCCCACAACTGCATTCCCGCTGCAGCAAGACAGGTGTTTTCCTCTTTGTTATTGTCATCTTCTTCGCTAGATTATAGGCTCAACATTGTTCCTTTTATACGCGACTTGGCTTTGTCCCTCTGTAATTGAGGTGCCAGTTGCTGTCGGTGTAATTTAATTTATGATGAAGATTTGTAATATACATGCCCAAGTGGTCAGCTAAGTTACAGTCTTTGCTTGAAAAGGGGACTGCCTGTACTCTGTAAATCCAGGATCTGCAGCCTCCACAGAACACAGATTGTGTGAACCACAAGCTTGAGGTATTATGGTCTTGTGCTGTTTAAAGCTTTATAGGTCAAAACCAGCACTTTGAATTGGGCCCGGAAACTAACTGGTAGCCAGTGCAGTCGGACCAGGATCGGTGTAATATGCTCAAACCATCTTGCTCCAGTGAGCAACCTAGCCACTGAATTCTGCGCTAAGTGAAGTTTCCGAACCGCCTTCAGAAGCAGTCCTGTGTATAACACATTGCAGTAATCTAACCTTGAGGTTACCAGAGCATAGATTCATGAAACACACACACAGCTTTAGTGACCTGTTGCCAAAGGGGGATTAAACAGTGCCTATGTTGCAACTCCTGATGGCATCTTGTGGGAGGACACAGTGCCTCCCAGATAGTTGCAACCCTTAATTAATATGGAACATTTGGATTATCTGAGAGAAACCAACAGATTGCTCTGGCACATTTACTGTGTAACAGTTTAACAGTCTTACCTGCCCATCTTTCCTGGCTCTCTGTTCGTCTCCCCATCCTGCACCACACATAGACCTTTACTTCACCTGTGCTACAGTGAACAAAATTAAGAACTTTATAGGGTGGGTGTTTCTTCATTTCTGCCTTCCTCTTTCTGGGAACTGAGCTGGCAGAGTAGTTTGTAAAAACACTTTCCCATCACCCTCTGCCTACTGGGCCAAATTCGGTTGCCACCTCTAATAGTCCCATGACAGGCAGATGTTCAAAAGGTCCAACTTTTCTTCACCCAAAGATGCTGCTCTAAAGCACAGGTTTAGATTCCTTACAACAGGGAAGGCAGAAGTTAGATTGGGATCTGCTGGTTGGTCTCAGATCAAGCAGGGGTTTCTGTCAGTTCTAGGACAGCTAAGCCCATCCTCTAAGGATGCTGGAAAAGAATATGCATGGAGGGAGGGAGGGAAACCAGGAGTTGATTTTTGGGTGGGAGGATTGTTCTGGGACCCGAAGGAGCTTGGTCCTGGTATGTTGACAAATTATGAGCTGAGCATAAACTCAGAAGCACGCTGTTCCTTAGCCTGTGTCCGCTATTTCCCACCTAGTTGGTGGGTCTTGGAATCCCTACATTTAAAGCATGCTAAAAGCACATGTTCCCCTCCCAAGAACCCTGGGAAGTGTGGTTTTTATGGGTGCCAGGAATTGTAGTCTATGGCACATAAGCTACCATTTCCAAGATTCATTGCAAGGAGTACAGTGGTACCTCGGGTTAAGTACTTAATTCATTCTGGAGCTCCGTACTTAACCTGAAACTGTTCTAAACCTGAAGCACCACTTTAGCTAATGGGGCCTCCTGCTGCTGCCACACCGCCGGAGCACAATTTCTGTTCTTATCCTGAAGCAACGTTCTTAACCTGAAGCACTATTTCTGGGTTAGCGGAGTCTGTAACCTGAAGCGTATGTAACCTGAAGCGTATGTAACCCGAGGTACCACTGTACTTTAATTGTAGGATGTACTTGCCTTCCCTTTCCAAAACTGTTTATTCTCAACCCATTTGAGTTGAAACACCAAAAAGGAATAAATGCCAGGAATGGATGTAGCATAGATTGTGCTGGGAACCAAACCGACTGCCGTGCGATCGCTACTATGCACTAAATGCACAGCTCCCTGGTCGCAATTATCTTGGATGGAAAGATCTCGCCCAGGAATATTGTTTTGCCTTGAGCAAAGGCTGTGCGTCTGGACTGCCTCAGGAGTGAACATTCATGTGCTTTTAAATAAAGCTTGAAACAGAGCAGGCACCTGTTGGAGCTTAACTTCCATTACAAGTGTCACATTTTCAGAGCAGGAGGCTCAGCAGTGCTCAAGCTTAATTGGAAGAAAGGGGATAATTATATTTTAATATCCCTTCGCAGGT